ACGCGGCTCTCGACCTGTACATAAGCCGGAATGTTTCGCTCTGCTCTCGCCGCCACCGTAAAATCTCCTCGATGAATCCTTAACGCGGGATGAACCAGGCACGAACTCGCAACAATAAAGACCCTTCCCCCTCCTCTCCTCTCGTCGTCTCCGTTCCGACAATGTCAATTTATATCGTTATCGAAGGGCACCTTGCATTGCCCCCGGTTAATGCGCTCGAAGATGTGCCAGTTATGCTCGTCGCATTCGAATAATCATTCTCTAGAACATATATCGTGTATTAAAATCTAGTTGGGTATACAGGATGTTTCTTAATAAAGGTGCGAAAAATTTTAGGAGATGGTTCTTTGTCGAAAATTAAGGGAGGTTTTTCGTATAACATGTCCTTCTACATCCCTCGGAACAAGTTAGGGAAATTAAATTAGGTGGATAATTCTTTAACTTGCTCCAAATTTGAGAAGAAAAATAGAAACTCAATTTTTATCCCCATTTTTGGAAGAGTGTAATTCCACAGGGATGCAGGAGTATGTGTTTATATGAAAAATCCTCCTTAATTTTCGACAAAGAATCATTTTCTAAAATTTTTCGCACTTATTAAGAAACATCCTGTATACGTATATATGACGATATTTTGTCGTAAGCGAATATCTCGAAGGACGTACCCTCTGCGTCGTCTTGTTAGACTAATCGAGTCTTAATTAATCCCGTCAAATCATTGTGATTCCGCTGATTCTGAGCGCAATGCAAGATTATGCGGTAAATTGAATTAATATAGTAGTATAAAATGAAATTTAAAAAGTGGAAAACATGTAAATATATTATATAATATAATATATTTACACGTTTTCCACTTTTTAAATTTAATAAATAATATATACTAATATAATAAATAAATATAATAATATAATAAATAATATATAAATAATCTATACTTTTTAAATTTAATAAATAATATATTATATATAATATATTGTATATTATTAAATATATTATATATTATATAATATGTATACACGAAAACTTGATAAACCTATTATCTTCTAATCTAGTGATCAGGATTTAATGACGATAAATGGGCTCTCATGATTAATCATGTTACATAAATTGAATTTGATTGTATAATCAGTTAAACGATAAGTAAAAATGTTCCATTTACATTATGTCACGTATATGTTTTACAAAAATAAATAATAATATATTCTTTAAGTATAGAAATACAAAGTGTGTGTAAAATATTCGCGCACTATAAGAAGTTTATTTAATTTTATCTTTCTTAATTTGATACATAAATTGAATTTGATTTTATAATCAGTTAGACGACAAGTAAAAATGTTCCATTTACATTATATCACGTATATATTTTACAAAAATAAATAATAATACATTCTTTAAGTATAGAAATATAAAGTGTGTGTAAAATATTCGCGCACTATGAGAAGCTTATTTAATTTTATCTTTCTTAATTTAATTAAATAATTTTCTTGCAATCGGCAAAAATGACAAACAAGAACGTAAAAATGGCGAGTTGATTCTCTTCCGCAATTCGAATCGCGGTGGAAAATACATTCCGAAAGAAGTCACCCCCGCGTTCTCGTGGCGTAATCTTCTCTCTCGTCGCCCGCCCTCCTACCCCCCCTCTTCTTCTTTTTCTCCCCGCATCAATAATAGTCACCCGATGCGCAGGGTCTCTCAACTCGACTTCCTTCAGTAACACGTAAACGATTGGATTATGCAAATTTGCGCGATTGACACAAACACACCCGTGCAAACGGATAAAAGCGACGTTCGCCCCTTTCCGCTTTTCTAGCGATATTCGAATTTAATTCTTGAAAATGCTCCGCGAGATGCGATGGTCTGGCAATGATATACAATGATTTCTCGAGATGATTACATTACTGGCACTGCTTACATTAGCGGTGTCACGTGTCGACATGTGTGATTATACGAACGTTCGACATTGCGAGTGCGAAATATTATGTAATTTTTGCAAGCAAGATGGGATGAAAAAAAAACGTCGAGTAAGAATGATTGCGTGTCTCGGATGATACGCGTATGTCCCGTTCATCGGCGTTTCATGTCGAACAAAAGAAGCGAAGATAAAGCAATTTCAGTGGAATCGGAGTAAAAAAGCGGACGAAGAAGAATAACTTTAACCCATTCAGACCTTATGTATACAATTATGCACAAAACTTTAAAATCATGTGAAATAGTTATTTTTTAGAATTAGTTTCCCTGCGATCTCTCTCGGTGGACTTGGAAATTCCTAACAGTTATAAATCATAAAAAAAAACCCTTAGCATCAATAAAAATTAATTCAATAATTTTTTACATTATCTAGCCAGAAAAAATTCAGGTCTGAATGGGTTAACGAGATAAACCTGAATTATTTCGTTAGGCGACTTAAATAGAACGCGACAAGCGTTCTCGCGAATATTTAATACGTCATTAAAAGCGATGCGAAATCGATTCGAAAAAGCTGGCGTAAAAATTGCGAGAAACTCTTGCAAGAATTGCATTGTCGAGGGACAGTTTAGTTGTGTATATACTTATATATACATCACGTACACACACACATACACACATACATTATATATATGTCTCTTTATTCAAATATCAGTTGAATGGAAATGTCGTGAAATCTTGTCTCATTTCGCTATCTCGATTAAATTGGACGGGACTCAGCAATTGTATTTTCCGTCTCGATTTTCCGCATTTTAATACCGCAATCAGCAGAGCTCATTGTCAGTTGCATTTAAAAGAAAATCAGGATGCGCATATAGAAGAATAATACAAAGAACAAAGAGAAATTTTATTTTTACGAAGTATTCTTTTACGAATCAAATGATTGATAAACGGCAAACTATTATTTTTAATTTAAATTTTACGTCCGTTCGTGTTAATTACACTCTTTACACGTTTCGTTTTTCTTTCCTCCTTTTTTTCTTCGAAATGCGCCTATTTTAATTAACGCATAAAAAGAGCGCAAGATGATATAATTAAAAAGAAAGATTGAAAAAATGTACATTTAAATAATTACTGATTCTACTCTACTTAATTAATTAATTAACTTCTACGCTTTAGGCTAATATTACATTTGTCGTACGACATTTTTTAAGCACATTGATTGGCTGCGGGATAGAAAATTTCTAAAGATTCGGAAAATTATTAGCCTATTATTACATTTGAAAAATATTAGCCTATTATTACATTTGTCGTGCATTTTTTTAATTAACATTGATTGACTGCGGAATAGAAAATTTCAAAAAATTCAAAAAATTATTTAAAAAATTTGTCGTACGACAAATGTAATGATAGTCTATTATTAGATTTGTATTATTACATTTGTCGTATGACAAATTTTTTAAGCGCATTGATTGGCTGCGGGATAGAAAATTTCTAAAGATTCAAAAAATTATTATCCCACAGGCAATCAATGTGCTTAAAAAATTTGTCGTACGACAAATATAATATTAGTCTATTATTACATTTGTCGCACGAGATTTTTTAAGCACATTGATTGGCTGCAGGATAGAAAATTTCTAAAGATTCAAAAAATTATTATCCTTCAGGCAATCAATGTGCTTAAAAATTGTGTCGTGCGACAAATGTAATATTAGGCCACGACGTTTCGCCTCCGAATCGTCGGCATCGCGTCGCGCGCCAGTTGACAGGTCGATCGCGTCCTCGCGGGGTCCAGCGGGACGCGGATGCGTTCGCGCGGAAACCTCCGTCGAAGGACCCGGGGCTCCCGAGTATCCAGGCCAGAGTATCGCTCGCGATACTCGGACAACGAACAAACGCGTTTCCCAGCGAGCGGCTGGTCCGTGCTCGCGAATCTATCTCTCATCGTCCGAATCTCAGGCTCGAGATTAGCGACGACCGTCGTAGACGGTAAGGGCGGCCGAGGTCGCGGAGGGAATAGGAAGAGAAAATCCTCTCTCTCGAAGGACTTACCCCGTGCGAGCGCTGTCAACAACAAAGCCAACAGGACGGCGAGAGGACGCGGCTCCTCCATTGGGTCAGAGCGGGTCTGTCGCGCACAGACTCCGACGCGCGTCGCTGAGCGTAAGACTCTCGTCCAACCCGCGAAAGAGAAAGAGAGAGAAAGAAAGAAAGAGAGAGAGAGAGAGAGAGAGAGACAGAGAGAGAGAGATGACCGCACACCGCCTCCGAGCACGATCACCGGCCGTAGCACACGCGCGCGATGTCTTGCCGAGGAAGCGAACGCATGCCAGGAACGCGTCTCGTCGCGACAACGGCACCCGGGGTCTCTTCACCGTCGTCGGGGCCGATCGCACGACAGGTCGACTCTCACGCCCGCGGGACTCATTTTCGCACGATAAGCTCGCTACGTATCTGATCGTGAAACATGGCTAACGGACGAGCGATCGGAACACACTAGTCACACTGCCAGTCAGGGATGCCAGTCCGAGGAATCGCCGCGCGCATGCGCGCTAACGCGACTCCGCTCTCTCCGAGGGCTCCCGACTTGCGGATTACTTCAAGTCGGCGCGCAAAATCAAATTTCCCACTTTCAACGAGGAAAGCAACCGAGAAAATCGGTCGATCGATCAAATTGTTTCAAGCGCGATTTGCACTTTTCTCCGCGTTTAAAATGAGATTGATCTATTCAAATTTAAAAAGAAACAAAGTGTAGGAAGTGGACTTGTACTACATTCATTTTATATCTAAAATGAGATAGATGTAGACTAGATAATATAAAGAAAAGAAAGACACGAGTGCAATTAAAATTTTGCGGCAGAGTTGACGTCTGATTTAATTAAAATAATGTGCTGCATTTGTCATCTAATTTCCCATACAAAGGGAAAATAAAAAGAAAAAATATGTTTACAATGATGACAGTTTGCACTGTACATGTGTTCCTTTTAATTCTTACACTTTGTCTTTTTTTCGAAATATACTCCAAATAAATATTTGTATTTTATTTTGATAATAAATACGATATAATTTTGAGAAAAATAAACCTTATGCGCAAAGTTCATTTTGTCTCTTCCAGTTGCAGCAGATGGTCTCATCGATTTCATTTTTGCCTCGTGTTTACTATAACCTCGCTGATGATCTTAGTCAACCTAACCTGCTTTTACAATTTATAGTTATAATATAACTCCTGTCACATGTATCTTCGACTTTTGACAAATCTTTGCGAGCGATCCTTATATCGCGCTTCGAGTAATGTCGGACTCCGGTTCAACAGATCGTGCCACGCTGCGAATAAAAACGAGGAAAAACAAGAGGCGAAAATTGTCTCGACAAGGTTTCCCGATTACAAAGTAATCTATATCTTTCCTTACATCAGATACATCAGTGCCATAAATAAAGTAAAATTTCAATTGACTGTGCTCACTGCAACGGCTGTGCCTGTGATAGCTGGACTTTACTCGACCAATATCATGTCGCTGGAAATGGCCATTTCATCGATAGCAAGCGGCAAGTTCTTGTAAAGATAAATTACCTTTCGAAGCACCTAATTCGTGTCTGGTAAATAAATGCAGTCTTATTTTGTCCACAGGTGTTTCAACAACAATATGGATACACAGTCTTGGAATTTTCTGCAATAATCTCATAGGATATGTATATATAAACTTGGATAAACGAAAAGTAATATTATCTTACGTAGACTACTGGGGGAAGAGAATAGACATGGAGACCACTATCAATGAAATTATTCCCATGTCGGACAATGCCATCGGTATCACCAATTATCTGTACAGGGAAATACTATTCACTTCACAAAAACAAAAGTTGAAGATAAATATGAAGCTCGGACGAATATTCGATATGGACACATTTAAATATACTCTAGGAACAGATTAAAGTTTAAATATATTCCATTCACATGTATATGTGTAAATATACCGTATATAAAATCACATCAATTCAACATTAGTATATTTTAAAATTATTTTATTTTTAAGCAGAACCTATGTTTTTTTATTACTTATTTTAACCATCTGAAGTGCGCATAAGCTCGATTGGCCTGGCATTTTTTGTGTAATTCTTCCTTCCATTTAACTGCTCGACCCTGAAATAAAAAACGTGTCGTTGTAACATACATCTTATAAATGATATAAAAATAAATTTATATTTCAAGTTGATAAAATTTATAAACCTGATTCTGAGAAGCTGATACCAATTCTTTAGCTAACATATTGTAAAATCTTTCCTCATCATCTTTCTCTTTTGCTGCTTCGATTAACCATTTCATGGATTTGTGCTGTGCCCGTACAGGTGAAATTGGAACAGGAATCTGAGACAAAAAATTGATTTTAGTCACAATATCTATTAATTTGATAACTGAATAACTTTGTAATAAGTTGTTACCTTATACATAATCCCTCCTTTCCTACAATTTATCAATTGTAAAACAGGCGTGCAATTGTCAACAGCATAATGAAAAACCACAAATGGATCCAATTCAATATTATCTTTCTCCTCGTTTGTTTTTGCTTTGTGGTAACGTTGTAATTGTATTCTTTTGATTTCTTCAAAAGATTTGGTCACCAATGTCCTTGCTAATTTCCTATCCCCATTTCTCATAATAGTATTGATAAATTTCCTAAATGCAGTTGGGACATAAATTGTTAAACCAATGCGAAAAGAATTTGCGATACAATAGAGCGGAAGAATTTCTTACAAGACTCTAGCATCATAAAACTCTGAACACGTGTCAGTGATTTGTGCTGGTTTCACCTGTTGGTGAGCAATATTCATCGCCTCCTCGCTTCGAAACAGAGCTTCCTGCTCATCTTTTCTATATATTGGTTCAACATAATGAGATGGAAAGACACTATATTCTCTTCTAAAACTTGTAAGATTACATCTGAAAAGTGTATAAGTGAATAAGAAATACATTCACCAAATATATTTGTATGATAGCAATTGTGTAAGACATTTATCAAAAAACTGTGAGATGTTGCAGGTTCAATGGTAGTTGTTTATACGAATCTTTCTCACCTCTTGAATCCATAATTTAACAAATTTGTAATTGACACAGCAGATAAACGTAAATTAACCATTTCCGCTTCTTTGGTTTTTTAATCTTCACTGTTTCTGTTTTGATCACAAGTCGGAGAACATACTGACCAAGAGATAAAAGAGGCAAAGATTTTGATTCAATCGAAAAGCATTCCACTGGACAAGTAGGTTCATGCAAATCGACCATTAGTCCCGATCCACAATAAATAATTTAAGCCCTAAGCCTTAAGAAATTGACCAATCCCAAGCGAATATTCTCTTCATACTTGACTGTGATTGGTCAATCTCTTAAGGCTTAAATTACCTATTGTAGATACGACCTAAGAAATTGACCAATCACATTCGGGTATTCTCTTCATACTTGACTGTGATTGGTCAATCTCTTAAGGTTTAAATTACCCATTGTAGACTCGGCTTTAGCCTTCCGTATCCATGCTACGCGAGATCCGCCGTATTGTACTGTATACCTTGTGCACGGTCGTACTCGTCGAGTAGCCAAATGTTCGCGACGAACGAGTTTACGTTAACGTTTCGCGGTAATTAACGGGAAGGAGAGGAGGTTAACGCAACTTGGCGACTCGTTATCGACTCGAAGAGAGAGAGAGAAAGAGAGAAGGAGAGACAAGATTCCTCGTCCGCATCTGCACAAGAGATCCCACAAATGGTGCGACTGCCATGTAACGTCAGGTTGTTGAGATCTTGCGAGGAGAGGATCTTCTAGGAAGGGAAGAGAGCTCCTTTCACGAGGCGGTTTCGCGCTGTTGAGAGCAGAACTCGCGGGATCCAGAATGGCGGAGAACCAGGCAAACTCATCGGGACAAGTCGGCCAAGGTAATCGCGCGTTGCCGTTAACTCTCGCCACGCGACGTCGGCCTAACCACCATGGAAAACCTAACCTAACCATGGTGGCATCGTCCCGCGATCTCGTCGTCCTCTCCGGTTGCCAACTAATCCAATTGCGTTGCAGGTTCTGGCAGATCTTTCAACTTTCCACGAATGGATTTTCGAACGAACAACGATGTCCAGAACGAGATGTCGGGTACGTGCGAAGCTGAAGCGAGATCTATTAAAATGACAGTGATGTTTGCGAAATAACAATAACGATGAGCAAGATTACTTTCGAGTTCGATAATTCTTTCCGTTACAGAGAGGCGAAGACAGCTGAAACTTAGTTTTCAAACACAGGGCAATAATTTGTCGTTTGCCAATTCCACAAATTCCTCATTGTCGAATTCAACGGGAGCCACAGCACAATGTCCACCAATGTGAGGTTTTAACGAGCAAGATTATAAATATCTATAATCTTAAATAATTATAATTTAATAAATAATAATTTAATTTTATATAAATAATTATAATTATAATTATAATTTAGTTTTATAAATATTTATCTTATCGTTTCTGTGTAATAAGATTGCTCTATGCTTTTTCATTCGCAACAAACAGATCCTCTCGTCCAAGCCTGCCTTTATCTCTACCTAAGCTGCCAGCTCGACCTCGCAATATAATACAGCAGCAAGAGTTTCTTCCTGATAAGGCAAGGTATAGAATTAATAAAAAAAATAAACAAAATATACATCTTTTGAGGTAAATTACAATAAAGTTTATTGTAGAGACAAACTGCGAATGTGCCAGTCTATGCAAAGTACCGGTAAATTGCAATTATCTTCAGACATGGTTTATGATTTTACAAGCGAAGATCTTCAGGATCTTGGAGAAATAGGACGAGGGGGATTTGGAACTGTAAATAAGATGATTCATAGGATAAGCAATACTGTTATGGCTGTGAAGGTAAATTGACGGTACAATTTTTATTCTGCTGATATTGTACACTGGAATTCTTTAAAGTAACAAATTATATCTCAGAGAATTCGTTCTACCGTGGATGAAAGAGAACAAAAGCAATTATTAATGGACTTGGAAGTTGTGATGAAGTCAAATGAGTGTCCATGTATCGTGCAATTTTATGGAGCTTTATTTAAAGAGGTATATAATTCGATGATATCACTCGTGAAAATGACAAAAACAATTGCATTATCTTATCTTATCATTCTACACACAGGGAGATTGTTGGATTTGCATGGAACTTATGGATACGTCATTAGATAAGTTTTACAAGTTCATCTATGAGAGATTAAATGAAAGGATACCAGAATGTATTCTAGGCAAAATTACAGTGGCTACTGTAAAAGCATTAAATTACCTCAAGGAGAAACTAAGAATAATTCACAGAGATGTGAAACCTAGTAATATTTTGTTGGATCGAGGAGGTAATATAAAATTGTGCGACTTTGGTATATCTGGTCAACTCGTAGATTCAATCGCAAGGACCCGGGACGCTGGTTGTAGACCGTATATGGCTGTAAGTTTATTATAGTTATTGAAATTGATAATGCTGAGATATGTAGCGATCGTTGAATTATTGATACCTCATAATATCGTGACAATTATTATTCAGCCGGAAAGGATAGATCCGCAACGTGCGCGTGGTTACGATGTGAGAAGCGACGTATGGTCGTTGGGTATCACGCTGATGGAAGTTGCCACAGGGTACTTTCCATATCCGAAATGGAACTCTGTCTTTGAACAGCTCTATCAAGTGGTACAAGGTGATCCACCGCGACTTTCTCCTAATGAGAACGGAAATCACTTCACTATGGACTTTGTGAATTTTGTGAATACGTGGTAGGATCATTACTCGTTTAATCATTAAAAATATTTTGAATTTGATTGGAATTAAAATTATTCACATCTTTTCTTCTGTTAAAGTTTAATTAAGGAAGAGACGCAGCGACCCAAGTACAATAAATTGCTGGAACATCCGTTCATCAGACGAGCGGAGGAAGCAATGATCGACGTTGCGGCTTACATTAGCGGAATTTTGGACAATATGGCTAATAACGGAGTGACGCCATTCACTACGAATCAACCTTAAGAATTGGCAAGAGCGACGATAACGAGAGTGCGTCATCGCATCATAGTACCGCGGTTTTTCTCCTCAGACTCTCACTCTTTGAATATGAACGGTATTATCGCGCATTCCAACGATTTAACGTAGGTAGCGAAATCGACGACCGTTCTCGCCATCGTATATCGTCGTCTCGCTCTTAAAATTGTACTCTTATGGACTCAAAACGGTCATGCGATAGAGAACGCGTAGAGATGTGTATTGAAACAAGCTGGCGAGTTTCGTTAAATATTGAATGATGGCGCATACATTGTCTTTTTCTCCTGTTGCGTCATCTTTATTTCATTATCTTTTTCTCTCTCTCTTACTCGCATTCAATATAACTTTAAATATCGCGTCCCGAAAAGATTCTCCTCTTCGAGTTTTATAATTCTCGATAACGGCGTGACGCTAAATGATAAATTTTCAGCAAATCATATGTATGCGTAAGGTATTTGTATATATACACATGTATATGCATATGTATATGTATATATGTATATATATATATATATATGTATAATTATATCTTGCCTTGTATAATAAATCTTGATTTCCACGATTTTTTTAAGCAGCGTTACAGGAGCGAAAGATACTCTAGGCGAATTATTCTAGCCAAATTGATATCGATGATCATCCGGGTATCGACCGTTTTTTGATGATTTTCTTAGGACAGGTTTAAATACGAGTATCTCAAATGTTAGGAGTGCTGTAATGTAATGGAAATAAATCATTGACACTCACAGAGCGAAAAACATTTTGACGTTTTTTTTCTTCCCGCTTGTACACATATTGACATTGAACTTTGCGCGTACATCGGGTGCACGCTTTGGTGATTCTTCTTATGACTAACCGACGGTTCCCTTATCTCTCGCGGTAATTCATATATCGACGAGTTTTAAAAGCTGCGGGTCCAGGTGCATTTTGCTCGATTACGAATGTTGGAACATTTTTTTGCCAACATTTTTATCAAATTTCCATCTTGTGTGTTTCTATAATAAAAACATTTTCATTATAATCTCTAAAACAATTTAGGGAGAAAAAGAGTCGCATTCGAGATGTCAACTTGCAACTTTTTCGCGAAATTTTTGCATACAATAATAAAAATTCGATACTTTTATATTTTTGACGGCGCTTATATATGAATATTATAATATTTGCAAAGTATTGTAATATTTATGTTAGTCGATTAAACTATCTCGTCGCATTTTTTGCACAAGAGCAAACTTGGCAAGAACAAATTATAGCTATAATCGATAATCCTGGGGGCGGTCGCGCACCTGTCGTAGTGGTACCGTTTGAACAGGTAAGAAGATGGCGGTACAATGGTGGTTGACGGTACTGATGGTGCTTTGCAGCGATAGTCGTTAGTTCTAGCAGAACCATCAACGCGATTAATGATTAATTTTGCTGTGTAAAACGTTCTCGAGTTTCGCAAAGTATAATGATTAAAATCGTTTATAAAATTCAAATTAATTGAAGAAAAGTGTCTTACAATTAATTTTTGATCATCCCTCGTGTGTGCTAATGATAAACATTTCTAATTTGAAAAGTACATGGAATACTCGCGAGAATTGATTTTATGGACAAAAAATAGATTAGCAGTACATTAATAATAATAATATCATCAAAATGATACAAAGATCATCTACTGCTTATCAATTATTTTTTATCTTCATTAAAGATAATTAACGATTATATACAAGTGTATGTTAAATACGAATTTGGGTGATTTCGGTGAGTACCGATAATTTATGTTTTTTCGAATTATTTTTAAGCGTATGTATGGTCGCAAAATACATCTAGCACGATAAATTATATCGTAATCTTTCAACAAATTGTTTTAACATAAAATTAAAATACAAGTGAAAAATTTGAAAACACCAACACTTAAAAATCGAAGAGAGAAAGAGAGAGAATTTTGACGTAAAAAATTTAAGATAATACTGAAAATATATTTTGCAATGATATAATAATTCTTTTTTTTTGTAACGGCAATATCATTGATTATTCTTTTACTTTCTTTGCTTATTCTGCATCTTTGATGCCAAAAGAAATGCTCGATCATAAAGGTCCCACATGAACGTCATTATCGCCGTCAATCGCGACGATGTAGATTATGTCTGATGCTACTGTGCTGCTGCTGCACTCGTTGAAATCAATTCTCTTGAATATTTGATGAACCTCCGAGCGCCTCCGCCCTCCCGGAACTCTGACTCGCGTCGGAGTCTATATCCGTAACTGCTGCGTATATATTATCCGTTCTTTTAAATTGTCCATTGAAATATGTCCACATCATTGCTACCGCGATGACCTGTTACTATTTCCCAAGAGGACACGCTACCAGACTCAACCAACTTTTGTATTTCTCAAGGAGACATCCCCCGTCTGTACTTGTGACTATTATATCGCGCATCGTGATATTATTTTCTATTTTAACATTACGAGATGCCATACTCGTACAAAGTAAGAGAATCGTCAGATGATTGTATTAAACGTGGATTCAAGCAAATAAAAATTCTCATCCTACGAGAAAATCTTCAAATGCAAATACCAATCAAATATAATAGAATATTAGAACGATTATATAAATGTACTCTATTTTATTCCTTGTTCTATGTATATGGACTGTCTATTTTTAAAAAATTCATTGCTTTATACATTACATTCATTTATATAATTGTAGGCATAATCGAACGCAAAGCGCGCGACGATGAAAGTACATCGTCTTATAATAATGTGGAAATCGATTCTCAAATACAGACAGTCCAGTAGTATACTACTGGTCCCATTACGTCCTTTTATATGGCGCATAATGTCACGTTGTTGCACGTGATACGTCGCTTTAGCGAGCGAACAGGCAAGGTAAACGCGCAACGAAAGCGTGATAGTGACTCACAACCTGACGCGCAGGGAAAAAGGCGGCAGGTGCTGCTGGATATTGCTGATACTGGCTGCTGCTGTTTCTGCTGCTGCTGCTGCTACCATCGTCGTCGGGGTAGCCAGCCAGCCGGCAGGGCCGACAGGGGAACGGATGTTCCCAGGAGATTATTGATCGTCCACCACGCAGATACTTTCACTGACGACGATCACTGTAGGAGATCCTTGGCGATGGCGTCCGTCCAAATTCTTTTCCCAATGTTGTCTTTTAAATCGCACCAGTTCCTGCGTGTGAAAATTCTTTTAAAAATTTAAGACAAAATGTCTCCGAGTCGCGCTGATATATGTTTATAAAATAAATTTAATTAATTAAATAATACGGAGAGAGAAATATGTGCACGTGTTACGTCAGATAAAGTATTATGATAAAATTAATTATATTGTATAATTCCACAAGTAGAAAAGGAAAATCTTATGTATATATTATTATAAGAATAAATTTGATGTAACGTAATATTTTCATACTTGCACTAATAATAAAACTGAGTTATTTTGATATTTATGTGTTTGAAGCTATATCAACTGAAAACGATTAAATGATTCATTTAAAGTTTCAACAAAAGTTGCAGGTATATCATTTTATAGCTATATCGCTAATAATGTTTCCAAACAATAATTATTACTTTTCCTTGTTTTGTTTAAAACAACATCAATTGAACATCAATTTATATATATAAAATAGTAATATATGAATGATATGCATTATAATGCAATATATATATATATATATATATATTGCATTATAATGCATATCATTCATATATTACTATTTTATATATATAAATTGATGTTCAATTGATTTAAAAGAAATTATTTAAGCGTCCGATATACATATATATATATATATATATATATATATATATATATATATATATGTATATCGGACGCTTAAATAATTTCTTTTAAAAGTATATATTATTATATAAAAAAGTATTATATAGTAAAATCAATATTTATATTTTGCATCACAATATATCGCTAGAATTGCAGTTTTTCCGAGACACAAGACACTCTTTCCATATTTTCGCCCTCCCGAGTATCTTGCCTAAAACGAATTTTACGACATCAATCTTATGTAATCGATTCGCTAAAAAATAATTCAGGAATCAAATAATCATTTCGAGGTATCTTGAGACATGTTCAATAGCAAACTCGCGAGGCACGACGTAGTTATTATGTAGCTTAGTGAAAAATTCATCGCATCTTAATCGAACGCTCCAATTCCCTTGAAAATCCTGCTTTTATCACAGACAGTTTCTCTCATACAAGATAATTTTTTTCACATCAAAAAGACATTCATCCCTTCTTTGTCGGAGGAGGGTCAATTTTTCGTAGAACGCCCAAAAGTGTCTCCATATCGCATGCGACATTAGCCTTTGTCTGTGTTAATTCATAGCGGACGAATCTCGTGCTCTAACGATCCCGTACGAGCGTCGACCAATGATCATGGAGGTCCGGGGGTGAATCTCGCACGCCATGCTCTCGTCCCGGTCGAATGGCCGTGGCTCTTACCCCTCTCTCTCGTATGCCAGTTTATCGTAACTGGCGGTCGCTGCCTCCCCCCGATTCGATCAATGGAGGCACCTGTACCAAGACGACTATGTCTGTCCACCCCCGCCTATGACGCAGCCTGGACGAAACACTCGTATCATCACACCGCCTTCTTCAGATTGTCTTTGGTGAAACGAAATATTCTCGTAGAATAATTCACATTTGGGTTTCGGTAATTCTGAAAATTTCTGAAATCAATTATATCTTTGTCAGAAAAAAATGAATTATGTAACTTTATTTTTATCTGGTATTCAAACATTTTTTAAATGCTTACCTATCAGTATATGAATAAATAGAAAATTGTTGCAAATTTTCCATTAAAATAAATATGTATCTGTCTCTCTCTCTTTCTTTAGTTAAGGAAATTATTTAACATATTCGAGTTAAAATATAATTAGCTCGAATAGTTAATTCAAGGTCAAACGATAAATAGATATGTATAAATGTGATGACGTATTCGTTTAGTTTTGTTTAAAAATAAAAATATCTTCTATTGAAGAAAATCAACTTCCTGGAGAGAGGCTGTTTAAATAGAATATTATGTAATCAACGTATTATATAATTCAATTAATACGTCATCTCTTATCGTCACACATTGTCCGCGGTATGAAATATTTCAACGTCGACTTTACTTGTACTCGCCATGGTCAGAATTACAAGGGTGAACTCCCCTGTTAGTTTCAGTTAGGAGAGGGTCGACGAAAAGGAAAGAGGGTCGTCCGACCGACGCGTGTGCATGGTCCACCTGTGCAAAAGGGAACCCAGCACCTGTCACCGCACACGCGTACCTCCGTCAGGTCGCTAGAATAAGCAGGTAGACACAGGCGCGTTCCACCCCTTGCTACCACCAGTCTAACTCGTCCGACCGTACCGTGTACACGCACGCGTCTCAATCGCTTATTTTAGTGCATACTTATATACGTATGTATCTTACCTATTCAGGAATATTGTGTAATAATTTTTCACTCCATTCAATATTTTTCGGAAATTTTATAAATTTTTATCGAAACTCTTCTCTCTTTCCTCCTGTGTACCGGAGAATTGTAATCGATGTTCCGTCTCTCTTTCCACGTACAAATGTCGACGGATGACGCATCATTGAAAAGTGCATTTTCCTTGTAAAAAAAATAACGTGTTTTTGTTGAAAATTTTTGTAAATCGTTAAACGTACATCATGTTGATAACATAATATTAACGCGTGAGGTCAAAGAAAGAAAAAAAAAAAACTTTTTTCGCGCCAAGTGATATGCCATCTTTATCGTGACGTCAGGAGACATTTCAGTGAATCACACGAGTTCAAAGTATTGCATGGACGATTCCGAGAACTACACAATCAGAATTCAACATCAATTGGAGTTATATATAGCAAATCCTTTTGCGAGAGAAAAGTATTGAATGTGTGGAAAAGTGCGTTTTAAGTATCATTGCTGTCTCTCGAAAAACACCTGTCATTTGCGCACATTCATCATTCATCAACTCGCACATATCTAATTAAATAATTCAATCGAATGAAAACTTGTTAATTTTATGTGGACAATTGTGCGCGTTCTGAAAGGAATTCATACTAAACAAAAGTGACAACTGGCTTGCGTAGGTGCTACATTGCGCTGGCATACTCAGGTGATGAGAGACGGATCTAAAAATGAGGATAGAACTGGCGGAAGTTGAAATATCGACGGAGGAGGAGTACTTGCCCGCTGCCGCCGCCGTCGCAGTGGACAACAGCAGTATGGACAGTAGCACGGACGATTACGACGGAGTCGAGGCCGAATTGACGAGCCTCTCCTGGCTGCAATCGTTGGACATCACCAGCGCATCCGGCTTGCCGACGCCGCCTTGTTCGCCATCGCCCCCGCCGGTCGTCCGTCAACCCCCGAAGAAACTGTCGCCTTTGGTCAAGGCCGAATTGGGTAATCATTAGAATAATCTAAAAAAGTGCAAGAATTAATCGAAAACGAGAAAAAATGGACTATTATTATATATAATTAGAATCAGTTATGTACAATTGAAATGAATATAAAAATTATTAGACCTTGCAGAGAGTATATAAGACCGTGTATGGTATATAAGTTTTCTTCAATTTCATTAGATCTCGCGGAAAATGCCGTCAAGTATCGAACGGATCCCGATGCGAAGCCACCGTTCTCTTACGCCACCATCATTTGTCTCGCGATGCGCGCCAACAATAATAAGGTCTCCCTTTCCAACATTTACGCATGGATTCGAGAGAATTTCCTGTTTTACAAATACGCCGATCCAGCCTGGCAGGTAGAGGGAATTCCATCTTTCTTCCGGATTCATCCCTAAAATTAATGATATTATTTGAATATTATTATGTATTTGAACATATTATTTTTCTTTAAATATTCAGCGAAGAATGAGATTAATCTCTATCATTTTTATCGGAACAGAATTCGATTCGGCACAATCTGTCGCTGAACAAATGCTTTGTCAAACTGCCGCGTTCTAAGGACGAGCCAGGCAAGGGCGGTTTCTGGAAGCTGGATCTCGAAAGAATGGAGGAAAGCAAACGATCAAGACGTCGCTCCGCGATCTCGCAGCGAATTCGCAACTCCAAGAAGCAATCCTCATCCGCGGCAAACACGACGACAACGATAGCGGCAACGGTAACGGCGACGACGACAACGACGACGGCAACGACGACGCTCAACGCTCTTCAGAACAGCTGCTCGCCACCCACCAGCTGTTTATCCAGCACTCTGTACGAGACCCCGCCTAGTAGCGTGTCACCCCCGATTCCGGACAGCCTGTCGGAAGTACCGGAATCGACGCAGGTGAGCTTGAGCGAGGACGATTTCACGAGCTTGTTGATCGCCGGCTGGGACGAAAATAATCAATTGGAGCTCCTCGATCTCTTGGACACCCTCTAAACCAAGCCAAGGTGACTCTCTCGCAAACGCCTCTCAGGAATCATTGGCGAAACAAATGTTCTCGTCCCTCCATACGTCTCTCCCTCCGACTTCCCGTTCCATTCGATCGACGCGAATAACAACGTTCTCGGATCGATCTGAAACGATATCAATTTTTAATTTTGTCGGATTTCGCAATAACTTTTTTTTATTTTACAAACTACGATTGCGCGAAAAAACGATAAATTATTATTGTTAAGCAATCAGAACAAGACTATACAAAAGCAACGATTTCATTTATCGTATGCGTTAAAATCAGACAGTTAAGATCAGACATTAATCTCGTAATTAAAACGCGATTAATTTACGATGAAGCGTTGAGAAAAACAAGCACCGTTGAGGAAGAAACAGCAGAGAAAAGCAAACACATCTTATCTCTTCTTCCTTAACAGTGATTTAATATACGTAAAAATGAAACGTTGCGCGATTTTAGAGTGCCTAACGAGATTGTCTTAACACGCTGTCCGACCATATTAAACGTGTTATAATATAACGTGTGTAAGAACTCTGTTGTTGCCGAAGGTATGGCCGATAATATGGCAAAACATATTATAATCGATTCAAGTATTATTAGATTACGCCGTGAAATATTTGTTGTGATCGGCGACATGATGAGGAATATCAGTGCCTATTCGATAAATCATCATTTCATGAATTTTTATACACATGAAGCGACAAACGAAAAAATTCGTCGTTTCTAACAGTTTCACAATACACTAATACAATGATTCTCTCACGGAGAAAATATTGTAGTAAAAATTACAATATAATTTTGATCGTAATGCATATATATACATAACATATTAACATAAACTGTTTATGGGGCAGTGAAATCCAAAGTTGAAGTGTCTTTCTGAGAGAAAAGGGTAGCGTAAATTTATTTATTTATATATCTGTCTTTTTCTAATGAATGTATCAGTATGCGTGACTTTAATAATCTGAAATTGCATCATGCGTGTGTCAGAAAAGGACGAACAACCCAAGTTTCATGCTATCCTTTTCTCTCAGGAGGACACCCTCTCCCACTACCTTATAAGCAGTCTAACTTAATATTATATGTCTATGTATATATATTTTACAAAAAAGGATTGTAAAATTATTTAAATATTTTGCACAAACAAATACGTACTAATAATAATAGAACAAATGCATAATTTATAATTTTCACAGCAATAAATTCGTTATATTCGAACTTTTTACAATAAAAGAGAACATATGTTTCATATTATTTGTATTGTGAAATTTTCTCCGTGTACAGTATTTATTTTGACATTCATTTTTTCGCCATGTCTCCTCTATGGTTCGATCTTTTCCATTCTCTTAATTACATTGTCTTTCTTTATATCTCGATAATATTTCTCCACTGATGTTTCTCCTCGTCTTGAGAATAATTATTAAACTTCTCGCGGCGAAACGATTCACGCATCGTGCCTTTGAATAATTAGCGAATGTCCTTTATTAATTCGTATAAGCAGCGCGTCAATTTACATATGTACATACACGTATACATACATACATATATATGTATGTACGTATGTGTATGTATGTATGTATATATGTGTGCCAGATCGATCGATTAGCGCGCGATGCATACGATATTTTCTATCGTCGCGTTCAAATGACATTTACAATCGCAGTTTCTGCTCCCGCGATCTATATTTTTACCGCGTAATAAAAAAAAAGGATGTGTGTGTATATATGTATAACGCGCGGAAGAGATAAAGATCGTAATCTCGATTGCGAATCGACGAATCTTGCGATGTATGTACATACATACGGTGGGCGGAACATACGTACTACACCGCGGCTTCTATTTTATTATCCCCCCTTCCCTATGTCGCGTATGTCTCTCTCGACGATTTTAGAAATTATTATTAATCATTATTAGTATATATATATATATAATAATATCGTGATTATACGGCGATATTACGGTGTTATTTCGTTGTATGGAACCGTAGTAGACGAAGCGTAGAGATATGCGTTTATATTCTCCTACACCGTTGTATGTGCGGAGTGTCCCGAGAAATATTCCTCCATGTTTGACCATGAATATCCAAAGTCCAAGGAAAAGTTTCGGCACGTAGAAGATTCCATTTTCAAAATATTCTGTAAACATGATAATCGTTAAAAAAAGAAAACTGCTATTTACTGTAGGAACTCGAGGAGAACACAAAAGTCCAAGCAATGTCACGTGTTCTTTGTGGAGACGTAAGCGTTCGACAAAATAAATTGTCGAAGTGAATTAGCGATTTATCGTCAATATAAAAGCGATCGAATTTCGAGAGTACGTGTCGCATACGTGTCGCCAATAAGGAAACTGAAAAGTGGAAGAGAAAGAAAGGAATAATTAAAGAAAAAAAAATTTCTCCGCGATACTCCGCGCACAATGCGTCTCTCACGTTTTATTATCACGCGTACTATTACACGATAATATTAGAGTACAACTGTGTCGGGAGTGTGATATAATATTAACCGTAATAGTGTCGAATCGGTGTGTCAATTTCTAATTCACGCCTCTTGAGAGTCCGTCCGAGCTTATCCGTCCGGAATAAAGTTGAGATGCGTTGATAGAAAACATGGAGTACGAGTCGCGCCAAGATCGAAATTTGAAAAAAAAATCGATCGCGATTCATTGCGAGTAGAGTGGACATGTGCCTTGAAGTAAGACTAAACTATTAATTGTTTTCTTTCTCTTCTATATACCTTCTATCTTCATTTATCCACGATATATAAGGGCTCAGTGCAACGTGTGGTTGTCTCCATAATTTGTATCTATATAATTTAATATGTAACTCTATGAGAGATATGATAAATAAATATTGAGAAATCTCAACACGATCTCATTTTCCTCTCTTACCATTTTGTGTTTTAAGTTGAAGAAAACGCAATTGTAAAATCTCCGTGAAGTTGATTTTTTAATCAATTTTTTTTCTAATGAATCGTTTATCGAGGATTTTCGGAATACACAATATCGCAATAAGGATTATCGCAATACGGCGTCATGGGACGTCACTTATGCACTCCGCACAATACGCCCCATGTAAAAGCCGATTTTCAAAATGACGTAACTTCAATTAAAAGTTACTAGAATACGCAAGTAAGGCCGAGTCTACAATAGACAATTTAAACCCTAAGCCTTAAGAAATTGACCAATCACAGTCGAGTATGAAGAGAATACTCGACTGTGATTGATCAATTTCTTAAGACTTAGGGTTTATTGTTTTATCGCGCTTTTCCGAAGTCAAATTTTATAATATTTAGGCCGGTATTCATAGTCCGATCTTATATTTGAGATCGTCTTAAGTTCGAGCTTGAAATGCTACGCAGCTATTTGATTGGTTGAATGAGGTCTTAAGTCAACCTCCAAGCAGATTTAAGACGATCTTAAATATAAGATCGGACTATGAATACCGGCCTTAGTTTTGCATTTTAATAGACTGACTTAGAGTGAACTAAATAAATAAATAAATAAATGATGTTGAGAAAAAGAAAAAGAAGACACATAAATAAATAAATAAATAATAGCATGAAAAGAGAGAACATACTAATATTTTTATATAATAAATTATTATTAATTAAATTATTCATATTTTTATTTATTATTTATATTATCAGAGGGACATATATGTTACCCTCTGAGCACATTCGTAGACTTTGGTTTTGTAGTTATTCATGTTTTGTAGTATGTCCATGTTTTTAATGTCCATAGAGGGCGTATCGCTTTTAGGTATCATCTAAAAGCGGACCATGAACAATAGCAATCGAACGTGATTGGTTTCTACTTTCAAATCCAGCCAATCAGCGAATTACATCGGAAAATCTAGTAATGTTGCCCAACTATTGAGTCCGCTGAACGCAGCCAATGTGACAAGCGCACGAATGAATTAAACATTGAATTAAAACTGTATTTATAGGTTAAAGATAGTTTGAATTTCTGTCTTATAATGGATATAAAACAAAAAATTATACAAAAATTCAACTCGCAACTGGGATCGAATTTAAAAAATCTTGAAGAAATCTACGATTTTCATGAATATCTCAAAGCGGAAAAGGATGAGATTGAAAAATCAGTAAGTCAGTATTCATTCTCACAGAATATGTAATATGAAATATGTTATATACTTTTGTCTTTTATAGTTATCAATGGCCTCAACCACTACTCCGTCCAAAGTAAAAGCGGTCATTGAAAATGTAGAACTTATTAATTGCCAAGTTGAACAGTTGCAAGAAAACTGTGCTGATCTAAGCAAGAAGATTGAAGAAACATTTAGCGAGAACGATAAAAATTTAAAGTTGCAAGAAACTATTGATAAAATAGGTCAGCTGGACAAATCATTATCCTATTTATACTTTGTAAAGTATATAGAAAATGTCAGGTAATAAATTATTAAGAGATGCATAATATATTTTACTATTTTACTACTGATTGTATTGTTTATGTTTAGTGATGAATTAGAGGCGTCGTTATTATCTGGTGACGATGAATCCACTATAACTTTATATACCAATTTGACAAAAATCAGTTGCCAGTTACAAACATCTGTGTGTCGTCACTTGGTTAATTATGTTCATGAAACTCTACACTTTTGGCATAATTTAATCAAGGAGAAATTATCAAAGTAAGTCTTTTTATATATTTAAAACATAGTTCATCCCATAAAATGTATCTTTTTATATAACTCAATAATATTTTGTAGGGAATACAATGATTTATTGAAAACATTAAAATGGCCCTTTTGTGGAACCAATAGCACTTCACTAAGCACACCATTACCAGATGTAATGACAAGACTCAAAATACTCACCAAGTACCTTTTTCATCTGCAACTACCGTATCCTTACAATATACAATTTAATTATATTTTAATTTATTAAAAAGATGTACAGATTGAGAGACAAAAAATATATTCTTGTATTGTTCTTAATGTATATAGAGAAGAAATGACAAAACCTGTAGTAACATCTGCGCTATTAACAGACTTTGCGCCAGTTAGTTTGCCGATTGCTCTCTTAGTACGTCCTCTTCGACTAAGGTTTATTTATCACTTCACAGGAGCTAAATTGACAAATCGTCAAGATAAACCAGAATGGTTCTTTACGCAGATATTAACTTGGATCAAAGATCATGTTCAATGGGTGCAAAAATATATTCAACCTATAGCGGATTCTATAGGTTTTAGACACTTGGATATAAAGGTTGATATAATTTATAAATTGGCTAATCCTCATATATTAGCTGTTGATTTTATATTTCTGGTTACTAATTATATTACATATTGATAGGCCGAATTTATGCGTGCTCTAGTACAATTAGCTGTTGAGAAACTTCATTCTGAATTACCCACAACACAGTACGATGATACTTTATTTGCACATTTGGTGGATGAAGCTTTAGGATTTGAAAGAGAATTACGAGAGACTCTGTTATATCCTCAAGCTCAGCCAGCCACTGTTTTCGTTCTTACACAAGCCCATATTTTCATAAAATGGATTAACATGGAGAAAAAGTGTGAGTGTAAAAATATGTTTTTACATATGTATTATATGTGTTCAAATATAAATACATGTATATTTATCTATTTATTTAGATGCAACCGAAAAAATGGATGCAATATTAAGTTCAAGTACAGCGTGGGAAAAATTGGCGAGTCCCGACATCGATGACATGAAGGTCACTGAATGTGCGGACGCTTTTCTTACACTTCTCATCACGATCTCTGATAGATATAAACATTTACCTCAGCCTGGACATAGGTAAATCATTCATTCCAAGTCATACCGAGAGATTAACTTGGTGACTAATCTTGTTGTTGTCTTATAAAGATTGCAGTTTCTTGAGTTGCAATTAGAATTAATCGATGACTGGAGAGTGCGATTGTTGCAACTGTTACACGAAAATTATGAAGATCCATTAACATCGCTCATGCCGCATATTCTCAATACGTTACATTATGTTGCAACCGTTTTGGAAGAATGGGGAGTAACTGCTGTATGTATAGTTTTATTTATAATTGTAACGTGAAATAGATAAGAGATAATTACTCATTACAAAATTTTATTTGTGTAGCATTTTTTACAACTGCAGTTTTTCAAGAAACAATTTGAAGCAGTGGAAAATGCCACTGACAGAGGCAGTGATGTTAGTGAGAGCATTGGAGAAATAGAGGGCACTGTGTTTGATGAGGCTGTAGCCCTCTTACAACGATTAGAAAGAGAATTAATAAAGGAAATCAGTGACTCAGTAGCTTTAGATGTAAAGGCAAAAAGTAGAGCTTACAGAACTGACAAGTACGAAAACTATCGCCAAATCATTACCAAAAAACTTGTTCTGAATTTATTATCATACTAATAGAGCAATCTTTATTATTTTAAGATGGTTTGCAATGCAATCTTCAAAAGAAATCGCTTCATTATCGGTAACACCGAGTGGTTGTCCCATGTTCCAGGAATTAGCAACGCGTCTTCATGTATTGCACAATGCTCTAGCCTTGCCATTGTTTAATCAAGCTTGGAAAAGTTTAGCTGCTCAATTTGATCAGGTAAATGCAATGAAAAATGGATTATCTTTACATATTCCTCTTTATAACAATTTCTAAGCACTTTTCAAATATTTTTTCTCTTACAGTTTCTTTTTGAGGAAGTAGTATTGGTCAATCGTTTCAATAATGGTGGTGCTGAACAATTACAATATGACGTTTTAAGAAACTTATTCCCATTATTTGGTTTATATATCAACAAGCCAGAATCATATTTTCCTTTGTAAGTCTTGTAGTTTATATAAAATTTTGTAAGCCTTTGTAGTTTATATAATTAAAATTATTTGCTTGTGAAATATACAGATGTTCATGTAATAATTCAATCATTTTAATATTCCAGGATAAAGGAAGCATGTATACTTTTAAATATTTTAATTGGCTCAGCAATACTACTACAAGAAACATTAAATAATAATGATAAAAATGCATTGGAAGTTTTAGCAGATATTGGCGTGCATAAAATGTCTCCTGAACTTGCTCTTAAAGTGATAGCGACGAGAACAGATATTATTTGTGTATAAAAAGAACTCTTGAACATATTTGTAAAAATGGAATTTATCGTATAGCAGTAAGTTTATCATACATTGTTAAATTGTGTGCATAATTATAATATTTTTTCATATTGTGCTTAATACTGTTTCAGTATGTCCGGTATTTGCCCATTTTGTATATATTTGATGAATTCTCAACACAATAATGTTATCCCACCATTGTCGGCGCCTAATAATAACAGTCGATTAAGAGGAAGGACAGCCATGGCAGTAAGAACACCTTTAAAAGCGTCGGATCTCAATTTGGATGAAGAAAATGAAGCAGTCATTTCTACAGCGGTATAGACGCCGATTCGATTCGCTGTCGTTCCTATTACTAATTCCTGTTCATGCATCGCCATACAATGCACAGGTTCTGTGGCACCTCTGAAAAAATGATAGGGTAATTTATGTAAATATATTTTGTATGTGTACAATATGTTTTTAGATAATTATATTATAAATTTTCTTATACTTCATGTGAAATTTAAGTTTTCCATCTATTGCGCTCCACACAGCGATAGTTTGATCCAATGAAGAACTAACTATGGTGGTTTCGTTTATCGCTTCCAACTGCAATATCTACAGCATCAAAAATTGATAATCATACAACGAATTATTTTATCAAGTTTAATATTCTTGGCAACTTAGATTAAATCTTTACCTCGCATTCGTGTCCTTTCCAAGACGCGATAATCAAACCAGTGCGAGTATCGAGTATCGTCAAGAAGCCCGATGCTTGACCCAGAGCAACCCAATTACCGCTAGGTGCGACTGCGATACATCTTATTAAACCAGTTGGATTCATGGAAACCTATATTTTTTATTTGTATATAAATTTTTTTATTAATATCTTAGAATATCGTTATATGTACATTTTTCATTACTTACTTTCATTTCATTAACGTACTGGAATGTTCTACAATCGATAACTCTAAGGGTAATATCTGTTGTTCCCACAAGAAGAGTTGTTGATGGAGAAGGACTCGAGGCTAAAGTGTTTACGGGGACGGGACGACTGCTTTCCGGACAGCCTAGAAGCGAACCCATAAAAGGATCCCAACAATGAATCATACCATCGCATGTCACTGCGTATCTCAAGGATTCCAGGAATGTAAGTGAAAGAATAGATTTTTTATGTCCGGTATATGTATATTGACACGACGAGACTGTACTTCCGTCACCCTAATTACATGAAAACTTTTATAACTCATTCTCTAAATATTCTGGTAATGCAACATATTGTTAAAACTAAACAGATACAACTTACCTGGCTCCGTAAACTCCATAATTTTACAGTCTTGTCTCTGCCACCACTCATAAAACTATTTTCATTGTCCAATACATACATACATCTTACGCTATTTGTATGCCCGCTGAAATTCTGAAGCTTTATCTGCTTTATATTAAATAACGCATCCTTCTCCGGTCTTCCTATCTCATGTTCCCAATAAGCTAGCCAATTACCACGTAATTGTCTGCCAGCGGATGACGGGCAGGTTGTCTCGCGACAACCGACAGCGACACTCGCTTCCGTTGCCATCGATTGAGACCTAACGTCGTCGTTTTGTATCTCGAATCTATTTCCTATCACGGATATATTTCCAAAACTGCAAACGTCTTTATCGATTAATTCCGCATTTTCTGTCACATCCACGGAAGTCACAGATACATTATATCTGTCTGCGTTATCTTTAACAATAACATTAAGAGATTAATATATCGCATAGTAATCAAGGAACAACAGTTTTATGCAGGAATATATACCAGTATTCAAGAAGCTCGCTTTTATTCCCTGCTCATAATCGTGACAAAGTTCTTTTATACGATCGTGATTTTTAAGTATTTGTTCCATCATCTCGCTATCGACGCATCTATAAAAGAGCATATACGCTTTATGAGCAAACTCAGCAGTAAACACGGCTCGTAATTCTTCAAATGCCTGTATGAAAATAAAAAAATTTAATACATATTTACATTTACATAAAAAAAAAAGAAATTAAAAATCGTAATATATTCAATCTTACTTTATTTCTTTGTAAATCTGGCACGTCGCTATTTTCCAATATCGGAGGAGAATACGAATCCGTAATATCTGTATCGAGTTTATTCCATGCACTGATTCCATTGTTATCCGATGTACTTTCATTTGTAGTCTTTATTCTAAAATATTAAAAATAATATAATGAATATTTGTGTATATTGTTATATATGTAAATACAGTACAATTAATTAAGATGCTTTTACACATCTATATTATGTTCTATAGTATGTACCGTATAGAGTGTTCACAAGGTGCGTTTCTTCCAAGATTATGCGACAAGCCCTGAGTGTTCGAATTCTCACTGAAGGCTTTGTCGAAAGCCAGAAAGAAACGTTGAATCGGCACTGCTAAGTGATTCTTCGTAATTACGCTGCCAAGACGTAAGCTAAGAATGAGCATTGCTTCCAAGCATTTTTCAGCCAGAGCGAGACGCGCAAGTATTCCATTTGGAAATGTAAATCTCGCGGTCGACAGTATACGTACTGTGGGATGTAGGATGGATTTAACAATCGGTTCCTAATTCCAAAATATAGATAAATGAGAGCTGTTACACTTATTTTTATATTATATATTGTTAATTGATGAATATAATATACAGACTGTCCGGAAAATGGCCCGTAGTAAGTGATTTGGGACCCAAAAAGAAGGAAAAGAGCTATATAAACATAGGTCCGGAAAAAAGTAAATCGTTTTCGAATTATAGCCACTTTTATGTTAAAAAAATCATAATTTATAATCCGCTTAGCATCCCTTTTAAAATTTTTTAATTTAAATTTAAAATTTAAATTTAAAATTTAAAAATTTAAATTTAAATTTAAATTTAAAAACTTAAATTTAAATTTTTAAATTTAAAAACTTAAAATAGGTGTCATGAGGGTAGTTATGATTAAGTTACGATTTTTTTAAATGTGATTATAACTTGGAAACGGCTTATTTCCAGATCTATGTTTATATAACTTTTTTTCCTTCTTTTCTTCCAAACTTTAAAGTACTGTGGGCGATTTTCCTGTATAGTTAATACATACAGGTATACTAGATGATACACATATATTAATTGTATGATAGATATTACATGAAGCACGTCCATCACAGTAGAGTCACTGAGATATGCCGTAATATGATTCAATAGAGCCAGGCAAGAAATTAAACCACCTTCCAAATTTAATGTTAACTTTCTCTTGCATAGCGCCAACAATTCAACCATATGTGCGAAATATTGTAATAATATAATTTGTTCTCCGTATAATCCTGGCAAAACGATTGGTAAATTATTGCTCGCAGGATTGAAATATCTTAGAAATTTTTATACGTACCTGCGATAGCTGTGAGACATTCTAGAACTTTAACAGCATTTCGATCACCAGCCAATAACGATTTTTTCCATGTAACACCTTCCAGACATACATAATTATTGTCATCGACCGACGTTAGATTTTCTTTCCCGGCATAACATAACGTCAGCATTCGCAGAAGGTTTCGTGACAAATGCCGCGCTGTAAGTACCGGGCCGAGTCTGTGAGACAGCCAAATAACGGATTCTGCACTCATTTCGGAAATTGTACATTCGCTGGGAGTGGATTTTCGATAAATATCCAATTGATGATGTAGTGAATCTTCCTCCGATTCGGTCACGTTGCGTTTGTTGTCAAGATCGATGGCAAGCGTAGCACACATGTCTTCCTTGGCTTCTACCAAACTGCATACATTCTCGGAGAGATTACTGCCGGAATGGATATTTGTGCCATATGTACTAACATAAGTGAAATCTTCGCTGGAGGTTTTACTACCGACATTGCAGCCAATACTATTAAATTCGATTACTGATTTAGGCCCACCGATATTTGATTGTTTTGGTATCGGAATCGTTGGCGATTTCACAGAGCCGCTCGGTGAATTTTTGCTCCCATCGTCGTTCAAATCGTCATTCGCATTCAAGTTGAGATCTATATGTAAGTCGATATCATATGGTATAGTATTATTTAAAGAAATCCATGTGTTATCCTCTGGTTCCATAGTAAATACTTCTGTAATAATAATTAAATTAGTTAATTAAATTTCCTTTTTAATAGACCATTTTTTTCAAATATACTAATCGAATCATTAGCAATTCACTTGAAATCACCTTCAACTTCATTATCTAGGGTTACATTAGATACATGATTATTGCTCGTTGGTTCGAAAGATGAAGCAACATTATGTTCAGTATCCGCGAATGAATCTTCATCCAATGGAGATAAAACGCCTTCCCCGTCACTGCAGGGTCCACTCAAGTCACAGCTCCTTTATAAAAATTTGCAAATTATATATAAGATGTATCAAATAAAATTAATTATATATAATAATTTCTTTTTTTCTTACTTTAGATTTCCAGTTCTATGTGTACATGTACCAAGGGATCCTTGTATATAATCTTTATATCCTCCTACTGCTTCCACCAAAGGATTTATAAAATTATCTAGAAATCTACGTAATCCTAATCTAACTATCAGCTTGAGCAAAAACATTCTGTGATACAGTCGAGTGGTTCGAAACTTCGCGAGTGTTCCCGCGGGTAGTATATCGGCATACAATGCAATGTCCATGATGGAACCATTCTCGTATAATTTGGTGATAGGCAAGAGAAACGTATCTGCCGTATCCTTCGGCCCCAATGTTCTACGGCAAAAGGATTAGAAAAATAAAAAGAATTTATAAAAGAGAATAATTCTGTTAGAAAGACATTTCTCTATAATGCACACTTACTTTGCGATAGGATCAAAAAGATACCACACTGATAAAACCGCGCTATAAGGATCTTCCATAATTTGTACTATGTGAGGAACTATCAATTGTAAGGTGGCCTCTCTCGCGCTACCGGCGTAAGGTAACAATCGTTCGAGTTCTCTTGCAATTGCTTTTACCTTACACTCGCTAATTTTACACAGATATTTTGTCTTTGTTTTAATCGCAGATTCGATATCATCTTCGGTCCTCACAATAGAATTTAATTCTCGTATCAAATCATTATATTCTTGCAACATTTCCACAATATTATATAAATATTGACAATATTTGGAGAATGGGAATAGACTACCGGATAAAATTGGTTGAAGAAATTGATGCGCAGATGGTGGCGGAAGACCCATGTATGTTATTGTTGGATAACGAAAAGGAATCTCATCGTTTACCTAAGTATAAAACAAAAAGCCTCATATATTATAAAATATCGATTTTGATTGTCTTAATAAAATATATATATAGTGCGAAATTTTAAAATTACCATTGAAATGTCATTCGGCTCTACGTTATCTATATTATAACTCTTTGGCATAATATCAATCTGAAGTAACAGAGATACGATATTTTTTATACATTTCGGTAAATTATCAGCCGATGTCTTCAAAATGTTTAGACACGTCGCAAATCTATGCGCGAATGACGTTTTTTCAATGTTCCAAGTCGCGCGAAACTTGCCGGCTAGAAATATCTCTACCATTAAGCAACCGAGTATCTGTTGTTCCTTGATACGACCACTGGCCACAATCTGTTTGTAATTTGTAGAAAGATCGTGCGACCCCACTGTAGGTTTATAAATTCGATGGTTGATTTTATTCATGAAAGCGTGCATAGTTTCTACTTGCACGATCGCCGCGACAGGATTAAAATCCTTTGGCAGAATAATAGGCTGATTAACGGATTTATCCGATTTAATGTTATCCTCTGAGAGCAAAGAACCTCTAGAACGACTCAACAAGCGACTCAATACGAGAGGCGACGATCTCGCTGCGTTTGTTGCCGTAGCGGCTGATTCCTCTTCCTCGATACCAGAACTGTGACCTTCATCATCACTGATTCTGTTTGATTGATCACTTTCTGTAATTGTACAATAGTTTGAGAAAATTTTAAGAATGTTTATTCTCGAAATTTTTGTAAAAAAACTTACTGATTTTAGTTGAAGTTGTCGCGGATCTAAGACGAGGTGGTACTTTACCCCAATAAGGAGATGGGATAATTTTTTGTGGGTGTGGTTGCGTGAAAAGTTGTACAACTCCAGAATTAGTTAAATCAGTATGATTATCAACTAGCTGTAGACAAACGTTTTTTGATTTTACGGCAGCAAAACCAGACAATCTATGAAAAGGCACAAAAATTTCTATAAATACAATTAATAATTTTTATTATTAAACAAGATTAAGTTTTTGTACTTGTAACCAAAAGTCAAATCTATCCAATGGTGCAATCTTTCCGAAACGTAAAAACTTTCTAATGCTTCTCTATGCTTTTCAATAAAATCTTCTGGAGAAGTTGCCCATGCTGGAATTTCCAAATCTGGCAAATCTTCGTGAATAGACTGTAATTAAAACATACATTTTAAAAGATTTATTGAACATTAAAAAGATATTTTATTACTTTACTATAATAATATAATATTTTACCTTAAAAACATTAGGATCAGTAAAGAATTGTGGAATACATTCATCAGGACTCCAATCATGTAACCTCTGAATTGAAGCTGGATATTCTCCAGGTACCCATAAAGTTCGTACATGTTTACAAAGCACAGACTTATTATATCGACGTGAAAGATATACATAATATGTGATTTCTGACAAAACATCCGAAACATGATGTCCAACCTGTATATATGAATTAATTATTCAAAATATGTGAATATATATGAAACAAAATTCCCACATTACTTTATATACCTCAGTTGATTGTGAGTCAAATGTGAGATCTAATTGTCTGTCTCCCTTATTTAATCGAAATTTTGACTTTGTTAGATCTCTCCAATTGCCACCGTTCCTCGATGTAAAATCCGTCACCCAAGGCATAACATGATGACAGCTAGGATCGCCGTACCTTCTACCAGCTAAATTATTGAGTGCAGTCAAATAATCAAAATTGCTGATACAATTATACACCCACATCTCGCACAATTTCTCGATGCTTTCATTTAAACCAAAGTCGCTGTTATTTGAATGAGATATGTTATCCTTTTTATTGTAAGCATTATTATTGGAATTTTTCTCTTTAATGTCTTGAGAAGTAATAGGATACCCATTTTCAGGTTTTAAATAAATATTATCACTTAATTTTGGTAGTACCTAGAAAAAATAAAATTAACTTACAATAGTGAAATATTTTTTTTTGATCTTATTTCACATTTAAATATTAGGATCATATATAAATAGACACAAAATATACCTTAATAGTAAAATTATCTGTGATCAATATGTCACTAAGTGTAATTTCTCCCAATGCAAGACCACGATCGTGCAAGTCTCTGGATAATCTTAATAATTGATAAACTACAAACAATGATTTTCCATGACTCGTATTAAGAGCAGCAGGACTATACATTACGCATCTGAAATTGATGTTTACAAATATGATATGCAAGAACACTTTGGAAAACAATTTTAACATATTAAAATAAATAAATACAAAATAGTTATTACTCACTCGCGAAGAGAGAAATTCGCGATCTGCTCATAAAAAATTATAAAAGCGGATGGTGTTTCTATGACAAAATGGATCGGTACGAGATTACAATGTGCTTCGGATGATGTGCCATTCGATACTGATAAAACCACACCATGTTGCACTTGAACCAAAGTACAACCATACATCCTGTTTAGTACTTCATGCATAATAGCAACGTCATTTGCATTAGCTGTGATATTAGATTGCTCCTTTTGTTCAACAAAATTCCAAGGATCTATATATTACACAAGATTGTAAGTAAAAAAAAATCAATATCTAACTCAAAAATTGAAAACTGAAAAACTAGATAGAAAATAATGTCTATTAAAACACGTACTATAATATTTCTTGTAAGTTTCTTTCCATAGGTTTCTGTAATTAGTTTCAGCTACATAATGCAACAATTGTGAAAACATTAATTCCGCTTGATTCTTTGTGCTGGTAGGCCTTCCTCTTGGCAAAGGGATCGCATTCTTGTACTGTTTTACATATACCTATAAGAATAATAACTTTATATCGCATCTCATACATTATACATGTATTGTATAAAATATCCAAAAGATTGTAAAGATACTTTTGCATATATTCTCAGCCAATCGCAACCTAATTCGTCGAGAGACGGTTGCGCGGCTATCTCATCGCTGGACAATCGATCATGATTGATAAACGTAAATGGACCAACTGTTAGAAACCGGGAAAGCCAATTTCTGTGAACTGTCAGGCAAATTCTTCCATCTGTCAATATCATATACTTTGCTGGTACCAATAGATATTCCTTTATTATATCCATTTTGCTCTATATTTATTCAGATATATTATTATTATGTAAACAAATACTCTCAATCTTTTCTCTCATTTTCATTTCGTCGTAGAACAACAAGAGATGATATATATTTTCATGTATATAAACTTTCTCGGCTGTCATAAATGTCAAAACCAGCTGATGTTTAGACGAAATTATTGAATCCATAAAAGGGGTGGCAACTTTGAAAAAGAGATAGTGTAGAATAATCCCTAGAATATTCTAGATGGTGTTTTCGAATCAGTTTGGCCGCATTCAGCGGACTCAATAGTTGGGCAACATTACTAGATTTTCCGATGTAATTCGACGCTGATTGGTCGGATCTAAAAGTAGGAACCAATCACGTTCAATTGCGGTTGAATCCACTAAATGCGACCATTGATCTGGGGTAGTTTACTAGACCAATCACAGTCATTCTTCTGAAAAAATGTAACCATATATATTCCAGAAGAATGGCTGTAATTGGTCAATAATGTCTAGTAAACTACCCCGGGTCGATCAAACCTGACGGGTGGCACCCGATTGACCACGTCGCCAATTGGCCAATTCAAAATAGGACTCTTTGATTGGTTAATCGTTGCTGATTACCCTAGGCACAAGTCGATATAATTGGCTGTGGTCAATCGCAACGTGGTCAAACGGGACGCTCCCAACCTGACCATTCGAAGATGCCATGATACTGGATAATAAAAAGATGGCGATACTGTTCTTTTCGACAATTTTTGGATATTGTAAAAATGTGAACCACTGTTTACAAACTGTGTCGTGAGTGAATTGCTTGCAAGTAATTAGAGTAATTGGCTATTATGTTGCCATTTCATAATAGAATACTTTGTTGGAATGATTATCCTTAGCTTAATGTTACATAACGAATATTTTATCGATCAATTGTTCAAATTTGATTCAATTCTTCAAAAAGTGTGATGCTTGTTTTACGCGGACTCCAAAACTCGAATTCTCTCGTCATCTTAGGCGGCCTCGCTTTGTGTCTCTTATTTATGATTCAAATGAAGCAAATCTATACTAACAATCAAAAATATAACAGATACCTGAATTACAGACAATATGTGAGTTTTTCATGTATTTATATAATTATTAACAATCGTGTAATTAAAATTGTCTTTAATTGTATTAAAATTGTTTCAGATAATCTATAATTTGCACTTTGGACAGAAATTTATTTATAATTTTATGTACTCCAAATCTAATATCCTTAGACAATATATATACATATATGCTTTTTTAAAATATTTTTTGCATTACATGATATATATAATTAGGATTCTGTTTCGAACTTTATCATAAATTATTCTTTACTTGATAAAGATTCATTACTTGATAATGTAATTTTAAAACTAAAAAACATGATTGATTATATATTTTTAGATGAATGAAATAGCAACAGAATTGAAAGCAGTGGTAAAGTCTGTAAATAAATCATCAACTTATGTTCGTCAATTAAATGAAATGATTTCCAAGTATCGAGATAGAGAGTCAAAGAATACTTCAATGTCAAGAGTTAGCTCATCGTAAATAATTTAAGTAAGTAAAAAGATTTATATTGAATATATTAAATATTTTATTTACATTTTATAAATATCATATTTAAATTCCAAAAAAAATTTTTTATTATTTTGTTGTGCAAAAATTAAATAATGATTGTAAAACTTTATTATGTATTAAATTATAACATTTATTATTATTTAAATAATATTAAAAATTATAGGACTATACAGAATATTATTGTTTTTTCTTCGTAATTTACTTATTTATTATTATTCATAAAATGTACATTATCAAATTGTAAAAAAAGGAAAGAAATATATGCTTAGATAATAGTTATTGATAAATATTAAGAACAAATTTCAATCGTCGAAATTATTCAGTGGCATACATTGAGCATCATGTTTGTTATGTCCAGCATTTTCCAAAACACCATCTGGTGCACAAATCCATGGATCTTTTGTTACTTTCAACCAATTATACAACCGTTCTTTAAGTTCAATGAATATGCTCTAAAAATGAAACATATATGAATTATATCTGTTAGTAAAAATTTTGTGATTAATTTGATTACAATATTACACTACCTTTGCGGATGACTTTGAAGCTATATTATTTAATTCCTCTGGATCATATTTTAAATCGTACAATTCCCATTCTGGTCTCTGATAGTATTTTTTTAACGTTTTATACCATGGTAGAGATTGATGAGTCTGTGTTCTATTGAGAATATCCTGTATATACACAATATGAAAAATTTAGGAATATTATTAATATTTAACTTGTATGCTCCAGTTAAAAAATAATGGCACTTCTTCTTTTTCAAATTACCTGGAAAGTTGGAGATATATAAAAATCCTGATCAATGGGAAATGGCATTCTATAATTAATGTTATGTATAAGTTTATGGCGTTTGGTTCTAATTGTACGCATGGGATAGTACATGGTAACTTCATGGTGCGTTTGGCTAGCAAAGATTGCTGTATTATTTTCTACAGGTTCTATAAAAGAAATATTCATTATTTTAATTTTTTTAACAGAAGACACTATATGTTTATTGCATTCAATATACGCATATATCCATACCTTTAAGAAGTAATGGCAGAAGTGACTTGCCAGTAAATGGAGAAGACACTTCATTGAAGTTTGGATAATCCATGTAAGTTATATTGAACCAATCTAATATTGTTGGTGTTATATCCAACAAAGAAGTCATGCTATTTGTCACGCTATTTTTCCGATGGCCGTGAATCGGTGATGAAATCATCATAGGTTCAGCGATACCTTCAAAATTTTTCTCACTTCATCAGTCATATTTGTCAATTTTGTCAAAACAAGATGTTCAGACCAAAAGCATAACAAAAATCACACTTGATGAAAATATTTTTTACAATATTTGAAATATTTATTACATTGAAATATTTATTACAATATTTGATAAAAATTATTTCAAATGTCACTTGCTTTTCATTCTCTTTATACTTCTGCAATATAATTAAATAAATTTACAAACCTGGATCATATAAATTCGTGCGACCATTTGGGAAAGGTATGCCATTATCGGACGTGTAAATTACCAATGTATTATCCTTAAATCCTGCATTTTTTAATTCTTCAAGAACAAGACCGACACCTAGAAAAGTTATATTCCTTTAACTATCTTTACTTTATACATTAAAATATACTTTCTCATAATATATACTGGAAATGTGTGTATTTGAGCATTTGTAAATTCAATTTTTTAGAAAGATGTTAGAATACCTTTGTCCAAACGAGATATCGTTGTATATTGTGCAGCAATATCTCTTCTAGCAGCTTCAGTATTTTGAACATAATAGGGTACCTTAACTTGTTCCCATTGATAATATATTGGATTCCAATCGGGAATCGTACCCATTCCAACATCACTGTTACCAAATTTCTCACAAAAATTGCCATACTCTGGATTAGTATGGCCACAACGATGTGGATCGTGAAAGGCAATATATAAAAAGAAGGGTCTGCAAAGTTAGAATAATATATTTTGCAAAACATACATACATACGTATATGAATTTTTTAGTATGCAATGCAGTACAAAAGATATATTGTTATTATATATTTTATACATAATGACATGCACATAACATACATCCATTATAAAATATTTATAAAAGTAAAATTATGAACTGTATGTGAAAATATCACTTACTGTGTTTTATTCTGAACTGAAAGAAATTCACGGACTAACAGTTTTATATAAGTAATATTACGACCTACTTGAAGAATAGAATTATTTTCTTCTGTATGCGCAAAATCAAAGGGATAAACCTTATTCGGTCCAACATGCTTTTTGCCAATAATTCCTACACAAAGAAAAAAATGCAATATGACCCAATAATGTATGTATAATGTGCATATTTATTAATCATTATTTTACCTGTTCGTATATTATTTTTTTTCAATATTCTTGGCAAACTTTGAACATCATCAAAAGAATTAAAGTGATGAATTCCATGATGAAGACCATACATTCCATTTTGATGGCTTGGTAATCCAGTTAATATTGCAGAGCGACTATAAAATGAAAATTCAAGAGATTTATATTGCTATTTATATACTCTCTCATAATAATTTGATTCAATTTGTAACAAAAATACCTTGGTGAACAGCTACTGACTGATGTATATGCATTATTGAACAATAGACTTTCTTTTGCTAATTTATCTAAATTAGGAGTCTGACAGATTTTATTCAAGTAGGATCGCATTTCAAATCCTGCATCATCAGCTGTGAATTGAAGAATAAATATTATTCAAATAATAAGAGAAATCTTAGATCTACATTTAAATAATTTATAATTTATGATAAAACAAATTTTTTGAAATAATTTTATATTACTACATGTTTATATATTTTTATAAATATATACAGTACAATACTACATATTTTTATAAATATATATTAGTTTTATATGTGTTATGTATTCCAATATATATCTTCTACATATATATCTTAATTTTTCAATATAACTAGAATCTCATTTTGAACTTTGATGCAAATTATGAATTATTTAAAATTTATCTAATTTCAAAATTAATTGCATAATTCTCATATTTAGGAGTAATTAAAAAGATTTAGTTTTTAATTTGTGATAATATTTTGATATGTAATTTTTCATATTTAGGAGAAATTAAAAAGATTTCTAATTTCTAATTGTTGACAATATTTTTAGATATATAATTTTTCATATTTAAGAGGAATTAAAAAGATTTCTAATTTCTAATTGTTGAAAACATATTTTTAGATATATAATTTTTTAAATTTAAGAGAAATTAAAAAGATTTATAGTTTCCAATTGTTGATAATATTTATTGACAATATTTTTTTAGATATATAACTTTAATATCTAAATTGTTTATACATTTTTAAAAATAATATTTTACTTTTTTTACATAAAATTATACAATTGTGATTTAATTCAGTTTATTCAACAAAATATTCGAGAAATCATATTTTTTAATAAAATAAGATTTAAAAAAACCAATAAATTACCCAGCAACAAAAGCACATTTTTTGGAGCTGTATCAGCATCTCCATGCGTGATGCATAATGCCAATGAGATAATGCACAAAGTACATAATGATATATTAAACTTTAAACGGTTGTTCCACGACATTTCGTAATGCTTGTTGACATATGTACGGTATTGGTGAATGGCTTACGGCTTACGCTTATATGAATGACGCATGTAACTGTTGCCAATATTACGAATCAAAATTTGTCTACTTTTCTGAGATAAAATAAGATCGATTATTTATTCGTTCTAATCTTATTGCTCATTATTCACAATTAAAAGCGAAGGTACAACACAAATATCCGAAAGTTCGATATGTTTGGATTTAAAGTTGACATTTTTTTTGTTATTCAATTGGTAAATATATAACTACTTGCATCTTGCATGTGTCGTACAGTCACGTATATGCTTGACGTATGCACGTTTTATACGTTTTTTTTTGTCATTCTTTCTTTTATTTTATTTTCGTAAAATCATAATTAAACATCGTTAATTATAAACTAGGTACATTAAAAATTTTCAACATTATTGCTTGCGAATCCAAGCTGCTCCGAAATGATTCCGTTTTCATGAACAAAATGTTATTGTATTCCTGTAAAATAGGTTAGACAGTCATATATTTGTTTTGGAGTTACACGATATGCTCTTGCATGTTTGTAAATTTAAGTAATTGCAAATACGTATACGCCCAATAGAAATGTAATCTTATCACGTTTCAAAGTAAACATTGAGATTTAGGGCTGGGAGTGACAAATATCGAATGAAATTTATCATAGAGCCTTTTCTTAAAAAGTGGGGGGAAGGGGAAGAATTGTTTATCTCTTACTAATCAAGCTTGGCACGTGATTTCCGAAGTCTGCTTTCCGATAATCTTTTCCTTCATTTCAAAGTTGACACATCGTTTCTACGTTTATAAAAAATAAGTTTATAAAATTAGCTATATATAATTTTATATAAAAACTCTTGTTTCTTTTTTATTCTGTATGTAATCTATGTAATATGACCATGTGGAAATAAATGATTCTGTGTGTAAAAAGTAACAATATGTGTTTTAGAATCTCTGAGTATTTAAACAAGACATTGCATCATGTCCAAAAAAATTATTTGCCTATTTGATGTTGATGGCACACTCACCGTACCACAACAGGTATATTTTGAATAATTATATATATATTTAATTATTAAAAAATATATTCATCTTTTGTTAAACATAACTGTCTTTTTTTAGATTATTATAATTAACATATTATTTTGCATCTTGCATGTTTGATAAAATTTATGTCTGTTTTCCATAGCCAATCAGTTCAAGCACTGAAAAGTTTCTTCTGGAGACTGTGAAAAAAGAATTTGACATTGCAATAGTTGGAGGATCTGATTTGATTAAGATTAAAAAACAATTAGGTAGTGAAAATCTGTTTGAAAAGTACAAGTACATCTTTGCGGAAAATGGGCTTATTCCATTCAAGGATGGCAAAGCTCTGCCATCACAAGTAAGTAATCAAAGCGGTTATTTACAATTATTGTATTTAAGAATGATAATAAATTATGTTTATTCTATTCTCACATATATGTATATATTAAATTTTAGTCAATTCAAAATGTGCTGGGAGAGGATGTTCTGCAGGATTTTATAAATTTTGCTTTGCGATACATATCCGAGTTGAAGTTGCCATTTAAACGTGGAACATTTGTGGAATTTCGCACAGGTATGATAAACATTTCGCCAGTAGGACGAAATTGCAGCAAGAAAGAACGCGAACAGTTTTCTGAATATGATAGTGAACATCATATCCGTGAAAAATTTATACAAGTCCTTAAAAAGAAGTTCCCTGATTTGACTTTGACTTACAGTATTGGTAAGTGATTTACATGAAATCATTGATATATATTTAATTTAATTAGTAATTATTAACAGTTAAATTAATAAATTAACAATATTCATTAAATTATTTCAATTAAATTAATTATTCTCGTTAATATAAATTCATTACTAACTACAAACTTTTGAAATATCAGAACAACGGCTGAAATTAATGCATTACTTATAGAAAAGTAAACAAATATTTATTATTTTTTCTAAGGAGGACAGATCTCTTTTGATGTTTTTCCTAATGGTTGGGATAAAACATATTGCTTGCGTCATATCCAAGGATATGACGAAATACATTTCTTTGGTGACAAAACGGCAGAAGGTGGTAACGATCACGAGATTTACGAAAGTGATTTGACGATAGGACATCGCGTCACTTGTCCCCAAGACACAGTAAATCAATTAAAAGTCCTTATGGCACTCGTAAAAGAGAATAGGGAAAAGGAACAATTTAGTGCTCCATTACAATGTGTCTAATAAATCGAAGAATAATATAGTTTTCTAGGTCAAAATAAATTTATATTTTCAATACATAATATATTAGCAAACTAGTTTTTCCTCTATTTCAATTTTTTGCCGCTCATGTAACATTCCTGATAATACAAGTGTAAGAGTACTTAATATATATTTATAAAGAATACGGCTCTATGTATTTAACAACATGATAATTATGAAACGAGCGATAAGAGCCTAAAAACGCGGATGGTAATGCGTAAATTATTTTTTTCCAAACATTAATTGTTCGCGAAAAAATTTTTTTAAGAGGGGGGAGGGAAAAGACTCGGGTTCGATTCCCGATTCAGCGATTTCGTCCCGATATTTTTCCTGTCTACATCTCTTCAGGGAGGTAAAGAGAGTGTTATAGAAGTCTCAAACCAAGAGAATCTATAATTTGGCATATGCACCAAGTAAAATATATGTATAAATGCCTTGTGCACGTCTTAAAAAAATTTTTCCGCGAACAATTAATGTTTGGAAAAAAAAAAATTTACGCATTACCATCCGCGTTTTTAGGCTCTTATCGCTCGTTTCATAATTATCATGTTGTTAATATATATTATACTTGTAATATTGTTACACAGTTTCAAGTTTCAGTATTTTAAAATTCTATGTTTCTACCAACTTTTAGAAATATATTTGTATATATTCTCTTTATTCTTAGGAAATTATTTTCTTATTATTGTATTCGATATACAAAAGTTATAAAATAATTAAATAAAAAAGATTATCGGAATTTAAACAATAATCTTTTTTTACATATTTCCGAAAGACAGATTCTACGCGCACAAGTTTCACACATACCATCACACATATCCTAATGCATTTACACGATACACAAATACACACACATATATATATATATATATATATATATATATATATATATATATAATTATATTAAACAATAACAATGTTAACATAAAAAAAACATTTATTGGAAGACATAAGACGTAGAACTATTCCGCTACCGACGTAAGAAAGGCACCTTTATTATTAGCATATGTAAATGCACAAGGCATAATGCAAGGTCAATGCTGCATCCGCAATATTGTTGTGCATAAAAAACTTTTGATGTTATCTTTTTATCTTTAGATAGATTTCATTACGTAAGTTTAATCGCAATTTTTAACGATAATGCAATTCGGATAAAAATACGTTAAGTATCTCATAATTGATATATACAATAATTCTCAGCAAAATATGTATATATATTGTGAAAAAAGCTCGTATAAAATGCATTTTATTCATGATATGTAAATTAAGTTTTTGATAATGGTGTGAGATTTTATACTCCTTGATAAACAGGTGCACGTTTTGCTGCGAAAGCGGCAAGTCCTTCGAGTCTGTCTTTTGTGTCCATGATCTTGTTGTAGCATTGCTTCTCGATCTCCAGACCGTCTTCCAGAGACACTTCCGTGCCTTTGGATATAGCCACTTTTGCCGCTCTAAGCAATAATGACATGATTAAATCGTTTCCATATATAAATGTTGTAATTTGTCGAAGATAATTATAAAAGTTTTAAGTATAGAATTTAAGTATTGAATAAAAAAAACGTGTTACTCGCACTCAGAAGATAAACAGTCGTATGATGTGCATTATATAATACGTGAGCAATCGCATCAGCGATTCTGAGTAGCCATCGCCGCATTTAAATGCTTATTTCTTACAAACAACGTATTATTACAAGAAATTTCATGCTTTATATTTTTCTGTTATTTATATTCTCCACTTTTTATACTATTGATTTATTTTATTATTTTCGTTATCTCTTGTAGTAATATTTTTATTTCTTTTCTATCTTTAGTTCTTTTATTTATTCTCGTATCTTTTTTATTTTTTATCAAGAAAGGAAATGCTTTTTTATTTTATTAAACATTTTCGCTTAATTTTAAGCAAAATTAAATTTTGTATCATTTGGACAATTATTGACAACTCACCTAACGCCAATAGGACCGTTGGGCAAAATCTCTCTCGCGATAGAAAGTGCCGTTTGATAAGCGGCATCACCAGTCTTATTTTGCGGAACCGCCTCGTTTACGAGACCGATCATGCATGCCTGCTCGCCGTCCAGAATCCGTGCTGTATAAATCAATTCCTTGGCCTTGGCTGCTCCGATTATCCTCGGAAGTCTCTGCGTTCCACCGGCGCCGGGCATTATGGCCAATTTTGTCTCTATAAGACCCATCTTGGCCTCCGAAGAGGCGACTCTGATGTCGGTTGCCAATGCGAGTTCCAGTCCTCCGCCCAAAGCGGCACCATCGATGGCCGATATCACCGGAGTCGGCAGGTTCTCCACGTCGGTCATGAGATCTCTCAGGGAGGATACGAATTGCGGGATCTCGATCGTGTCCATCTTCAATCTCTCCCGCAGATCAGCTCCGGCGCAGAATACTTTCGGGACCAAGCTGCGTATGATGAGCACCCTCAGTTTCTTGTTCTGCTTGATGGAAGCCAGCGCCTCGTTCAGTTGAGAGACCAAGATCTTCCCGAAGGAATTGCGAGCGACTGGTCTGTTCAACCCTAATACAGCGATGCCATTATCCTTCCCGTCCAAATAATTAACAATCACTTCTCTCGCCTCGTCCTTGGGACTTGGCATCGCGTTTGTAGTCAATGTCCTTGCAGCACAAGCGCAAAGGTGATGAAGAGTGCTGCTGACTCTGACGTTCGCTACTAACGAAACCATTGTGCAGGAAATGTGTTTCTCCTTAAAATGGAAACTGGAAAAAAATTTTTTACACTTGTTAAGGTATTCGATAAAATATGAATTCATTTTACCATTTGAATTTTAATATTTGATATTTGAATTCAATTTTAATATTTCTAATTAATATAATAAAATAAAGATTCATAGGATAAAATCAATAAAATTTCATAAAAGGCTTAAAGGACCGGCGCAATGGTGTTGCGCTGGTCCTTTAAGCCTTTTATGAAATTTTGCGCTGGTCCTTTAAGCCTTTTATGAAATTTTATTGATTTAATATTTCTACCTCTATCCACACACGCATACAAAGTATTGAATTATGCATACATATATATCTTATTTTTTATTCCTTATATCATTTAAGAAAAAAAAGAATGAAAAGGGTCAAGTGAAAAATTCCAAGAGACTTACTTAAACACAACAGACCGGTTTCTTGACTTTCGCCGCACCGCGTAGTCGTGAAAAAAATTACAACGTTGTTATCCTTGATCTTATTTCGAGATTACGATGCAACAGGAGCATCCAGCGGACAAATCGCGCGCGTGCAATGCACGAATTTTTTTTTTTTAATTTTCGCGAATCGCAAGAATGTGTTGTCGCGTTGCAATTTCTCGGACTTTATACACTTTGTCACAACGGGCTGTTACAACATCGACGCGATGTGACAGTGGAGGCGATGGTAGGGATGACCGAAGAAAGTTCACGAGACTCGACGAGAGGAGCGCGAACCCCCCTCCCACGCTAAGTACTGTCGCGTCGACGTCGCGGCGACGACTGTTTGCTCGCTCTTCGAAAGCAAACAATGTGTACAGTGTGCACGTGTCGGTGTCAGACGGAATGCGCGCGCAGCCTGCGTATGCGCGTTGAACACATATTAGTGTCTATTTCGAATAAAAGAGGGTACCACGTGGCCTTTTCGTTCTCTAATCGTGTGTGTCTTGTGACTACAAGTGTGATGTACGCGGCTTTCTCTCTTAAATGGAGTAAACAATTTTCGCGGAGAAATATCATAATAAACAAGAAAAGATTAAAAAACCGATAGAAATATTCTTAGTGATAAAAATAATTACGTAATAATGACTAAGCGGAAGAGTCGCATTAAACTACAGATAAACAAGTCGCATATAATAGAAGTTAGACAAAGAAAGTCCAAGTATATAGCTCTGTAATGTATTCCGAAAACGTTTGTATGTAAATCTGTATTTATTTCCGGCAGCAATGGGCAAAGCTGTTTTAAAAAAAGAAGAAAATCTTATCGTGTTTCATCATAAACGGTCTTTCTAGACAATATCCTACAAATATTTAAAAAAACTGATTTAAAAATATTTTATCGTCCTTTAGGTACTTTACTAACAATAAGATGCTCGTGACCTTTTTGCTTTTGATAAAACAAACACATTTTGTCCGTTATTTAAAATACGCAATTCAGGTAAAATTTTTATAAATTATATATGTATGAGAAGACACTCTTAAGGGGTTCTGGATTATTTTTTTATTTATCATGTGTTAGAATCAAAAGCAATAAAAGTAAATCTCTTCTATTACTGGCTAATAAACATGATGCAATATAATATATAAAAAAATAATTAAATAAAAATAAACCTTAAAAGTTCTCTCTCATATACATAATTTATAAAAATTATATCCAAATTGCGTATTTATTAACGGAAAAATGTGTTTATTTTAAACATAAGTAACAAATACAATTTTCACAAGGAATATCGTATATCAATAAAATGTATTATAATATAATATTCTTAATTACAGTAAAATTTTATTACATAATGAGGATCGACGAAGTACAATCTTTTTTATAATTAAAAAATCTTCCATTAGTATTATATATTATTAATTCGCTAGAAAACACGATAAAGGAAATATTCCAATAAACATGTTTAATGTAGAGATTATCTAATTTTTCTGCTATATTAAGCGCATATCTTATCTGAAGCGTACACACACACATATATAACGCATACATATTCAAAGCAAATATATACATATAGAATTTATATATATGTATGTGTACATATACACACATATATACGTGTTTCTGACAATCTAAATTATGCATGTTTAAAATGCAAGTTTATATACGTGATATGTACAATAAGTATTAATTATAATTTATATATAGATATAAATTTGAAATAATTTGCATTTGAAAGAAAAAAAAACTTTAATCCATAAAATCAATTTTAGAGAGTCATAAAAAATTATATATAATATATAATAATTATACAATAAAATATCTTTTTTAATTTTGTGGATTTTTTCAATTATGTAAAATCCTCAAAAATTCTTTCTTGTGTAAAATGCATTAATCTAAATGTATGGATGCACTTTGGATATATGATCTTTTGATTCAAAGTATATTTTATATAGATAACGCGTTCTGCCAATAATTAAAAAATTTTTAAATACATTTCAATATAATTTTGCGTTGATATTCCGCGACATTTCTAAACGAGCCAAATTGATGGCTAATTAAAACGCAACAGATCCTACATGTTGCACCGTTTTCCGAAGCATAATGTATAATTATTGTAAATAATAGCTGTATATAAAAAACAAACGTCAACAATTTTGCACGCTGTTGCTTGTACAACTTAGTGATGACCTTGTTATTATTCGCGCAGCGAGACTCGAGCGGACAATAGACTTTGACTTTATTATCTCCATAAACATGACCGTGACAAGTATTAAAAAATATTGAACGCGATCATTTTTCTACAATTAAACATTATCCAACTTCCGCACTAACAATAAACGTAAGTCAAGTGTAAAAATATCAAAGTTTTTGTAAAGATATTTGTTTCGAATAAAAAACAAAGTAATGATGTGGTAGCAATTATAACATATGATAAATGATTGTCATATTTTTCAATATTTAAGTTGATAAAATTATTTTTTTCATGCTTAGCTTTGAATATATCTTGTTTCACATTTTGAGTTATTTGTTAATGTGTCTAGCGAATTAAGGAAGCGCAGGAATGGAAATACGAGAAATGGATACATTTTAAATATATAAATTTTGCTATAAAGTACGATTTGTTAATCGATTATGTGCTATTAAATGTTTCGAACAATTCAGTTCATTTTAAGTTTATATAATTTGTTTAATTAATCGACCCGATAATTGCTTAGAAGATGTAATCTTTAGAATAATGATTTTTATTAATTTTTTAAATTAAAGTTATTTTTTAAATATGCATTACTTAAAAATTTGTGTTTATAAAAAATAGATTATTATATTTGTTATATCGCATAATTTTTTAAAATTGCATAAATTTAAATTCGTATGATTGAATTATATATTTACATATCTATATTGTCTTATGAGACTTTTGTTCATGAAATAGAGAATGTGGGTATTGGAATAAATGTATAATATATTATTCGTAATTATAATATATATTCTGTAATCTAAGATTTTCTGGCGACAGAGGTTTCTGTTTACACTTGTCCAAACAGAACTTAATTCATATAATGGCTTGCGCGCACCTACATATTTTAATATTTAACCACATTCCTAGAGTACATATATCAGACTTTCTGAAGGCAAATTACAAACTATGTGACAAATAAATAAATAAATAATAAGTAAAGTATAATCGCCTGAAATTGGTCCAACATGAAATTTATAATATATAGGAGATGTTCCTCTTCCGCTATTTTATTTTTAAATCCTTTGAACAATTTGTGGAGTCATTTTTTTAAATGTTAAAACTCAATCAATAATTGTAATTTTACATATTTAATAAATCTTTTAATCTCAAATTAAGATTCCGTTGATAAGCCTACTTGAAATTGATTGAAAAATATAAATTTGTCATTTATCTTTCTGTTAACAGAATTTTTACTTAAAGCAAGAAACAGAAATTTTATTTTAATCGCTCGAGAATCACAAGTTTTTTGCCGAGAAAATCGACTCTTGGATTGGCCAAATAAATCGATTATTTGAAAATAACAGTGGGACATTTTTTACATATTTCTCTATGAATTGCTTCTTGTTTCGCATTATTTCGCGAGTGAGGAAAGAGATAATCAATGCGCATTATTTAATCCGAATTTAATTAATTGTACATCCGTCAAAGTCGAACAACGCGATTTCGATGACCATCCGATAATCAATGATGTATCATTAAAATGATTGTACGTATCGCGTGTTACGTTCGATCATTCATTCATTGATACTTCGATGTCGAATATTAGCGATTTCAGTTGGACCAAGGAATAGATGTAGTTTAAGCGGCAGGCGGTGGTCGAAGCATCGACCTGGTGGCCGAAGAAAGTTTCTGCGACACCAAATGTGCGATATGCGACGATCTCTTCCATACAAATTCCCGCGTTCTATCGTGATCATCCTGGCTTTCCACTCGAACCTGAAGAAAAATTTCATTTAATACAGCGAATATAAACGCAGTGTTTTTGTTAAATAAATGGAAAAGATAGCCACTATTTAACTGCTATTACTTTTCGATGCTTGTATATTTTCAATTTAATTTATAATATATTGCAATATGTGCATAATATTGATATGCATTAAATTAAAATTAATATTAATCATGACTTGATATTAATTCAATGCATATCAATATTGTGCATATCACACACAATCGATGTATTATATAAATTAAATTGAAAATATTTATATATTGCAAAGCATCGAAGCAGTAATAATTGAAAATAGTGACTATCCTTCTAAAATAGAATTTCTAAAAATAAAAGTTCTTTTTTTTGATAGTATATGTATGCATGAAATATTCGAACAAATCTTTTTTCATAATGACAAAAATATTAAGAAAAATAATAATTATTTTTATTAGGATCATTTTTTATCAAAACGCTGTGACAATCAATAATACAGAATGATTCAGATTTTTGAATTGACATCTTTTACAAGTAAAGTTTATTTGAATTTGAACTACACTATATATATAGTTCATATCAGGGTTTAATCTACCGTAATTTACAGGACAACAATTTTGCATAAAAATAACGTTATTAAAATAGCGACATCGGTAAAATTAATCATAGAGAGAAATTCTGAAATTCTATTTATTTATCCATCGTCATTCCGGTTTTGCAAGATTCACGCGTTGCTATAACTGTTCCTCGCGTTTTTCTTCTCTTTCCTCGCTACCTCGCTATATGTACCTGTTTAGGTTGCAAAACCCGAATAGAATGCAGCGTCGCCGCGCCTCCGTGCAACACGCGTAGACTCAACTTGCCGGACATCTCGGCCGTGGTGGCGGTCGCGCTCCTCAGTTCCTTCTTCGCGGCTCGGCCGAATTCCTTCTCGACTTTCAATACGAGCGGTCCCAGGCTGAACTTGGTCTTGATGGTCGTGTGATCGCTCATCATGTTCACCGATACGTCGCCCGTTCTCTGCAGGGACGCCAATCCGTATAGAGTGGCTCTCGCTTTCGGTCTGCTCTTGGTGGACTTCTTCTGAAAATCATATCAATAATAACGAAAATCATGAAATCATTCCGTTTTTCCCCAAGTTTCTAAATAGATTTGTTTCAAGCAGACTTGAATTTAGATCTAGATTCTCTCTAATAAATAAATGAAAATTTTATCCGATGTCCGCGAGTATCTATAGATTTTTCAATTACCTTGTTCTTGTTGTTGCTTCCTGTACTTCCTTTTTTAGTCTTCGTCTTGTTTTTCGTTCGTTTACGATTCTTGTTTCGTTCGTTTATGATTTTATTGGTATTATTGCTGTTGGACGTACGTCTGGACCTCATGTTGGATTCGGTAGAAGATTCCAGCGCGAGCGATGAGATCATTTCCTTTTCCGTTATTGCTGGCGTTTCCGTTATGGCGAGCTCAGTAGCTTGTATTACTTTCTGCAAACATATATGTATATTTACTAAAGATATATTTTTAAAGTACATATAAAATATTTCCGAATTTTCGTTTAACTTTTATATCGAATTTATTGGCAAAAATGTTCCTTCTTGAATTTAAAAATAATATTTCTTTTCAAAATATTCTCTAAAAACGGTATTTTGTACTAGTTTTTTAATATTCATCAAAATTAAAAATCTCAATTGTCAAAAGAAATATTTAGTATTGAATAATACTAAATATTTCTTTTGACAATTGAGATTTTTAATTTTGATTTTAAACGATAAAACTTTATTATTTAATTTGTAAAAACTTTTTTATTAAAAAAAAATTATTCATTTACATTTTAATTGTTGGTGAGGAAAAAATCGATTTGAAAATTTTATTTAAAAATATATTTACTTCAAATTAAGATTAGTTTCCTATTTTATTATAAATTATTTAAGTTGTCGGAAAGAGAGTAATTGTGGATAATACCTCAACGTCGTTTTCGCTGACGCCTTTTTCAGTGACGGCGGACGTGTCGATTGGCCTTGAGGCGCTCTTCTTGGTGCCGTTCTTCTTGTTACCCTTCTTCTTACTCTTGTTTTTGTTCTTATTCGACTTGCTCGAATTCGAGTTCGTTAATTTTACAGTTACCGGTTCGTAATTGGCGCGGAGAATATTGTTGATCTTGCCAAGAATTTGATCGACAAAACGATTGTATTTTATTACGTAAATTGCCGGTACGAAGCCACTCGGTTCTGCACCTAATAAAAATAAGAAGGACATCAATATCTTGTAGCTTCTATTTTCCTGAATATTCTTCAATATACGCACCTTATCGTGCATTAAAACAAATATTAATCTTTTCATGAAAAATATATTTCTCAGACACGGAGTCTTTTTTAGCAAAATGCATTATGATTTGACCGAATAGTTTTATCTTGAGACAAAGAAAATCATTTGTCGATCGTAAAGTTGCATCGTTAAAAATTTACACTATATCAATTATCACTGATATAACATTGTGGCAATTTAAAATAATTAATGTAAAAAATTAACGTAATAATTAATGTAAAAATTAATATTAACATAATTAATTTAAAATAATTATGTAAAATGATTAATGTAAGTCTTTCAAATTCCGTAAATGTATTTGCAGACTGACTTCTTTCAGTGATAATCGAATGATCAATCTCACGTGTAAATTTTATATATTATATAATTTTAATTATTTTATAAATATTAAAATTATATCATATAAAATTATGAATTCTATAATTGTGTTCTCGTCATCAGCTTATATTTTCGCTTGAAATTGTTATTCTTCCCTGAAAGTTATCAGCTTACAAGAAGAAAAATCTCCAAAGTTATAAAATCGTTCAGTTGAGTCCGAAATTTATCTTAATTCGAGACACAATACTAAGTTAAAGAGAGGAAGAGAGAGAGAGAGAGAAGCTCTTTAGGAATACGACCTTGAAACCACTTTTCGTGAAGTTATTTCGTTTCGTCCGGGTCATCGACCAGGGTGGAACGTGTTATTTTCCAAGACTCGTCTCTCTCTCTCTCCTTCTCTCTAGGCTTTAATGAAGGGAAACGCATTCCTCTCCCTCATCCTCCTATCGGCTACCGTGGAAGGAAGTTGACGGTTGCCGATCGAGGAGGAGCCTACTTAAAGCGACGACAATGATAACGGTATATCGGAATCCTTCGGTCGACGGCCAAACTGGTCCCCGATCTGGGTCACGACCTCCTTCCTCGCTACTCACCTACCTACAGACCCATCTAGCCACATGCGCGCATTCACAATCTCTTATGCCGAGAGGTTCACCTAAAAATTCTCCCCCTGCCGGTCGTTGCACCTGCAGTACGTAAGCATACTTTCTTTCGAACGTTATGACGCCGTGCCACGCAGAGAGCGATGAAAATTTCATGCCACAGACAAGGCCGTCTACTTCTGGCACGACATGGAGATGTTGAATATTCATCGAGACTCGATCAGTCCCTCGATAGTATCGCGGGCACTACACTAGTCTACTATTTATATTCTTCGGAACTTTTCCTATGTTTTTTATAAAGAAACGTTTGTGCAACACGATTGATTAAGCCTCAAAAATCATTTCTTTTTCAAGGAAAATGATGTAACATTTAATAAAATGACCCGGACATGCACATCTAATCGAGATTTTATTTTTTTATTAGATTAAATATAATTATTAAGACTTTAATTAAATATCTAAAACCTGATAAAATTTTTTTAAAGAATATATATACTTATTAGAAGTGAATTATGTGGATATGAATCTAATAGAATGATAAAAAAATACAATTCTATTCATTATTTGTTGTGCATCTGTCGAATAAAAATAAATAAGTTTCTTGCATCTCATTAAATAGTCTTTATTGATAAGAATTAATTGGAACTTTACTTTAAGTATCTAGAGCAATTCAAATATCTAATAAGATGTACATTTCATCATAATGTGACAAAATATTTCAGGAATAAATTATTCAACGTGTTTACTTTTACTTGAGATGATAGATTTTTGTCCTCGATAGATTTCTCACTTTTAAGAACTGAAGTGGGTCAGTCGAAGATATATAAATATATACGTAATAAAATGTTAACAGCGATGATACACACATCACGGTTTAGGCATGACGGAAAGGAACGACTTCATAACTTACGAGCTGGGTCAGGGTCGAGAAGAAGGCTCTACAGCATATCGTTTAACGCGCTCTCTGGGTCAGTGACCTCGTTTCTTTTTTGATCGGCTACTCCCGGTGAAAGCCGGAAAAAAATTCAACGCGGTCGCACCTTTGTTGGACTTAGCCCAGCACTCTCATGTGGAAAGTTAATTGGATGCTGATAGCGGCGATTCGTTTGATCGGTTATCAAAGTTTTTAATAATGCTCTTGGAAAGCCACTTGATCTTGCCACTCATCTCAAGTTGTATTCATGAATCAATGATTGAAATCGATATTATCGTAAATTTAAGAAATCTCTAAATGATGTATCTAGATTTTTTTTAACATTTTTCATCGAATTTTGAGATATTTGAAAGATATCTAATTCTTTAGATATTTTTATAAAATGTATAAAATGTATTTATTCTTTTCTTTGAATATTTAAAAACTTAATTTCCACTCGTGTGAAATATAACAAGAGCAAGATTTATTTTTTCATAATTATTATATTGAAAATTGAATCTACCTAATGACTTTTTTACCAATATACGCATGTAACATGTAAGAAGAATAAAAAAATATAAATAAATGAAAATATAACTACTATAAATCAATATCTTTAGTAATCTTATTCTGGTTATTTAAAATTGAATTCGCAGCTAAATCAAATTATGAATAACAAAAAAAATATCTAAAAAGAATAGTATTTTTTTAATTAAAAAAAACATACTTGCAGAGTCTGTCAAAGAAAATAAGAAATCAATGAGAAAGAATATTGCCATCAAATTATCAATAAAACGAATCACCAACTTTTTAATTTCGTTATCATCTATCAACTACTTTATAATTCTATTATCAACTACTTTATAACTCTATTATCAACACACTATTAGTTAGTACAATACTACAAATTGCATGTCTGTTTTAGGATTTAGGAATGATAAGGAACATGAAGGAGAAACGGAAGGGTAATCGTGCTACTGTCCAGGTACACATTACCGATCGTCTTAAACCATCCACCAAACACGCAATCTTTTACTAATGGATAGGCAATACAGCTGAAGCGAAAAAAGGCAGGGTTGAAATTAGGAAAAAAGAAGTGTTTTGTTATATTTCTCTATCGAATGCATTCAAATAGCCAGGCGGGTTACTGCACGTCACGTCACGAAGAAGAAATTTCAATGTCATGTACACGCGAAAATAATCTCATTTTATTCGTTTACTCGATCGTTTAAACGTTTCCACATCTACGGCATCAAAAATCAATTTGAAATTATCTCCAGCTTTGAATGAAATTTGCGCGATTTCGCTTCAAAATATATTAAAGGAAAGAAAACAGAGAGAACTTATCCTCCTGGATTACGCGTATTACGAGTGTATCTGGACACAAACACGCTGACACTGATTCGATGCAACTGGGCAATGGTGAATGAAATAAATAGACGGTACACAGAATATTTTGTAAAAATAATAAATTATTTATATTTTGCACAATCCAGAACGGACAATGTCTCTGTACAAATTTCAAAAACGTCGTAAGAACCTTTTTTAATTTGACCGCGCACGCGCAGAACAATCGACACCATCATCGACACGTTTAATTTGGCAAGTGATAGCACAGCTTTTTAACATAAATTTATGAAATAGAGAAAAATTTATGTGTATGAAGAATTTAATAAATTAATTTTTTATATATTTTATATATTTGTCACATATATAAATGTATTTTTATCATATATTTAGTAACTGTATATTTATCAGAAAAGGAACTATAAATTATAGATGAAAAATAGATGTCATCACTGCCAAATGAAGCGTTCTAGTTCGGAAACAAATCAGTTTCTTATTCTGTTTTCCGACGTAGACGATTTCGATGTCGCTTGATCCTATAAACGAAACTAAATAATATCGCCTGATTTCCATTTCTTTTTCTCTCTCATGCACACGCACCCTCTTTTTTCTTTTCTTTTTATTTATTTCTGAATAATCATTCGTAAGTCGATCAACACTCGTAACTCGGATCGCGGACATTGGAAAAGGAGAAAATACGTGACGTGAGGTCACCAAGCCAAAGCATTTCAATGCTATTCCAAGTAACACAAGACGTCTAAAAAATTAGAGCATTTGGATAACTAAATGAACGATTTAAAAATCATCTAAAGCATATCTGAAAAGTTGGAATATATTTTAAATATCTGTGTGAAAAATAATTGAAAGATATTTAAAAAATTGAGATATATTTTTTAGATATCTAAAAAACATCTGAATCACATATTAAAAATATATTAATCACAAGATTAATTGTTTTTAATATTTGAAAAATTTCAAAATCATCTAAAGAATATCTGAAAAGGGAATATATTTTAGATATCTGTAAAAAATAATTGAAAGATATTTAAAAAATTAAGATATATTTTTTAGATATCTAAAACAATCCTAAAAGATATCTAACAAATTAGAACATTTTAATATCTTTAAAAAAAACATTATTAAATTTACATTTCTGGAATTTTTGTGTTGCCTGGTATGTTTACCTTTCTTAGAAAGCTTCATAATTCGACTACTATTATTTCGAATTGATCAGAACAATCGATGATATGAATTAACAAAAAATATGAAAATATATTAGGAGAGATTTAGGTACTTTTACACTTTTTGTGCATCACACATTTATAGAGTTTTGTGGAACATGGAAATAGCGCAAGCTCCGTCAAGAGAACTCAGTAAGATAGACAAGCTAGAAAAAAAGAAACAAAAACCTAGAAAAAGAGAGCAGACGTCTCAGTCTATGACGTAATGCAATATCCAATGTGACTTTAAATAGAGGTATTGCCGTTAATAAATACATACAATAAATAATTAACACTAAACAATTTAAGATAAAATGATTGATCGCGCGGAATTAAAGTAGCAGAAAATCGGATTTTCTGCTTGCAGGACTTTATTAACGCTGATTTTCCATCATCAAATACTTTCTCGAAAAGAAGGGCTGATCCGATCGTCCGATTGACAAACCACCGTATAGACAAACTTTATAGCGAGATTTTGTTTCCAGTTGTGAAATCATACAACCGAAAGTCGAAAAAGTATGCATAAATTATATAAATAAATTATTGTATTATTTATTAATAAAATTAACTCAGTGGTAAATTACTTCAATTTTATGAACAGTAGGTAAATAAATGATAACTTTCTTAATGTTCGATTTAGATTAATTTAGAATTTATAATAATCTCTAAAATTGATATATATATTAATGATTATATTATTTATATATATTATTACGAGATATATATGTGTGAAAAGATAATAAAATGTATTCAAGTCTAATTATATACACATATACATAAGAAATAATTTGATAATGGCAAGCTTAATTTTAGTCTTTACAGCACATTTTTGAATTTTCGTAAATTATGAGAATGTTTGAATTTTATTTTATTTACAATTCTTTTTCGAAAAATCTCGCTATATTTAAAGAACTTTAAAGAAAACTAAAACTAAAAAAATAAAAGTAATAAAATAATGTGAAAATGAAATAAATTTTACTCCATGAATGAACGCCACGCTCGGATGTAGATGCGACTAATTAAATTTCGCGACATCGAGACGGACTCAATCATCAGGATTGACCTTCTCAGGAAAGAAACCTTCATGCGAGATGGAAACGACGATTATTCTCTTCGTCGTCATCATCATCGTTAACGAAGAGAACGCACAAGATCGGAAAACCACGTCATACTCGCGTTACTGTAGTTTGTCACTCGATTTAAACACGATTAAACGCGGATGCGGATGCGGAAGAGGAAGAAGAAGAAGAGGAGGAAGAACGGGACGATCGCGCGGACAATTTGCGCGATTTGTGGGCGTGCTTGACGTTATGTTTCTTAGCCTTCTTGCCCTTAAACTCACGTGCGTGTCTAGCGCTGGCAATATCGGCGATCTCATCCACTTCATCATCCTCATCATCGTCGTCATCGTCGTCCTCCTCGCTATCATCGTCATCGTCGTCCTCCTCCGTAATATCTAGGCCTACGTCGTCGTCATCGTCGTCGTCATCGTCGTCGTCTTCCTCGCTGGAGGCTGGGGCAGCAGGAGCGACCGGCCCGTCCAATGCGTTTACCGAAACCTGATTCGAGATGGACTCGGCAGCTTCGAGCGTCGACTCGTGAACGTTGGACGCGGCTTGGCCCTCGGCATCGCCCTCGTCTTCGTAGCTACCGGAATCGTCGCCAGCCGACTCAGCTGCCGCCGCGGCATCCTCGGCGGCCTCTTGGCTCAAATCGGCCGCCACGGCGAGCGGTACCTGTGGTGAATTCACGGGGGCTACAGGTGAAGAAGCCGCGGCCGCGGCCGCGGCAGGTGCGGCAGCTGCAGCCGGTGGGGCTTCGTCCTCGTCATCGTCATCGTCGTCTTCTCCTGTAAATTGATGATAGAACATTGATTGCACATGAATAATTGCGTTTCCTTCAATAATGTTATATCATTAATATAATAGATATTATATTATTGAAACCTGCCATAATTAAATTAACTCGGACATTGTTTAATTTAATTAATTAATTAATTAATTAAATTAACTCGAACATTTTTTTGGTGAAATTGATTACATCAATTTTATTGAGATTTTTTCCCTGTTGAATTGACATGAGCCTTAAATTTATTGGTTAAATCAAATATAATTAATTATGTTTATTTTTGTTGTTCCTTTTATTTAAAAATATTGTCTTTTAAATATCTAATAAATCTCTCGATATTAAGCACGATATCATAAATAAGCAATGACTTTATATTAGACAAATTAAGATTATAATTAAATTATTAAACTTGCTTGGTTCCGCATGCTGAATTTTCAGAAAATTTAAGAGTAACGAAAGTATAATAATAAAGAAAAAAACGAAAACCATGGAAAAAAAATTAATATAAAGAAAACACGAATAGAAGAGGAGATATTATAGAGAAATGATTCGATTCAGCTAAGCGACTCAAAGTTAGTTCTACTTCAATACACACACATATCTTTATTTAAATTAGTTTATCTATTAAAACTGGTTTTAATCGTAAGCATGATTGCATCGACTTTTTAAAATCGTTCTGAATTATTCAAAAGTGCATGCAAATATAGAAAGAAATTTTTTCCGCAACAACTTATGCACGCTGCAAAGTATACCAGTTGTAACATATGCACACACAACCTCTTTCAACAAGTTCGTGGATTTATAAATTTAACACGCATTTCCTCGTAAGAGACGGCCTCGGATTATCCTTCGGTATTCAGGTCAATGTGAAGAAGTAGCGCGTAGAAACTTTTTTTCCGAACCGCGATCGCTGTCGATTTATGTTAATTTGGACGAGTCAAAGTACCCTATACCGTTATGAGAGAGGATATATGAGAGACGGGGAAGAGAACGAGAGAGAAAGAAATGGAAAGAGAGATTCTCAGGTAACATGAAGTGTTTGCATACGTGTTTGCATAACGGTGTGTGTCAGTTTGCGAGATTCTTTCATTGTTGGATTCAAAAATTGATACAACACATGAGATAGAAATCGAAGAGAGCGAGAAAATCGATTCATTGTATTCCTCACCATTCACAGGAACAAGTTAGAGTTTACAAATAATTCCTCATTCAATAAAAAAGGCTCGAGTTAAGAGCTATTAATAAATATATAATATAAAAAAGAACTAATAAAAAGAATTTAACTAATTAAAAAACCTAATTCATGCACCTGCTCTTTTCCTTGAAACAGCGATTTAACAAAAAATGTATCAGGCAAGATCAAAAGATGCGATAGATTCCTCTCACCTCCAAGTATATCTTCGATAAAACGCTCCAAGTAATCGCCGTCGTCATCGTCGTCATCGTCATCGTCGTCATCGTCATCGTCATCGTCATCGTCATCTCCGGTGATATCTAGATCGACGTCGTCGTCATCATCATCGTCGTCGTCGTCGTCGTCGTCGTCAGCAGCGGGGGCAGCGGGGGCAGCTGCCGCGGGAGATTGCCTGCCAGTTGCAACGAGATTCTGAGTCGACACTTTGCTGTCAGTGATCTTGGCTACCGGCGAGGCGAGCGACCCTATCGCCAGACAGCACATCAACGTCAACACTGCCGCTAATCTCATGGCTCTGTACAATAAAATGGAAAAAAATACAATTATTAATCTCCAATTATTAAGTACATTTCCTCACGAACTTGATGCGTTACATATCGTTCCTAGAATATATTTAAATTTAACGAGAGTTATATCGCATGATTGTATAACATACGACAATAGAAATACATCTTTGAAGAAGAAAAAGTCCTCTAGAATTAATAATTTAGGACTCGAATTGGATTCTTTAGGAGTAAAGGATAAAATAGGAACAGAAGATTCCTTATAAAGAATAAAAAATAAGAAGTAAGGAATAGAATAGAAATAGAATAATTCCTTATATTATCGTCTATTCCTTTAAAGAATCCAATTCGTCCTAAATGGTTAATTCTAAAGAAATAGAATAAAAATAGAAGATTATAAGGAATAGAATCTAAAACATTTTAATTAGCAAATCCAATTTTTTTCTTTTATTACATATTAATTAGTAATTTTTTTCAAAAAATAATGATATTTAGCTTATAATAAATCCTACTCGTAATAATTTTTTTGACGTCTATTTATTAAATAGATGTAATAAATATAACTGGACTCAACATTGATCAAGAAATTAGGGAAAGACGGTTGATTTGGAACGCTTTGTAAAATCCAACAATATGAACATTAACGACGACCCATACATATAATGTGTATATATAATTCATTCATACAGGACCATATTCGCGTCGAGACACAATAAGTATTCGATACAGTAAACAGACTACACGTTAACCGTAAGGAATTGCGCCTTTTCCTCTGAGAAACACTTTTCGTTCCATTCTGTGCCACGACCGGTGATCGACCGACGATCTAGACGAGATAGCTGCTTATAGTGTCGCATTCCCATGCGTACGCTTTCGGCTTTCGGAGCACGAGCGAGCGAAACGATCGCGAAATGAAATTTACGAGTTTGTGAAGCAATAAACTAAGCATTTTATTTCAAAGAGAATCGAATTACAAATACGACGTATACTTGATGATATCCGACGATATTCGTGCGTCTTTTCAACTATTAATTGATCGAATTTTTAAAAAAAGCTGAAAGGTCAATATTTTACTCCAATATCAGATTTGCATAAGAAATCAGTATGACGTGAAAAATGACGAAAATTAATGTAAAACTTTTTACAATATAATCGAAATTTGTTATAAAAAGATAATAATAAGAAATTTATTTTATCATCGTTCTCTTTATGATTTCAAACTTTCATCTCTTTTATTACACATAACACATGGCAGTAACAGTAATGCAATCGTAAATGTATGTGTAGAATGACTTCTTATATGCAAACTAATTATAAAATAATTTTTTTACACGAGACTTTGTTCTTAACAACATTGATTTTAAAAAATGCACTGAATACCTATATATTTAGCTATAATTCAAATATGTATCCCTTTGCTAGTATTCTTATTCAAATTTAAATTTTTAAGCACTAGCAATATATTTTGTTCATTCTTTCATTTTAATTGTTTGCTTATTAATCAATAAAGATTCCTAATCAATCAAATATAACAATCAACAACTGGCATTCATCCGCGATTACATCTTTATACAAAATATTCAGAGAAAATATAGAAATCTTCGTAATTTACAAGAGCTACATAATTTACGAGATTTGCTTGAATATAATTTTGCATTTGATATGGAAATATAAAAAAATTTTAGAAATTGTGAGCTTACTCCATTTGTCTTCAGATTCTTTTATGGTGGAACCATAAAAGGTAAACCGTACTTTCAATACTGGAAAGCAATTTATTTATTAAATTTATTAATTATTTTATTAATTATTTAAGCAATTTATTAAAAAGTGCTTATTTATTAAAAGATGTTTATTTATTAAAAGATGCGTATTTTTAAAAGATTGTTTTATTTTTACCTCATATCAACATATATATTAAGTGCAATAATATTCGTGTATTTATTTTACGAATTCCCGTTACCGCGATCAAATTATTCACGAATGCTTTTCACGTAAAATGATTTCAGGCAACGTTATTGTACCGTAAGATCCGTAATATCCTTCATTATAAATAATTCTAATTGACCTTATATTCAAAATTCGTAACACACTTTTTGGTAAAAATTTTCTCCATCCATCAAGAATAACCAATTTTCCTTTATTAAAATCATAAAAGATGTTGACGAGGATGTAAATGAATGTTAATGAAGAGTTGAATTCTAATTGAAATTTTAGAAAATACTGTCATACAAATGAATAATAGCGTACCATAAAATTTTTTAAATTTACATTTATTCATGCGCAATTTGAATTTGTTACTTGTTGAACTTTTAAAATTTTAATAAAATTAAACAGGAAAATTGATTATAAAATAATTTCTTTAGTTTCACATAAAATTTTATATATATGTCTTTCTTAATTCTACAAATATAAATATATTTATACGTGTATAACATTTTTATATCTTGAGAAATATAAAGCTATATTTTAAAAAGGAGTTAAAAAATCTTAATACATTGAAATTTGTACGTGAAATAAATATGAGAGAAGAATAAATCAAATAGCAACATAGTTGCTTATCTTTTTAAGCAAAAATGACAATGACTGATGATACAATGATAAGAAATAAAATTAAAAAAATAAATTAATAATATTACAACACCTTTTCTCTTTATTATCTTTTATCGAAAAGTGTAAACAAGCAACTTTCTTTCCTGTGAAAAATTTTTCCGTTACCTTTCAAAAGGTAAAAATCTGGAGCTATATTTCTAGGACTTCACATTAACTTCGTTCGATCTCGCGAGCCAAGAAGCAACGGCATCGGTACCCGGAAGTAACGAGTTGCGACGAATCGGAATGAAGGAAGACTCGAAGAATGACGACGCAGGGAACAAAACTCACACAGCGAGTGTCCTTTCGACGCGAATACATCACACGAGGCTACCTCACTGTACTTAGTGTCGCGCACAGTATCACTCAACCCTCGGGAAGAGATCGTTCCTTCGATTCAACCGGGCGAAGCGGGTGGGAAGGGAGCGAGGAAAAAGAGTAGGGGGGGGGCAGGAGAGGGAAGGCGGTGCGGAGTCGGTCAAGGTCGTTCGTAAGTCCGGTTACCGGAACAGACTTCCGGTGCAACGACTCCAGACGGGGACGATGGGCACTTTGTCCTCCACTTTGTTGCATATCCGGATATCCTTTGGAGACTCACCTCTCTCTCTCCTTCTTTTTACTCTCCTTTTCTACGTCCTCTCGAAGTAGACGATCGACGATCAATGATGATACGCGGTATATGTAACGTCCCGGTTTCCTCCACCCGGATCGATCCACCGAACGGCTCGGTGAGAGTGTTGAAACAGACGAGGCGGTCTCGACGCGACCCTTTTATACCGACCCGCACCTCCACCTCCTTTCGTACTCCTTCGTCGTCCTCCTTCTCGTCGTCGTCGTGTTCTTCCTGCATTCATTCGTGCCATACTCTGCCTACCTACCTACCTACCTACCTTCTATTCTCCACGTGGCTCGACCGCGCGTTTTCTCCCTTTCCGGAGACATGCGTGCGTCCACTGTACACATTTCACACACCCGCCAACGCTGTTAATAATTTCTCATATGGATTATTATTTCCGATTATTTTGTTAATTGCAAATTACATTTTTTCTTTCGAAACAATTATGTTTTCTTTACACCAATCGATTCCTCTTATTATTTTGTACATAAAAGTATTAAGGTAAGATAATCGAAAAATGAATATTTTACAAGATATTTTACGGTTTATGTAAAATTAAGAAATGATTTCAAGCCTCATAACTCGGAAAGTACTTAATAAAAACTAACTTAATTATAGTGTTTTGGAAAGCTCTCGAGATGAGCTACAAGAATATGCAAAAGCATATAGGGTGTCCCATTTAAAAAGTGGAGGTGACCTACAGGTGAGTCTTCAAGGTCAAACTATGGTACCATCTTATGTCCCCCTTGAAACCATACAACTTTTGTCTGAAACATTTTTCTCTAAATTGCTTCGTTTCCGAGATATAAATTTGTAACACTTTACGTGGGCCACCCTGTATAATCATTAATTTGTATATTTTTTTAAAAGAATTTTCGTGTAAAATTGAAATCCCCATTAGACATTGCTAATACTGTCTTGAATCAAGTTGTATACTATTATTTGTTGCGATAAACAAAAGATACAATCTTAATATTTTAAAATTTGTATAATTAAAAATTTTCTTTTTATTTTATAATTTTTAAACTTATGTTAAATCTGTTTATTTTTCAAGTTATTTACAGTTTCTTTGAACATTATTCAAAGTGAAATTCTACGATAGCTAATAATTACTTGAAAGTATATTGCGAGAAGGAGCATTGCTTATCAGCAGATCTGGGATTAATCAAACGCGCATTAGAAGAGATCATTGTCACTCTCGCTCCTTCTGGCGAAACGTTCAATATCTCGTTTAATGACGCTGTTCGTTTCATGTACTACTTTCGCGATAAATAATGTATTACCCGGATCGGCCTTCTGCCGGGATGGTTTGTATCTCGAGGCGGCTAATTAGCATCGATTATCTCGCATATGAATGATTGGTGCGAATGATAAAAAAGATGTAAAATGATTGTCGCGTAGTTAAACTCTATTGTATTGGGTGTCGCGCGAATACTTTCTTGCGACAAGTTCCTTACATTTTCTCGATAATCCGGAAGTACGAGGCTAGTGGTATTAGTTTCATATACTCCAAAAGAGTATGTACTACCAAAAAAAATTAAGAAACCGGTATGCTTATTTTCTGCCTACTTGTTTCTATAAATAGCATAACTGTAAGTCTTTCAGATTTAGTTAAAATGTGCAAAGTGTTAGTCATAATTTGAAGAATTAATTGTCCATGAAAAAGAATTATTCACCCTAACTCCTAATTTCCATCGTCTTTTCAAAGTAACTCTTCAAAGTAATCCCTTTGGACATGGATATATTTCTGCCGTTTTTTTTCCACGATTCCATGGACAATGCATCCCATGGAAGTCTTTAAGAATGAATGTTTTAAGCACCTCTTACGATTTTACCTGAATCTCTTCAACCGTGTCAAAACAGTGGCAGCTTTTAACAGAAAAAGATCATCCCAAAGTGATTTTTTATTCCTTGAGATAAAATTTCGGAAATGTTGAAAGAATGGAAATAACATTTTTACATGAAAAAAAAACACTGGGATAGCTTGAGCTTGAGTATACATGTCCAAGGAGATTACTTTAGAGAAAACGAAGCAATGTAATGAGAAATCGAAGCAATGTAAATAATGAAAAGGAGTTGACAACAAAAGATAATAATTCGTTATTTTTGATGAACAAATTTCCTAAACTTTTAGATATCATTTTGTATCTTAAGATTACTTTTTAAATTTTAAGAAAATGCAATAAAATAACCAAACTTTTAATTAAAAAGATCTAAAATTTCCCCCAATGATATTAGTTAATCGATTATTTAATTTTTGTGACCAATTATCATATATAGTATTATTTATAGTTTACTTTAGTATTACTAGTCGTATTACTAGAAATTAAATTATTATACGATCGTTCACCTACATTACTACTATTTATTACTAGTACTGCTACTCGATAGCAGTACTCGAGTCATAGTCAAGATAATAATTTCGTAATTGATGAATTTATTCTGTATGGACTAACAAATAATGGAGCAAAGAGCAGGAGTAGGGTTCTGGCATTTTTTTGCTTTTGCAGCTGAAATTTTAAAAGTTTGTTGCAAGTTTATACAACTCAAATAATTTTAATTTCAAGATATAAATTTTACATGTAGAATATACAAAAAAAATATTGAAAAAAGATTCTTTTTTTACCTGATAATGAGATTTAAATTGTATTTAAGTTTCGAAAATCTTAATTAGAGATATTTAATTGTTATAATTTATTAGAAATTAAAATATGTTATAATATAAGAGGCTATACATGTATAATTTAATTTAGTCTAGAGAAGATAGCATGCGAATTCTAAATTAATCTAGAATTAAATTAGGCATTTAATTCTAACATAATTAAATTTGATATAAAATGTCCAACTACAATCTACAGATCTTCTTGCAATATTTGCTTGCAATTCTTTAGAATTCTTTCATAAATTTTTTTTAAAAATCTTTTTTAATTTATTCTTTAGAGAAAAATTTTTTATTAAAGAAATAGTCAACTTACAATTACTTACCAGATTAAAATCTGTGTTTCTCGTTAATTATAGAATAATAATACAATTTTAGCCATATTTCATCAAGATTTGGTACTGTCAATGTTAAGGGTTAAAACGAAAATTACAGAGATGAAACATTTGCCTCTAAAGAACGAGGAGCGAAAGCAACGTGCTCGATCATCAGCCGATCGTCTAACTGTAAATACCGGGCAACTTCCTTCTCCCGTGAATGGAATAGTAGTAACTACCGAGATGGATCGATCGTATATCGCGCTAGCATCCGTCTTGTCTAATGCCCGAAGCGGTGATGCTGAATTTTTGTACGATACATTCCCGTTTTCTCGAACGATTTCACGCTTCGAAACTACTCTTGATGATTTTAGATTAGATTCATAAATTTAATATACGGACTTTTCTCACGCGTGGTATATTATATTATCGCGTTACATATTTATTCTAACGATTAGGAGAGTTTCAATAATACAGAGTCGTGATGGTACTAAAAGCTATGGCAATTTTTGAAAGTTTCTGCGAAAAGTGAGACAGAAAGTTAAGAAGAAAGAGATAGACAGGTGGGAGAAAAAGTGGCACTGTGTGTCCTAGAAGGTGTAGACATCCATTGACGATTAAATTTCACCGATTGAGACAAATTTGTATTACGAATCGATTACACATGTGTTTTTGCAGACGCATTGCATTCTTTTCTATTTAAGACTTGTTTCATTAGCTCGTGCATAAAAATTTTTTATTAATGAAAGAAAGATTATATATACTGTAAAACAATTACATTTATTTCTTTATTTTTTTTATTTTTATTAAATATTTTTTAATTTTTATTTGTCGAAAATATTTATTAATATAATCGAGAAAAATTATTCTTTTGTGAGTCTATATTTCAGTGACCTTACGATAAATGATACGCGGATTTATGAATTAGACGATGTTAAAAAGTGCTTTTATACTTTAGTGACATGCATCTATGGAACAAATAATAATGGAGTCTGATTAACTCAGATTAATCGCGATAACATCCTACATTGATTAGTTACATCAACTGATCACATTTCTTTCATTGCAACAATAGATACAATTATCCCCTTAGCTATTTATATATCGTTTAATCTTGATAATTGAGACTATCTGAAAAGCAATCGACAATGTGTACATTTTTTGTCATTATGTAATATTTTTCTTACATGACATAAAAATAATTACCTAAAAATATATAACATAAAAATACACGAAATAAGAGAATATTCTAATTATGTATATATATACTATTATGTGCACACATTTCATTTTGACGTGTTTGGAAATTAAAACTGAGCAAAAATCTAATATTTATTTAAAAGCGTTTTTTCATAAAAAAATTTATATTTTTGACAAATTTTTAATAGCAAACTTTTAATTGAGAACGAGTTCAATATATTTATATGTAAAAACATAACTAGCGTCAAAAATTGATATTCGAAACAAAAATTCTTTAAATAATAAGCCTAAAAATATAACGGTGCCCGATGTTCGAAATTTAAAAGAAGATAAAAATTATGCTGAAAAAGATCCGGCTTTCTCATTTTTTGCATCAAATTTACACAAATCACACAAATTCAATATTATTCAACATTCACAATAAAAACGATATTTATAGCCTTATAAACATTTATCTGAAAGTAGCTTCAGTGTTTACTAAAAAACATCCGGTTATATTAAATTATCTATCTAAATATCTTTTTAATTAACATAGTTCTTTTTTTAAGATTCCAAAATCATCCTTTAAAATACTTTGAGGAAGATATGAGGTGCGATGTAACATTGAAAGTTAAAAGAAATTTATGAAATTACAATCTTCAATATTAATTTAAAACGGATTTTAGCATAGAAAAAAGAAAAAAGATAAAACCTATAAATTCTACCACTGAAAAATGTTTATTATAAAAAAAAGAATGATCCAAATTTTGTAAAATTTTCATCAAGTGAAAATCAATAATAAAACTCGTGATATTTCGTTAAAATTTTTTTTGTCAAGATGAAAGGATATTCGTAATCTCTGATATCAAGGAATTTGTCTTTTGAGAAATATTTCCCAGATGTAGAGAGCAGTAGAGCTCGACAGTCCGGTAAGCAAGATCCGGTGCGAATCTCGCTCGCTTAATCGCTCGTGGATCATCGAGCTCTCGAACTCGCCGACTCTCCATTCTGACTGGAATATGGGATTTGGTGTCACAACGAGGCGAGGAGAAGTAGTCCGCGGCTACATGAATTAGTAATCAGGATGTGTGTGTCTCGCGCGAGTGTGTACATATGTGTACGACGAACGCATTTTCGTATACGCACGCCCATGAGAAGGAAAAGGAGAGGTCGAAGAAGCGAAACGAGCGGTAAAAGAGAACGAAAAGAGAGAAAGAGAGAGAGAAAAGGACGTTCTAAAATCGAAGAAGGACAAAGTAAAGGCACAATGCGCCAAGATTCGCACGCGCATTCTTCGCGGGTTATTCTCATTCATTATTCATCGAACTGCGCCCGAGGATGAGGAGAATCGCACAATCTTTAAATGTCCGCTATGTCCCCAAATTCTCCGAATTGGAAAATCGGCGAATGTATGTCGATCAATTTTCACGATCTAGACTGTTATGTAACATATAATGTCGATCATAAATGGATATAATATAATATATTGTGTACAAATAATTTTCTATCAACTATAAGAATTGTACATCTTCGCGAGATATTTTCCGCGCGAAAAAATTTTTCTTTTTCCAAAATAAAACAAAAAAAGCATTTTTCTTTATTCAAATTACAAAGAACAAAATCAGTATTAATGAAAAGTGTGCTTGTCTTTTTCTCTCCCAAAAAAGTTTTATCATTTTGTTTATAAATAATTTAAATGGAAGATATAACTATCTTCCATTCAAACTAGATATCTTTTTTTTCTTGATATAAATTACAAATAACGGATTTGCATTTTTAATTTTAAATAATTTTATTACAAATATTTAATTTTAAATTAATCTTCTGCAAGTCTCATTATTTGGATCTATAATTTAGTTTTTTTATAATCTTTTTATGTCTTCTATTCAACAAAATATGTCAGTAATTTTTTTATAATTTTATATATAATAAATAAATTTATATTTCTTTCCTCTTCTTTATAATTAAATAGTATAAGTTGGTTTTGTTTTTGCAAAATTTATTGAAACAATATTTGCAGAAGACTATAAGTTTTTTGAAATATGTAATCTATATAAACGCATATTCATCCTAAGATTGTATCATTAAATTTTACAATTTGATGTAGTAATTTGCTTATAGTTTTTACATACATACATACACATATATACATATATATTTACATGTATGTATGATTGCTTCATCGACTGTATGATTTGTTCATCAATGATTTTACAAGTTTTGCCGAATTATTTTTTCATTATTTGCACGACATCTTCATCATGCATCACATGCTGTGCTCCTACTCGTTGAGGTGAGTACTTGGTACTGGTACCCTAAACAAAACATAATTCAGATATAGTATATGTCCAAGAAAATTATATTACCTACATTCTTAAATGTATCAAGTTATAATAAACATGTCAATGTATGCATAATTATGAATATCTAATAACTTACCCACACAAGAGCATATTTAAATTGTTGAGCAAGTGTGCGATGAATTGCATGACACACGTGTTCCACTGTTACGCCTTTTCTCAATATTAGACCATCATCAAAGTCGGGTGGTTGGCCAGGCTTTTTTGTGTATACCCTTATCAAAGATAGATACTCCCATAATATTTCCAATAGAAAGTCCAGATTCAATTTCATGTTACAACTATTAAAAAAAAATTTAGATACAATTAAATACAAACTCGCGAAAAAGGCATAAAAATCCATGTATAGGAATTCAAGTATATTTATAAAAAATGTCAAAATATATTATATTACCTAACTACAACACTATTAGGTTGTCTGGCGATCCGATCAACTTCCTCTATCGATATTTGATCTATTTTATTATATACATAAAGGCAGGGCAAGTACACTCGGTTCGCATTGATGACATCGATCAATTCATCTGCGCTGCAATCCTCACGAAACAACACCTCAGCATTAAAGATTTTATACTCATGAAGAATCATTTGGACTAGTTTTTCATCTACTTTCGTCAGAGGACATGTTGAATTGAAGGCTAATCCGCCGCCTTTTTTCACCTTGAAATATATATTCGGCTTCTTCTTATTGAGTCTTATCCCGACTGATTCCAATTCTTTTTCTAAAAGTTGTCGTTGAACATCCTGTTTGGTCGCATCCAACATCATAAGCACCAAATCAGCTGTTCTGGCAACAGCTATGACCTGTCTACCTCGTCCTTTTCCCTGAAATAATACACAGAATCGTTCAACAGTGCAAAAGCAATGATCACAAAGAACATTATCCAGTCATATAATTTGTTTACCTGTGCTGCTCCTTCAATTATACCAGGCAAATCTAGTAATTGAATATTGGCACCTTTGTACTCGATAACACCAGGGATACATGTCAAGGTAGTAAATTCATAAGACGCAGCTTCCGATTCGGTGGCAGTTAACGTACTGAGTAGAGTGGATTTGCCAACCGATGGAAAACCGATTAGCGCGACTCTGGCATCTCCAGACTTCAGCACATCGAAACCTTCGCCTTTTTCGGACTTTTTCGCCGGTTCCAACAGCTGGGATCTATACTTGGCAAGTTTCGCTTTCAGCAAACCCAAGTGATACTCGGTAGCTGCAATTAAATTTCACAAATATATTCGTCTTATCTATAGATATTTCATTTTTTTTCTCTTAAGTGACATATTTGAGCTACAATATCAGGAAATAATACAAGTACGATGAATATACGTAGGTTAAAATGTCACAGTATCGATGTGATGCTCTTACCTTTGTTTTTCTGCGTTCGTGCAATTTCTTTCTCGATTTCTGAGATCTTTTCCAGTATCCCCATCGCGATGCGCGATAATGTATTACATTTAGGAAGGAATCAAAGTGTCAAACAACTTTGCCCAGTGCGTGATATATGTGTACAGTCCAGTCACTTTTTTCGGATTTTTAATGATGAAAAACCTCTCTCTTGGCTAGGAACCACTAGGATTCACAATTTTTTTATCAAGATGACGTGAAAATGATCTTGGTCATGCCGACCGAGCACCAAGCACGAGATTTTCATCATTTACGACGATCGTAGCGCCTTTCCTCCATTAGCCCAAAACTATGAAGGATGAAGATTGGAAGATGGGAGCATCAACTCGCGTATGGAAGAGGTTCATTTGATTGAGAATCAACGTGATTGGTTCCTACTTTCAGATCCGGCCAATCAGCGTCGAATTACATCTAATTTTGCCCAATTGAACCCGCTGAATGCGGTCATCATTTATCTCTTGGTCGAAAAGTGTCTCCCCTCCACACGAATTGATGCTCCCATCTCTAGTCTTTATTCTTCATGATTCGTGACGAAATCGACTCGTGTGTTCGTGCCGCATCTCTCGGGGAAAGAGAGAGGTTACCTCCCGTCCTTTCCAAGTCCGTTTTAACGCAACAAGATGTATGACGACTACAACGAGGTACCAAAATTTACTATTACACAATATAATCTTTATAATAAGCTTCATGTAACCTTAACGCAACTCTGTATATATTCATGTAATCTTTTTGTTTAAAAATTTTTTTTTATATATATCCTCATATGTCCTTTTATATATCCTTTTATATATATCCAATATATCCTTTTATATGCCTTTTATATATATCCAATATATCCTTTTATATATCTTCCTTCTATCCTGTTTTCATATATCCTTTTATATATATCCTGTTTTTTAATATAAAAATATCTTTCTCGCAGTATGACGCCTACGATGATTACGGACCGTCAGAAGCGCACGATCAGTACGATCGGCCGAGCTATCGACAGGTACCGGAGGTGGTGCGCAACTTTCTCGTATTCTTGCGCAACTGTATCAACGAAGGCATGATCTTTGAGATACAGAATTTATACGAGAATTCGTTCCCCAAGATCTCGGAACAGCTGTTTGACAAGTCCCCCTGGCCCGAAGCATCGACGATCGCTCATATCGTCGACAATGATCCAGTCTTCCTTACTTTGTACAAGGAGCTTTATTATCGTCACATTTACGCGCGCATGCAAGGTCCTACGTTGGAACAGCGCCTCAACTCCTTTTACAATTACTGCGATCTTTTCAACTATATTCTGCATCCAGACACTCCGGTGCAGCTGGAACTGCCCGATCAGTGGCTTTGGGAGCTAATCGACGAGTTTGTCTATCAGTTTCAATCATTTGCTCAATATCGCGCCAATCTATCCAATAAGACGCCGGACGAGATCGAGAATCTGAACGCGCACAACAAGATCTGGGATGTCTTGTGTGTATTAAATGTCCTGCACTATCTGGTCGATAAGTCCAAGATCAAGAGTCAGCTGGAGGTGTACGCGAGTGGTGGTGATCCAGATTCTGTAGCCGGTGCCTTTGGCAGACATTCCCTGTACAAGATGCTCGGTTACTTCTCTCTCGTTGGTCTCCTAAGATTGCATTCTCTATTGGGAGATTACTACCAGGCTATCAAAGTTCTGGAGAATGTGGAGCTCTACAAGAAGAGCGCGTACTCCCATGTACCTGGCTGTCAGATCTCGACAGCATATTATGTAGGTTTCGCATATATGATGATGCGCCGATATGCAGACGCTATCAGAACTTTCTCTGGTATCCTGTTATACATCCAACGTACAAAGCAACTGTTTGCCACGCGGAGCTATCAGAATGATCAAATCAATAAGCAAACAGAGCAAATGTACCATTTACTTGCCATCTGTTTAGTCTTACATCCACAATGCATAGACGAAGGTTTGCAGCAGGCTCTACGGGACAAGAATTATCATGAAAAGATGTATAAGATGCAATACGGTGATCTCACAGAATTCGAGAATTGTTTCGTTTTCGCGTGTCCCAAATTTCTGTCTTTAACACCGCCGAATCCGGACAATCCTAACGAAGATTACGTTCGTGAGGCCATCAAGCATCAGACCCAAGTTTTTATGGACGAAGTGGTGCAGCAAAAAATGTTGCCGACCATCCGTTCATACTTGAAACTCTACACAACATTACCACTGAGCAAATTAGCCACATTCATGGGCAACAATACTAGGTCTGATATAGAAGGTTGGGATTTGGCCAAGGAAGTCAATGCTTTAACGATTCATTTATTGTGCTTTAAGCATAAAATGAAGAATATTGTTTGGACAAAAGGCACATCGGGATTAGACGGAAAATTTCAATCTGGATCTGAGGTAATTATTCTTATATTATGTCATCTATATACTGCATTAAAATTACAACACTGTATGTAGTATATGTGTTGCAATTTTAAGTTAGTAGTGTATATATTAGAAGTAAATTAATTTTCTCTTCTTCTCTTATATGTATGTATTTAATGCTTTCTTCAACACATGTTATTATTCATTTCTTTTAATATGAAAGATCATATCAACAGATATATCATTTTTTTCCAATTTATATTAATTTTTAAGAATAAGTTAAAATTTTTTATAAATATAAAATTACAATTTTTTTTCTCTGACATTGTAGAGGTTCTATTAATATTTACTCTATTTAAATTTCTGGAGGATACATATATTTAATAGATATTGTGTTATTATAAATACTTTATACTAAGAAAATTTTCTTTTCCAGCTGGATTTCTATATTGATCATGATATGATTCATATTGCTGATACAAAGGTAGCACATCGTTATGGAGACTTTTTCATCCGTAAAATACTAAAATTTGAAGAATTAAATCGTAAATTACATCATATAAAGATATAATTATATAATATTATATAATCATTATTATAAACATTTTCATAATATACAGTTGTAAAAAAGGAGAAAATACAGACTTTAAAAAATATTTATTCTTCTATTCAAATATCCATCATCGAAATTTCCCAGCAATTATAATATGCATAATTTGTTTCTATAATAATATATATTGTAATGCGATATGAAGAATAACACACACAAATGTAATGTAACATAAAAATCCACATTTCCATTGTAGATTCGGTTAGATACAGTTAAGATACAAATATTTTTTATACTAAACAAATAAAATCAGATAGTTGCGCGTTTATAACGCTAAAATTCGGTAAAAATAAAGGATACAATATAAAAATTTGTAAACATACAGTACTTTCCATTTTCTATATAAATTATTATAGATATAATTTTATTAGATATAGTTTTCCTAATTTTTTACAAATATATACTTGTTTTCTTCATTGAAATGTAGTAATTTAATTACAAAAGAGAGAGAAGGCACTAAAATAGTGTTTACAATATTACATATATATATATTACAACACATGCATCAAAATTTAAATTACATCGTAACTATAGGCATAAATAATATGCTATAAAATTTTTATTTATCATATTTTAAATTTCAGTAAAAATATATGCATCACATTCATCATAGATAAAAAGAATGTACGTTTTTTAGGAATTAATTGCTAATAATAATGTAACTATTCATGTCGATACATTTTTATTTTCTCTTTCTTGCAACATTTTACACGCAGCGGCCAAGATATTTGGTTTCATCGACGCTGTCGGCACGTTTAGACTGTGCAAATAATGGAAAAAACGATTGCTTCTCTTGAAATTGAGAGTGGAACGAAATTCTTCAGCACGACATATCGTTCGTATAGTCGGAAGATAATCTAACGCCATAATTCGTTGATCTAAACATGCGAACGTGACATGCGACAACGCTAGATCTACTCCTCGATTCAGTCGTTTCCTCAGAATAATATTATTTTGATTTTGCACATGCTCATTTGCATTCGAGTCATTGCAGAGTATTCGATCGCTAATAAAATTTGCTATATCCGCTTGGAGATCGTGCGAAGCGGAATAGAATGATACGTTTTCGGCCAAGGATAAATTGGGTTGCGTCTTTTCTTCCGATATATTTAATATCGGATCTTCGATATCGATTAAAGATGACACTAGAGATAAACTATCTAAATTTTCCGCTAAATTATTCAGTATACATATAGTATCATTGGTCCTTTTGGTGTTTCTATTTTTTCTTCTGTGCCTATTTAGCTTGATCGCAGGCTTGTACAAATAGTATTGCATGCTCTGCCAAAGTGGCTTAACAGTTGTATATTGCTCACATAATATTGATGGGCCCGATAGAAAGAGATATTGTGACTGGAGCAGTGCCTGCCGTAGATCGCCCATTTGTAGTAATTTCTAAATAATAAAATAATTTTACGTATATGGAGTGTCCGGAAAATCGCTCGCAATACTTCGGGAAGTGATTCGAGATCCAAAAAGAAAGAAAAAAGCTATATAAACATGGGTCTGAAAATAAGTCAGTTCCGAGTTATAGCCACTTTTATATTAAAGAAATCGTAATTTATAGTTCGTTTGGCATCCTTCTTTTCAAAATTTAAAAAAAATTTTTTAAAAATTTAAATTTAAATTCGAATTTAAAATTTTAAAATTTAAATCTTAAATTAAAAAAAAAATTTTTAAAGAAGGATGTCAAGCGCTATAAATGAAGATTTTTTAAACATAAAAGTCGCTATAACTCAGAAACGACTTATTTCCGGTCCTATATTTATACAACTTTTTTCCCTTCTTTTTGGGTCTCGAAATAGCGAGTGATTTTCCAAACACCTTGTATATTTTTTGAATTTAATGCGTCGAACAATATAATCAAATGATACTTGAACAATTTTAATAACATAATTTAAATTGGAATATTAATTTGTGACATTTACGTGATATTTCTTTTTGTAAAGTCCTTCAATTTTCAAATTTCTCATATAAATACCAGTTATTAAAGTTTTTCGGACAACATATAATTCGACAAAAATATGAAAAATTTCTTATAACATAATTTAAAGAAGGATTACTTACCACTAGACAATTATATGGAACTCTGCGATTTGCCTCCGCCAACGAAATTAATTCCAGCAAAGCAGATACTCTGCTATTATCTACTTTCTGAAAATAAATTCTATTTTGCTGTGGTGCCATTTTACTCAAGTGAGGACATATATCTCTGCACGTCATGACAATCGGTCGTTTGGTATTTGATGCCAACTGATATGCGGCGGAGACGAATCCTTCATCCTCTTCAAAAATAAGATCGATGTCTTCGAGCAGAATTAAAGAATTTTGCGATATCTTCAGAGTCTCGTCCTCATTTGCGACTCGTTCAAATGGAGATTTATGCTTGCTCTTTTTGATTCTGTGCGATTTTGTGGCTTCCTCCAATTCCTTCAAGATTTTCTTTCCCGTTCGTCTAGAGGACGCGTTTACTTCAAGTACACTATAAAAAACGGAATGCATAATAATTCGCTCTAAATAATGTAATGCTAAAATTTAATTTATATTAAAAAGAGAATATTATATATTATCACGATATTAGTCACAAGCAAACGAATGCTTTAACATTTCATTGTGTTTTATTACATATGTATTTTTAATCATATATTTAATATGTATAAATATTTTTTTCTTTCAATATTATTTCTTTATATCTTCTTTCAATATTTATTTCTTTCAAATTATTCTAATACGCGCGCAAAGGATCATTATTTAAAATATACGATTTTTTCGAGTTTTATGACTTTTGTGACTACCAAACCTACCTATAACCGAGTTCTTCCGCTATCGCGTATACGCTCGCTGTCTTCCCGCTGCCATGCGGGCCTAACAATACAGCTATTTGATTATTTTCACGATTATTGCAAGAGGTACTGCAGTCTGATGAATAGAACTCATCGCCGCTACTACCATCGTCTTCTTTTGTTAAGAATGCTCTCCAACCGCTTAGCCAATCTTTCAGTTTTCCCGCGGCTTCTTCGTTTCCTATTATTTCTTCTGCACTCTTCGGTTTATATTTACACGTCCATGCACAATCGTGCGACCGACTTTCTTCGTTTTCAATGCGCTCCGTTAACATTTCTCTTTTTTTCCGCTCAAGCGTTCTTGTCTTTCTACCTTTCATTCGCGATGGCGATCTCTTTTCCGAATCGTTTTTGATTTTTGATATAGTTTTCCACATTTTCCGCGCATCTGGACAAAGTTCCTCGATCTCGGACAATACTTGATCAAAGTTTCCTTTCACAGGTTCATTAATATTCACTTCAATCGTTTTCGATGTTTTACTATAATCACAAATACACTTATAATTATTAATGTCTATCGAAGGCAAATACTTTCTCTCGGCTTTCATTGGAAATTTGTACTTGATCTCGGCTCTAATCGAATCCGACGTATTTTCCAATTGTGTCACGTGACTGATTATGGGAAACGGTAATGTAAAAGTACTGTTGTTGCTGTTTGCTTTATAATCTGTCTTTTTATTTTCCATATCGATCATGTCTGATTGCAAGAATGAACGTCTAGCTGCTGCGACAATTGGATTTATTTTACGTCGTTTAGTAAATAATGGCGCTAGTTTTTCGTTCGACTTTCTTTTTAAAACATTTTCATTATCAATAATTTCACTATCAGAATCAATTATGATCATTTCATTTTTGTCGTTTTGTTCCGATTTAACAATTTCACTCGACCTTTTTGTCCGTGCATTTCTGCTGTTATTGATAACAATAGCATCTTTTGCAGTGTTTTGAATATTGTCTTCTTTTTGCTCAATTGATTCTTTCTTCTCCTTGTTTCGCACTTTCGTTTTAATATGACCATTATAATCCTTTGAACAAACTCTATTATCTTCCATATTTACAGAATTTCGAGATTTACTAGAGGCATTAAATTTTGATTTGCTTCTTGGTGAAAATAATTCTTCATCACTCATATCTGTAATATAAAATTATAAATATTAAATTTATATATAATTATTAAAAAGTTGCTAAAAGTTCATTAAAAAATATCAAAATCAGCGATCAAAGTGTGAAATAATAATCATTGCCATCAACCAATAAGCATTGGGAGACTCTAGCTATATTTTACATCATGTATGATATTCTATATATATTTACAATTTTCATTTTTTGCTATACAATCTTATTACATTACCATTCAAAGAATCTTCGCTAGAATGTAGTTTTATACGTAAAGACCAACGAGGCTTCTCCCGTTTTTGCATATATGGCTTGACTGTTTGCGTTAAATGTTCAGATGCTATAATGTGAATATCATCCACTATAGGAAGATTCAATTCTGATTTTGAACTTTTGTTAGAATATACATTCGATATTGATTTAACTATAGGTTCAATATCGGAATTATCACTCCGATGTACATCCGCTTTTACGATAAAAGTAGACGCATATTTCTCATCTTTATTTGTCGATTCCAAGGATGATTTGCTACACAATAAAAATATATATTTATTCTGATCTCTATTTCAGCATCCTAAAAATTGTAAGCAATTCTAAGATTTTTATATGATTCTAAAATCTTAGATTTACTTGTATATATTTTGTAATAATTTCCGTACTTGATAAATATAATTTAAATGATATAATATAAAGAATATAAAGAATAATATAATATAAAGAATTATATTAATTTTGTATATAAGAGTTATTATAATTTACCTGAAATAATCCAACAAATTTCCAGATTGTTGCTTGTTATTTTTAATTAATAATTCAGTATTGTCTCTTTTAGGTGTGCTATCATCTGTGATGTTACTTTTAAAAAATTTCATGCGATTTTCTATGTTTTTTTCTATTCTCTCACCTTCTTCCATCTCTGCAATCTTTTTCTTCAAATAACCTTTTTTATCAGCCAAGGCTATCATTTTTTCTTTATGTTTAGCTCTTAAATCTTTGATATTATCTAATTTTTCTTTACATTTGATGTCTTCCATAGATTGTTGTGGCAATAATTTATACTGTATTGGTTTGCCACGATTCATCAAAAGTTGAAATGCATTTGATTCTTCTCGCTGAGAACCAATTATACTACAGAGCCCTATATCTTCAATCTTATTAATATCATTTTCACTGTTATTGATAGAGTTTTCAAAATCTATAATTTGTTCACTTGGCTCTTCCTTATTTTGTAAAACATACTTTGCATCTTCAGATTGATTTCCATTTATTTCTATGGCAAGCTTAGGATCCTTAAAAAAAAATTAAATTAAATATTGATAAATCATCAACCATCAATCGCTACTTTTTTATTGAATTTTAAATTATACCTTCTTGAGATTCCGCTTGGATTTGATCTTTGGTGTCTCATCATGCACAATTTTCTCGCCATTCTTTTTTATCTTGCCGTTGAACGGACTGGGCGTTTTGTCAATCAGATCATTTTTGTTATCAACTATGTCGCACGTTCTTTCCTTGGAAGAAGTACGCGATATTCGAATCTTTACACGTTTGCGTTTACCTGTTGAAATTGTTTCCCATTGTTTCTCCTCTTTCTGTTCCACGGCGTTATCGAGATCTGTAGCATCTCTCTCATCGACGATCTTTGTACCATTGGAAAAGTATTGCTTGATATCCTTCATGCTTTGAGATATGATAAGGGAAATGTGTGTTTTCTTCTTATGTGTGTTATTCTTTTCTCGTTCAATTAGGGACACGATTTCATAATTTTTTAATCGAGTTTCTGTTATTTTACAGAAAGTGATAAAAAATAAAAACAGAAATAACGATAAAACCTTTAACTGATGTATTGATACGAAATGCTAACGTATGTACGCATGCATGCACCTGAATTAACCGTTAATCGTATATATATTATCAACTTCCAAACTGGCAGAGTTAATTAAAACTTTATCAATAGTGCGATCAGATTGACTGTAAAACGAGTTATGTTTTTATCACAAAATAATACAGTTTTACTCGTATCTCACGTAATACAACACCACGAAGCAAGCAGGTTCGCGACGTGCCCATCGGTTCCCGCCTTTTCGATCGAGCATAGAATATATCTCCCCAATATTGCTAGATTGTAGGCCGGTATTCATAATCCGGTCTAAGACTCAAGAAATTGACCAATCACAGCCGAGTATTCTCTTCATACTTGACTGTGATTGGTCAATCCCTTAAGCTTAAGGCTTAGAGATTGACCAATCACAGTCAAGTATGAAGAGAATACTCGACTGTGATTGGTCAATTTCTTAAAGCTTAGGGTTTAAATTACCTATTGTAGACCCGGCCTTATGCCTTATCGTGTAGATAAGCCTTAACACGTGGCGAATGTACTGCATCTTCTCAGACATAACGACATAACCTTTCAGTATTCCACGTATATATATTGCATGATATACAATGTATAGGTTTTTTTTAAATAAGCTGCTCTTCATGGCCGCGTTTGAATTAATCGGAGCAAAAAAATTAAAGTTTCTTTACCCTCATTGATCAATTAAATGTTTTCTACTTAGGCGAATGGATTTTTAAATGCGTCACAGCTGTTCTAGAATAAAGGGACTGCATTTATAATGCACAGTATGTAAAGAAAGTACACAATCGGCTGTGAGTAATTGTTGTAATTGTTCTCGTATTGTGAACTGTACAAGATGATTTTTCTCTCCACTACTTGCCATATGACTACATGAGAGAAAATATCAAAATTAGTAAACGAGCGAAGAATAGATAACATTTCTATTCCACGCTTTTGAACAAAAATATGGATTGAGCAAAGAATATTTCATGCATAAGGAGAACAATATTTTTACAATCTGGATAATCGACAATAATAAGAGAAACAAACTTGCAAGCTAGATTTTTTACAAGATTAAAGAATTTTTTTGCACTTAAAATGCTCATATATGTTATATTGATATTCTTGGCATCTTTGCCGATCCTTTGTTATCTGAGGAATTTGTATCAGAAAAGATTAAAATCCGATGAGAAAAATGTTTGCGTACTTGTGCTCGGTGACATTGGCAGAAGCCCGCGAATGCAATATCACGCGATCTCCTTCGCCAAGGAAGGTTTCATCGTGGATGTCATAGGTTACCCCGGTTCATCGCCAATGAGGGAAATCAGCGAGAATACTCGTATACGAATTTATTATTTGCGACCACCCCCTGAAATGCAAAATGGTATATTTTTAGAGAGAGCATGCCTCTATAAAGTTTTGATTTTTCCTCAAATTTTAATATTTTTCAGTTCTATTTTTCTTATAATTTGTTTAAAAAGAAAAGACAAAGACAACATATCAAAAATAATTGTATTCTTTTATTCTTCTAGCATTGCCACGTCTTCTGTATTATGTAATAAAAGTGGTGTGGCAGGCTGTCGATATTTCACAATTGTTATTTAGAAAACGTATATCGGGTTCCTTGATAATACAGAATCCACCTGCGATACCAACAATACCAATATGTTGGCTTTATTGCATTGTAATGAATACACAATTTATAATAGACTGGCACAATTATGCGCATTCCCTTATGGCATTAAGCCTAGGAAATGAACATATTCTGGTTAATCTGGCAAAACATATTGAGGAAATATTTGGCCGCAGAGCAAAGAATAATTTTTGTGTCACCAAAGCTATGAAGGAAGATTTAGAAAAAACTTGGGGTATCCAGTTAGTAATATTTGTAAAATTTTTTCTATAGAAAATAATTATCTCAAAACTGATTTTATACATGTAGTTCATATAACATATTTAAGATCCAAGAATCATGAAATATATTCCAAAAACTATGTATATTTCTGTATATCTTTAAAATCAGATGGTTTAATACATATAATAATAAGATATAATAATAACATATAATAATAAGATTTTTAATTATAGGGCTAAAGTTCTATATGATAGGCCAGCAGATGAATTCCGTCCTATAACTTTAACAGAGAAGAATGAATTTCTACAAAAATTAGCTGAAAAGTATAATGTATCTGAATCTTATTCAGTCATTTCTAAAAAATCTGGCTTTATTATATCTAGTACTAGTTGGACTGAGGACGAAGATTTCTCAATCCTTATAAATGCATTACAAGGTAATGTACTTATATGCATTTTATGTATGATTATTTTATAGTTTTATTGTTTTTTTTACAAGTACTAGGTGATGAAAACTATATTTGTGCTGTTTTTTATAGAATATGAAAATACGTGTGAAAATGGTGAGTTGAACTTGCCAGATTTACTCTGTATAATAACTGGAAAAGGACCATTGAAAGATTTTTATATGGCTATTGTTAATTTGAAAAATTGGAAACATGTCAAAATAAAAACATTATGGCTTGAAAATGAGGATTATCCAAAGATATTGGGTATTGTATTATACATTTGCATATCATTAGTAGTTAACAATTAATCTTCTTTGCATATAACATTTATAAAATACTATATATTTTTTTATAAGAAATAATTTGATATATTTTAAATAATTATTAATTATATACTTAAATAATTAATAATTAATTATTAATCTTTCAAACCTCAGCTAGTGCAGACTTGGGAATATGCCTCCATACTTCATCAAGCGGACTGGATTTACCTATGAAAGTTGTTGATATGTTTGGTTGTCGTTTGCCAGTTTGCGCGTATAATTTTGATTGGTAATTAAGAATTAATATGATTTAATGTAACACTGTTATCGAATAAATTCTAACAATCTAATTTAACAAAATTCATTTTACTGTTTAGTTTATCAGAGTTGGTAAGACACAACGAGAACAGTTTGGTATTTGCAAACGAGTACGAACTGGCCCAGCAATTGAAAATGTGGTTTCAAGATTTCCCTAATAATGAGAAGCAACAACAGTTGTGTGAAAAGTTTCAAAAGAATATGTTTACGTCGCAGCTCTACCCTACTGATTGGCACGGTAACTGGAAATTTAATGTTCTCCCTTGTTTTCAAGAATAATTGTAGCTTGGTTTTTTACTAATATAATTTATTATACATATGTTTATTTTATGTAATATAAAATTTTTCTTGCTATTTTTTGTACGTATATGTATGTCCACACAATAATAATTTATTAGCTATGCTTTATATAAACATAAGATTCTTCGTAAACATAAAAATCATTAATTTTACAAAGTTATATACTTTTTGTTTTAAAATTATTTATATTCATTATTATATGTTTATTTTATGTACTTAATTTTTCAATATATTTTATATTATATGTATCTCTCATAGAAAATATTACATAGTTAAGTTAGTATACAGTAATTTTAATTTTGAAACAAGGACCAAAAATATCATAAAATTAATTAAATTAAAAAACTTCAAAGTCGCCAGCAAATAAATAAAACAGAGTAATTAAGGTTGACCACAACTGGCAATTTTAATTCGAAATCAAAATTTCACAACGTTTCGACCATAGGTTTTGGCCCTTTTCAAGTGAAATACAGTAATTTGATTAAAAGTTGTGTCGTGAAAAATAATCACTTCGTCAAAAATATCATGTCGACCTGTCCTCACCAACAAAAGGAGAAAGACATTATTTTTCACGACACAACTTTTAATCAAATTACTGTATTTCACTTGAAAAGGGCCAAAACCTATGGTCGAAACGTTGTGAAATTTTGATTTCGAATTAAAATTGCCAGTTGTGGTCAACCTTAATTACTCTGTTTATAAAATTAATTATTGTTTAATTTTTTTGAAGCTGCATTCATTATTGTGCATTTGATCTTTTTAATTTCTTCCGAAAAGTAGGAAGGTCCAGTTCTTATTGAAATTGCACTGATAATATTGGTAAATACATGACATGCTTGGCCAAGTTGTTTTTTCTTACATGCATAGATGTGTGGAATGTTTTTTGCATCTGCTAACTTTGTCAAGCGTGTGAGAAAATTTAACGGCGCCAATAAATGTGTTGTATCTTCGGCAAGTATTATAAATTCTGTTAAGTTCTGTTCCATTGAACTTATTACATCGATCAGTCCAATAAATAGCATGCTTCTTTCTATATGATACATTTGTTGAATCAGGACTAGTAATTCATTAGCTAATTGCTCCATTGCAGTGAGATCAGTAACACGATTACATTCCTTAGAGAGAAGCTATGCAGGAAATCACAAAATATATAAACATTTAAATATATATAATATATAACTAATTATATATATTAAAAATGATACATTAACTTTTAAAATACTAAAACTAAATAAATTATATATATAAAATAAATTAATGCATTTTTAAAACACATTCTTCTCAAAACAAATAATTAGATTATTTTTTTAAGCTTTTGCCCAATTTAATCTCTGCAAATTATTATACACAAGATAGAAATTTTGTATCACATTTTTTATTAATATTTCGAGTTTGTTTCATACAGAAAATCTTCATAAATGAGATTATACAATTGATTCTTTTCAAAAAAAAAATTACTACTTTTTGCTTATACAAATAGAACAGTGTTTAAAAATTGATATTGTTAATGATAGTAATGTCTTTATTAACATATTACAAACATTTGATTATATTTTACTATAAATAAATTATATAATTATATAAAAATAATATAAAATATGATTGTGATCATGAATTTCCGATTTAAACTAAAAGTCGCTCTATTTCCTGTTGTATTGACTTGATCTGTGACTTTAATTGCGAGCCTTCATTGATTGTTATAGAGCATGCTACTACTGGTCTGGAAACTCCACAAGCGCGTCCCAAAGCCTGTTTGCTTCTAACAAATACATATGGCACATTTTTATCTTCGCATAGTAGTGGCAAATGCAGTAAAATTTCTAATGGTTGGGCATCTGCGGCCATCACTATAAATTCCGATAATCCACGATTTAAAGATTTGGTCGATTCATTTGCCCCTTTCTTCAATTGTCCATAGCTATATGCTTGCTGAACTAAGTTTAATATCCTTGTTGTCAAGGTAGAGCCAGCTAGTGGATATGCTCTTGGCGATATTTCATCCATCTCGAAAAATTCGAATATGCTGTGACGACAAGTTTAAAGACGGTTTAACTCAACCTGTAACCTGAAAAAAAAAAAAGAAAATCTGTGATTGTACATTTAAAACACGTTAAAACAATTTGCGTATTTGAGGAATATTTCCACGTGAGAAAACTAACCTCAAACTTTATCCTTTCCTCGGAGAAAAGGAGAAAAAAGTTGGAGAAAAGAAATCACGAACTTTTTAGGTTCACACTGTTGTAAGAGCCTCGAGTGAGTCCGGAAAACGGCGAGAGGACAGGGATTAGCGACTGGACAGAAACAAATTCAAAATACTCGTGCTATGTATTTATCTCGCTCCTTTTTTCTCGATACTTCCGCGGCTCTTATTGAAATGGCTACGCGGCACACGACGCTTTATCAGCCCCCGCCGGGTTCTCGCACATCACGTGGTCCCACATCGACCAATCCCGCAAGGCGGGGCATGCGCGTTTCCTACTGCGCATGCTCTTGCACAAGATGTCGCTGGGCTACCAATCATGCCCGACGTTGCCGCTGCGCGCGCAACTTCGGGGATGTATACGCATGCATCGTAAGGGCCTCCGCACAAGGTGTTCCGTATCGCATTACGTTACGTTAAGTATCAATGGTAAATTTAATTCTGTACGTAAACTTGAACTTCGGTCAACGCACAGAAAAAATCGTAACGTCTTTACGTTACCTTTCACCGCTATTGCTAGCCATTACACATACATATATTTTCACACAAAACTTTATTTATAAGTTTCATAGGTTTATGATTATCCTAAAATGAATTAAATCTGAAGATTGTCTAGAAAGAGAGAGAAAAAAAGAGACAGAGATTTTCTGTTACAATTAGAAATTTAAAACGTATGCGCATTATGATACAACGGGAATTCGTACGCTGTAGTGTATAAATATGTAATATATTTATTTATTATATATATGATACAATGTATTAAATATTTTGATAAAAGTAAAAAAAATTAATATATTAAATATTTTGATAAAAGTAAAAAAAATTGTAATTTCCTACTGTAAAAAATTTTTTGTATTATCGTCTAATTAACGGTTCATCTCTTTGAAAAATAGCTTTTTAAATATTTAGTGATCAAAATTTTCATTTAATATAAAATTTTTGTCGCTTATATATTTTTTTATATGACTCTTGAATATATCAAAAATATTTATCGTTAATTTTATATTGCTATATCTCTTTTCTTACTCTTGCTTATTAAATAAATTTAATGTGTGTGAAAAAAGTTACAAAAACAATTAAATTAAATTTAATTTAATTTAATTGCTTTTATAACTTTTTTCACACACATTAAATTTCTATAATATTATTCAAAGTCAATCGAGATGAAAATGGCCATTTTAAATGAAATCAGTCACACACACACAGAAAATTGTGTGAAATTATTATAAATGAAATTCTGAGATTTAAACTTGCCAATCAATTTTTAATAGATATTGTTGTAGTTACCTGTGCTTGTTCCTTTGCAGTTGTATAATAAAAGGAATTTGCGCTTGTTCGTTGACATATGTTTTCATCAAGATACAAAAAACTAGACCGTTTTTCATCTTGTTCCCTATTATAATAATAGATCTAAATAGGATTTAGTATCTTTTTACAAGAGAGACCCGCACAAGAAAGATATTTTTCCTTATTTAGATTTATCTTAGGAAAATTCGTCAAGACACAAGAGAAAAGGATACATACTTTAAGAAATGACTGGTACGTTTCTCCGGTGTTTTGTCATTCGTATCATGTAATAGAGCATTCCAACAAATGTCTGTGTCACTTATTACAATCATTATGTATTCTGATTTCTCCACTAAGACTGCAGATGTTTGATCATTCTTGGCAACTTTGCCAGAACGTTTACTATCTTTGAATTCAAAAAGAAAATTTCAATATAAATATTTCGATATCTAATATTAAAGCAAAATTAGAAAACATTTTAGAATGCTTTTATGGCTATATATATTTTTTCTCTATTTTTAATCGAATATAATTATATTTTACATTGAGTATTCAATATAAGTAAATAATTAATTTAATATAGATAACTCAGCAATTTTAACGCATTTAATAAATGATCCAGTGAAAAATGACAAGTGTCAGATAGACAAGATGTTAAATAGACATCTATTAGATGTTTTAGATGTCTATTAAACTTATCATTTCTCACTGGGGATCCGTATTAAAAGAGATTATTGAAAAATATTATATATATGTATGTATAATTATCATGTTTCATTTAGTATTTACACCAGAATTATTTAGCATTACTTGCAAAATGACGCGAAAGTTTACTTGTAGTGCAGTTACATCGAGGAAGAATTAATGTTAATTTATGTCCGAGTTGAACTGAATCTTCGTTCATTGAAGATCTTTGTTGTGTTTTATTTATGGAATCTTGTTCTTTAGATGATTCAATTGTAACGTCGCTTTCATGATGGATTAGATGCTGACTGTCATCGAAAAGAATCGTGTCACAAATTGTAAAATATTTTTCAAGAATTTCCTCGGTTGCAATAGACGAGTCCTCTTTCTCTGTCAATTGCACCAGTGACAATCTTGAGTCTTTTTTATCATATCCTAATAGGGGCCATTTATTCTGACAGATATCTTGCAAAAGAATTTCCTCGTCAGGTTTTATTTCATTTTGTAGAGTGCTGAGATCGCTTACAAATTTTTGGTCAGTCTCTTCAAATGGATGTAATTTTGTCAAATGTTTTGACGATGTGTCGCAAGATGTAAGACGTAAGTTCGTAGGTACATGTTTATTGTGCGAAATAGTTTTTCCGCGGAGAATAACATTATTGTTTGCGGTTCCACAAACCACAGATGGATTATATGATATTGCTCGTTTTACGCAATTTCTCACTAACATAATAAATAAAAAACAAATTAAATAAAATGCGATCTGTTTAAATGTTATTAAATATTAAGAGAAAATCATGCTTATAATTATTTTGTTATCGTTTATATTATTAATACAAACAATAATAATTTATAAGTATGATTAATATACAAAATAATAATAAAAATAATATATATTTATATCATTTTTATTATTATTTGTCTATATTATAATTAACTAATATTTATTAATACATAAATTTATATAAATCATCATTTATATAAATCAATTAATTATACACATATATAAATGATATATTAGAAAATTACTTATTGTATTAGGTACGGAAAAATTTAAATCATGTTTATTAGACCACATGAGTAATTAATGTTAATTAATTACTGTTGAGAACAATCAGTTGATTTTTTACGAATGTCCAAATTTTTATCCGAGATTCATTTTGCTGTAAAATTTCAAATTCTTAAAATATGTTTAATATATATACAGATGATAAACTTATCGGTTATAAAATTAATATCAATGACATATTGTCCAAATGATCATTAATAATTCTGTATGAAACTTCATTACACATCATTGTTTTGTTCCGTAACCGCATAGGATCGATGGAACGATATAAATATAAAGTCGTATGCACATACATACATATATTAAAGTCAAAGTTTGCACAATTCCAATCTACATAAAATATAAATAAATATATTAGATAATCAACAGAAGAATTTATATTTTCTGATGTTGATATAAAAATTAGTTTTATTTATAGTTTTTAAATTAGAAATTAACATTACGACAAAGTCAAAATACTTTTTTATCATGCTTAATTTTGTGCAATAAATTTATATAAACAATTTATTAGATTTCTCATAAAAATAAATTAATTTCTATTATAGTTATATATCTATAATCTATTATAATATATCTATAATCTATTATATTTATATATATGAAATTTTTTATGTGTGTTTCTATTATTTTGTTTCTTAAAGGAATAATTAATTATAACAATAATATTCTTTTGAATATGCGAAAGTGATTTAATAATTCTGTAAAATAATATCCTTTGGAGAGATGTATTTTAGAGATGCATTATTCTTTAGATGTATTTTAACCTTGTGCTATTTTTATTGTCATGTAAAATATTGTCACCTAATGCAAATTGTTATCATACATTAAAGTATCGAAAATGAACTAAATTACTGAAATATTTTTCAAGTTCCACGAATTTAATAGTCTCATATTCAATGATCAGATGTCACATACAATATGTTATTGTATCATGAATGATAATTACAAGCGCATGCGTTGAAGTCTTTAAAAGGATGATTCTCTACTTGCTAGGCATTAGAGGAAAAGGAATATTGCAGAAAGTTTCTGTTAACCTCTGCGTGAATTATAGAAGTGCAAAATAAATTGCTCGTCTTAAATATAAATATATCATAACGTGATACGAGATGATAGATCAGGAAGAACATGGTGAGAAAAACAATGATCGCATTTCTATCTTATAATAAAAACAATTTTTTTTTGGTTCTTAAATGTCCTTACACTGAGAAAAATCATTTGGTTTCAACTAGACGTATATGATTCAAAAGATTTTGATTAAATCAAACAAAATTTCTAGTCATCATGATAAGACTCGATTTTTTACAACTAGAACATTTAAGACTTTACTATAAGGACTTTATTTTAATTAGTACTTTCTAGTTGAATCTATAAAATTTTTTGTTATATTTGACTAAACATGAACAATGATCCATTTCTTTTTAAACTTAGTACTATTATCAGGAAAATTTGATAAATTTAACAGGAAGAAATTATTCATATTCATATGATAATTCCTAAAGGAATTCTGATTCATCCATTTTCCAACAGATATGGTTGAATATATGGTTGAATATATCAGATTTCTAATTAACGCAAGATTTTTTTCTCAGTGTAGGATACTTTTTAGTAGATCAAAATATATTTTGGTAAAACTTAATAAAACAGGAGCATTGAAAAAAATATGTAATTCATCTTTTACATTTGTAAAACGCTTTCCATTATCAATCATGATAAGTAAAAACATTATTAATCAAGTGATACGCAATAATAAATGCGATAATAAATTATATTTTCGCCTAAATCGACTATTATATACAAAAAAAGAAATCAAGATATTTATATATTGTTGCGTCCCTGTGATTCCTTTGCGGTCATGTTGCGGTTTCTTGCCCTCTCTATCGATGTATTGATTTGTACATATCTTGTGTATATCTCTTCGTGTATGTACATTTAAATTTAGTGTATATCTCTTCGTGTACATCTAATTCTTGTATATATCTCTCCGTTGTATATACATCTCTATATAATTAATTTTATTAAACTTCTGATATTTTTAAAAGTGTATAATTTATTTCGCAAATGTGTATAATTTCGTGTGTGGCATTTTAAATAACGTGTGTCGATTGGGTGTGTCATGTATGTTTGAAATGTATTGATATCGATTTGTGAATGCAACATAGAGTACGTGACAATCTAAAAATAGCACAAGATTAAATTATGTGTATCCAAAGATATATTTAAATTATGTTACGAATTTAACGGATCACTTTTGCATATCCAAAAGAATATTATTGTTATAATTATTTATTCCTTCAAGAAACAAAATACATTAGAAATATAATTTTATTTTTCTTTTTATTAATCATAATATCTTAAAAGCACATATCTAACATTTAAAAAATATGTTGTAGAATATAGTGTAAGTATGTAAAATAATTTTTCACAATTGGATATAGTGTATGTATGTAAAATAATTGTTCACAATTATTGAAAAAAGTTTTCAACAATTAAAAATATTATTTATGTAATAGAATAACATAGTAATATAATAACAAGTAACAGTAATATAATAACATAACATAGCAGAGATATGCATATTTTTCACAGTTATTCAATTGCTTGCTTAAATTAATCATTCAATCGGACAGATGGATAAAACATAAAACTCTCATATATACCATATATACCATATATACCATTTTTATATTAATTATTATATAAAATTGATCCTATACAAATTCGTTAAAGAATCTCTGTTAATATAAAATTTCTTCCTAGTAAAATCACTTGAAAGTGAAAACCTTAATATTAAGATATCAAGCTTATAATAATTTTCAAATGGAAAGCGTTGAAGAGATTTGAGAATTAGTCAATCAAATTATTCAAAGTACACGCTTTTCCAGGCATATTTAATAAGTATTTAATAACACTTTTACTACCATGAGAAATATGAAGTATCTAAAAGAATATTCAGCATTACTTTTTTCAAGCCGAAAGAGATAATTCTTAATTTAATTAATTAATTTATGCTTCATCTGTCTTATATGTATTGCCTCAGCTAAAAATAATTTACAAGAATATACATAGAATGATAAATGTATGGTGTGTCTCAGAGCATATACTTTTGTTCTTTTACACAACCCGAGAACGTCAAGAAAACATGCTATACACTATAGCACATTAGAGAATAGAACTAGATACTAGAATAGATCTAGAAATTCTCTTTATTTAAGACTAGATGATCTTTATATCCGATTCAGGCTCGAGTACCTATTTGTTAGCTAAATTTGCATATTACTTTTTAAATACTCGGTTATCTTAAATATCCTTCGAATATTAAAAATTATGGAATATTCTGATATTTTTGAAGTGTGTCATAAGTAACTATATTTATATTATACTTATACTGTAAAAAATCTTGAAAATATTTTATATCTTTGAAATATCTTAATGTTTTCTAGATATATATTTTTTTGTTAAAAATAATATTTTATAACTATAACGAACGCGTTATAAAATGTATATACGTGTATACATGCATATGTATTAAAATATTTATACTTATCAATAATTTTATTGGATCTCATCTTATAATTATCTCATTTCATTGACATCTGGCATTATCATTTCACGAGACATCAATGACTCATCATTTAACATTTTTATGCATATTTATGTGACGAGCAGAATCAATTAATCGCGAAAATCTCGATTAATTTAACTAGAACACCGCGTAAAGTTTTTCAATACTTGCTTATGATTATATCGAAATAATCAAATATTCGAGTAATATCTAAAAGAATCGGATATTCGATATCGAGAGTATTATTTTTGCGATTTTATTACTTTCCTGACATGTTCATTGAAATTACTTACAGAAATATAATTTTTATGTCCATGATTCGGCACTATTGAAAATTGACGATAGTAAGTGTTTCCGAATAAAACGAGTTTTGTTCTGAGAGCAAATAATGATATTATAAACTCCGTTACGTGAATTACTAGAAATATTTAGATTATTAAATTAATCAATGAAATATTTCGAATAAGCGTTTGATTGATTAATCAAGGTAAAAAATATGCTTTAAAATCAAAATAGTGATATATATATATATATATATATATATATATATATACTTTATATTATTTATTTTTATATTATTTATTTTTATTATTAAAAAATGTATTATATTTATATTAATCAGATTCAAAAACCATTTTCGATCAAAGATATATTAGTGATAAATTACATTAATAAAATTTAATTGCACGCTCTGTTCGATTAAACTTACTTCATTCGAAAACGTTATAAATTTAACCGGAAATAACTGATATATGTACCATCTGCAACAAGAATATCGTTGTAACTTGGCGCGATAATTTACGATTGTACAATAAACGGTCGATTATACAATAGATAACAAATACATATTCGCGCAATCTTTTTTTACGATCGTATAATAAACGGTCGATTATACAACAGATAACGTATATTAATAGATATGTATTCGCGAGAGAGATCTTCTTTTTTGTACAAATGATAAATTCTTCTTTCAATATGCGTTTCAACTCTCTTCGGAGCAGTTGTTTCGAAAGCACCAGATAGATTCTTGATAATTTGTCTCCATGCAGTGAACAAATTTTTAAAATCAGTTTTGATTACGATAACGATTATATGAAATTGAGATAAGAATTTATTTTTTAATTATAGAGACAGTGAGATAACGCATGCGTACTTTCCTCCTCATTATATTAACAGTAATACTGTTAATATTCTTCATAATGGACATTCTGTGGGTGACTTTATTTACATTTACCTTTGCAGTCTTGAAGACTGGAGGGGAGTTGAATGATCGGCCAATTATTGGTAAGTTTTTTTGAAGAAATCGTGATAAAGCATTGCATAATTGACAAGTTGCTGCATCTTGTGTTCATTATAAAATATACGCGAGAAGAGAAGGTTAGAATGAAAGATTCTATCGAAAGGTGGAAATATAGCGAGTTTTTATTTCTATTTTTCCCAAAATTAACGAATATTAACGAAAAAAAATGCGTGAAAAAATGTTATAAAAAAATAACAGAAAGTTTTTATAATTATACATGTATACATACATACATGCTACTAAATTCTAATACATACTGGATTAGAATGAGTGAGCTATCTCTTTAGTAGTTCGGTATAGTGGGGAGTGGCACAGTTGGAGAAAAAGAAACGAACAAAATATATAAGTCATAGACTTAAAGAAATAGACTACGCATTCCTATACAAGACTGTTTTAAACATTAGAAAGAGAGAGCGATGGTGGTCGGATCTCTTTCTCTTTCTCTCCTTCAATTAAGCGAGGGAGAAAGAAATCCGACCGCCATCGCTCTCTCTTTCTAATGTTAAGACAGTCTTGTATAGGAAAGAAAATGCGCAATCATTTCTTTAAGTTATATAAGGAGATAAGTATATGATATATAAATTTGAACTTGTTTTAATACCATTTAATAAAAACATATGCCTTAATTAATTTTAGTATTGTTAACGTCATATATATTATATGTATATAAATATTGTTACGCGCCCGAATCGTTACGATCCTGAAAGAGTTGTGTCGCGCGCGCGTTCGATATATCGAGATCCTCGCCGCGGACGCAACAATATCATATACATTTTATATATAAATAAATAAATAAATAAATAAATAAATATATATATAGGAGATAATATACAGGGTGTCCCAAAACTCATAATCAATCTTTCAAAGACAGATTTCTGGGATCATTTTTCCTCAGCAAAAATGTCGATGAAGGCCATCATTTTTTGCATGTTCCTGATTTTTGGCATCATATATCTTTGCAATTAAGCCTTAAATTAAAACTCAACTCAAGGAATCTGTCTTTGAAAAATTGATTATGAGTCGGGACACCCTGTATAGGATATAATATATAGGAGATAACAATATATTGTTGCGCCCGCGGCGAGGACTTCGATTATTATCGAAGTCGCGCACGGAAAGATCGGCCGCTCGCGAGTTGCGCGAAATAAATAAACACTTTTAAAGAACTAAAAGCTTTAATTCCCAACACAGGGCAACACAAACGTTAACTCAAAACGATTCAACGCACAAATTAGCGGCTCGGTACAAATTCGCGTCCGCGCAGCCAGACAGCTGGAACCGAACTCAGCTGACAGTCGTTGTTTGTAAATAATCTTCTTGCCGACGGGATCCAGACAACGGCAGGGCCGTGACGACTCGGGCGCGCGCGTAACAATATATATATATATATGTAATTATTTAAAATGCAATTTTCTTTAAAGAACATTTAAATTTAAAATAATAAATTACTTATTTTTTAGCGCGTATTGATAATTATTTTATACATACATATATATATACACACACATTGATAAATGTATATGTATACATGTACACATGAAATGCACATTTGTACATAATCTTAATTAAATAATTAAAAGTAATTATTGTTTTACATGAAATCTTTTAGTGATAACATAACGTACACGTACAATAACACAACGTACACGTGCACGTATGTGAATAGATTTTTTATTTTCCTTTTTTCCAAATCTTGGCGATTCTTTTGAATTAGCCTATGTATCTTAAAGATTTAATTTGTGAATAACTGCTTTTTTCAAGGTATTCTGACGCAGGAAATAGATTATAATTTAAACAAAGAGTATCCGGATCAATATCACAGTTACATTGCAGCATCGTATGTAAAATTCGTTGAAGGTGCTGGTGCTCGGCCCATCCCAATTTGGTAATTTTCATCTTTATATTAAATTACATTTCTTTGTTTTATTTATTAAATATTTCAGATTAGATTACTCAGGTTAGATTACTCAGGTTACATTTATCTGTTTATTTTTTATTTCTTATAATTGAATTGAAATTAATTGTTCTTATTAGAATTTTACTTATCAGAATAGAATGTAAAAATCATTAATTACCAAATTAAAATACCATTGGAAACAAATTTTTTCAATCGACACTAAATCTTGTGAAAAGATATTTTTTTAATCTTATAAATTAACAGTTAAATAAACATTTTATATTCTGAAATATTGTAAAAGAAATATAGGAGAACTGTAAAATATTGCAAATCCTTTAGGTACAGTGACACAATTTAAAGTTAATTTTTTTTCTTGATAAAATTAGAAGAAACAATTTTTACATTGCAAAGAATTGTAAATAAATGTGTCTTTTTATAAATTAAGCTGTAGAAAGTTATTAGAGGTAGATATAAAATTATATTCTTTTATATTCTTTTAATTCTAAATAAATTTACTCGAAGAGAATTGTGTAAATTGAGAATTGATATAAAAATATATTTAATATTATATGTTAAAAATCAGCGACAAATATTTTTCCTCGATATTTCTGCTAAAAATGTGCTTAGATAATGATTCGCTAAGTTTATTTTGGGCGACCATGTATTTATTTAACACTTATACTATAATAGTACTATTTTTGTTTCCTTTGGTGCTTGCTTACATAGAAACAATTAAAGTCGTTCTTATACTTATAAACAATTAAACATGTATAAAAATAATGGATAAAGCTTAAGTGTCTTGAATATTATATGTTAGTAAATAGATATTATACATATCTCAGATTTATTAATCCACGGATTATGCACAATTTCATGTAGGATTGGCAGGAATGACTCGTATTACGAAGATATCTTAAATAAAATCAACGGGTATGTAAAGGACTGTTACATATTTTATTATTAAAACATTTCACTAGGTACACTCATAATGCTCAAATTCGATATTTTTATAGAGTTTTATGGCCAGGAGGTGCAACATATTTTTTTCAGAAAGAAGGATATGCCGATGCAGGTGCCGCGATTTACAGGTTAAACAATAAAAAATAAATAACAATGTCAATGTAATGTATTAAAAACAAAAGCTTAAAAATATATTTATGTATATTTATATCTTTTCGTTAAATAGGATCGCAAAGAAAATCAATGACAGAGGTGAATACTTCCCCATCCTTGGTATCTGTCTTGGTTTCGAGCTATTAACATACGTCGCAGCGAATTGCGTCGAACATAGGACAGCATGTTCCAGTCAAAATCAGCCTCTTCCACTAGAGTTCACGCATGGTAAATATTTTTTTAAAATTTATTTATTATTATTCAATATAAGTTTTTTATATTCTTCTAGTATTTTTATATTCTTCTTTTATATTTTTTCGGTGAAAAATGATAGATGACGAAAAGATGTATATGTTAGATGTTTATACATGCGTCTAATTGTAAGATGTATTTTCGATCGGTATTTCTCTCACTGAGTAGATTTTTTTATCATTTCAACTATTTTTATCCAATACATCTAAATTATATCTAGATTACATTTAATAACCGTCATATTTTAATATTAACGTGATGGCTACGAGATCGATTCCGATAATCTTAATTTATCACATAATTTAGATAAATTTTTTCAAAATATATTTATAAGAAAATACAAATTATATATTTTTTTACTAAATACAACCAATTATTGTCAAAATCATTTTTTGCGCATATTTTCTATAAATATTCCGAAAAAAAACATTCTATTTCTAAATGATTTATAAATTTTAAGACTATACTCTGATTTCTTCATTACAAGTTTTTTTTTGAAAAGAATGTAATTTCTTTTAGACTTTAGAGAAGCCAATTTATTTAAGCAGGTCCCACCAGATATTCTGAAGATTTTAGATGAAGAAAATGTCACGGCAAATTTTCATCAGTATTGCGTTACGAAGGAGGCAAGTGTCTCTTTTTCAAGAAATTATTAGCAAGCAAATGTAAATTTAGAGTAGTTGTAATGTATAACGAAGATGTCAAAATAGAGAAAATGTTACACGAAAATTTATATAGAATGATATTATGTAGAGAAAATTATAAAATTATATAGAATGATGTATACAAAATATGACAATATTAAATTATGCATATATTCCGTTTTCTATTTTAGGATTTAAGCCGCGTTCAATTAATCGATGAGTTTCGTGTATTGTCCTTGAATCATGATAAAAAAGGTTTAGAATTCATTTCAACATTGGAACATAAACGCTACCCATTCTACGGAGTACAATTTCATCCGGAAAAGAATCTCTACGAATGGGTGACTGGAAAAAATATTCCTCACGGACGTAACGCCACTTTAGCTGCTCAATATTTCGCCAATTTTTTCGTCAACGAAGGTAAATAACAATATCAAACAAATAAATTCAAATATTTTGCATTACATTGAAAAGTTTTCAACGCTTTTTTGCACTTTTCAAGAGCACAGAATGTGATACTACATTATTTAAGCTAGCTTTATCTTAACTCATATTTAGGTGTACTTTTTTTATCCTTAATATTATGTGTGAAATTGTAGATTTTCAATAACAATCATAAGTAATTATTGTATTTGAATGTTTTTGCCGATTTTTGTATTTGGAATGAAATGGATTTTTTTTACAGCTCGCAAAAATTTGCACGAGTTTGCGACAGAACAAGAAGCGAAGGAAAGTCTAATCTATAACTATCCTGTTACTTACACAGCCCTGCAAAATTCTACTTTTCAACAGTGTTATATGTTTAAAATAAGTGATCGTGACGATCTTATTATAGACAACAATGTGTAAAACTTGGAACAAGTTTTATTTTGAAGATAGAAAAAACATACGTCGCTCTTTATCCATGTACAAATATAATTTTGTAAACACATTTGTTAAATTCTCATCTACATTGAAAATTGAAAGATTTGTTGATTATTTGTTAATTTTGACAAATACGATTATGATTTGTGTATGTGTGTAGTAATATGACGGCACTGGGGAGCACACAAACAAAAGAAGATTGGTACGCGCAATTTCCACATTTAACATAACACCAGTGTATATTGTGTCACAACTGGGATACATAATATTACAATGGTGCATAATAAAATTCTATACATATTTTCGTTCTATCTAAAGTAAATAATCATATTTTGAATCTTTTTTTCCCTCACCACGTTTTTTTTCGCTCTGAGCCGAAGCGCAGACCGCCTAAATGCTTAGTATGTTAGATGAATGATGCACGATGCCCTGCGCAATTTTAGATGCAACGTAACATAGCGATGAACAACAATGACGATGATGGTGTCCGAAACATCGTCTTTACATCGACGCATACAATTCGCTTCGACTCACAACGCACGGAACGCACGGATCTGACTGCTTGCCATTATCTTCATCTTTATTTTTAAACAAGCACGAAACTAAATCTCTTAAAAGCATGAATCAACTCTTAGTTTTTACCCTCGTAACGTATGATAGTATCATTATTAATAATCATAATAATTCATATAAACATTATTTCTATTTATTCCTTGTTACATATTCTTAGCAATGTGTCGCGCAAAGATGCAAAGGTCATTTGCAGAGGAATCGCTTTTTCTTTTTTTTTTTTCATTCTCTCTTTACACGCGTGTGTGCCACTTTGTCGGAAGTATGTTCTCTCCCCCTTTCTCCGAGGAAAAGGATGAATCTGGTCGTTTTTTTCCTCGACGATTACTTCACTTACATATGTTACACAGTATATATACATAATGTATATAAGCATTATGAGCAATATATATATTATACATATATATTTGTCCCCGTGTAAGTTCACGATGGCCCACATATCTATCGCCTTAATTTATTTCGCTCTCTCTTTTTTTTTATTTTTCCCGAGAATATAACAAAGATCTACTCATAGTAGGTAAATTTCCCACGATATTTCACGGTATAAGGTGACCCTGCAATACATTCAAGTTTTCACTGTTTCGTTATTTTAAATAGTACATGAGATATCTAACTGTTTCAATATACTTAATATATATATATATATGTATATTTATTATATATATATAATATATATATATTTATATCTAGATTTCTACCGAGTTGCGAACAACTTTCGTCGCACGCGCGGACCGCATGTGACGTACAAACGCGCATTAATAAATTTGTCGTCCTTTGTATATATAATGCCTATTTGATATAGTTTTATTATACTAATATTATACATAATTATATATTTAATGCAAACGCGACGGCGCGACGATTGGTTGTAATTTTATCTTCTTTTTTTTTTCTTAAATCGCTCTCGTGTAGAACTCAAGTTTTAGATACTCGATATTGTATACATGCGCGATCACAAATACGCCACGCTGTCACGCTCTTATTTATCTCTTTTTTACTTTAATCTTAACGGTAATACGAAATACATGGCCTTACAGGATGATCGCTACAGTGTCTCTCTCTTTTTATGATAGATGATACAAAAGGAAATATATAATTAATTGTTAATTAGATTTAGTAACAAATACTTAAAAAAAGAAAAGGGAACAAAAATTGTTCTCAATAAAGCGCGAATTCAATTTATCGGTTTGCCTTCAACATATTCAAGATCGGATATCAGTGGTGTCCGTTTGTCGAATCTTTGTTTTCCTAAACAAAATGTACGACTGAATCATATTGCACTCGATCGTAATAACTAAGACTAAGAATCATAACGACGCCTAAGTCAAACGATTGAACGCACGAATATTCCTTTATCGTACTTTCACGTCGATATAAAAGAAAATTTTATTAATTGAAGTTCGGACCTTCGGCTATTTTACTTCCAAATATTACGATTTCACTTTGACTGCGAGATCTACTATAATAGGATATTAAACATCAGCTGAAAATTATAGAAATATTTGAAAGAAATAATTTCACATTATTTATCGTGAAAATTTAACATAAATATTTCAATGTTTGAAAATTAGAAAACAAAATTGCTATACATTTGTGATTGATTATTGATAAAAATAATTTACTTGTCAATCCATATCCGCTTCTTTTTATCAACGATCTCTTTTATATAAAAGTACGATATCTCTCTGCATTTGCAAATGTCGGACCCACTTTAATTTATCATGAAACATTTTGGATCCAATGAAACCGCGCAATTATCATCAAACTAGTAATCCTAATGATAAACTTTCATATGGAAAATTATGTAAAATTAATAATTAATGTGCAAAGAGTAATCATAGACAAAATTACAATTTTATCATTTAAAATTAAATTTCATTCATTTTTTTTGATATTAAAAAATTACCTGTATACCAGTGTTGGATAAAACGTATTTGTAAAAAAACGATTTATCACAACATATGTTTTCACAGAAAAAATATTAATAATATATATTATTAGTATATGTGTGTAGTATTAGTATATATTATATATGCTGTTATATAGAAAAGTATTATATATGCTAATATCAATATATTAGCATATATAATATATATTATATATGCTAATGCCTATATACATATATATTTATATACAATACATATTTTTTCAAAATTGTTATTCGTTATTCGCGAATGTATCTTTCCTGATGGTACTTTGCGATGGTATACGTGCCATCACGATTCCCGAAAACTTTACTATAATTGGCGAATTCATACGGATACATTCTTCTTTCATATGAAAATAACATGCGAACGTAATAATCCGAGACAATCGCCGTTGACATTATATAATTAGTGCCTTTTTTTTCTTTAACATTACGGAAGATTACTAAAGTACAATATTAACGAAGAAGAACTATTACATGTTTATAATTATTACATCACATAGTCGCAAAGTTCCGACATACTCTGATGTTCCTTTTGCACAAATTTGAAACGAATACACATTCGTTTACCACAAACGACATATACTTATCAAGTACATATAAGCATATAAACGAAAACAAAACCAAAAACTTTGGATAATACACCGCCATTGTCGCAAGTCTTAGCAATCGAGCGTTAATGTTCCAATATATGATCTTTTATGCGCATATCACGAACGATCGCTTTATATCGTCCCGAAGAAAGTTCACTGCAAATTTAGAAAATGAAAATGGTATATATAAACTGTTGCAGAATCGCAGATGGATTGCGCAGCACGCGAAACACATGATAATTCAAATATATGGCGTATGTTAATAATCCCATATATTAAATAATAACCTCACTGCAATTCAAGTTTCCTCAAAGAAACAACGAATAGCGGCGCACAATCTTCACACTTCTTGGACACAATCGTATATATTAAGTATACACACAGCATATATCAGACGCCTTCTCTCGGATGGCTTTCTCTTTCCTTTCTATTTCTCTCTATTCTTCTTGCTCTCTTTGTCTTATCTCATCCTCGGAGGAATCCTCCAAGCTTCTATAGCATTTTTAGGATTTGTCATCTCCATCTTCCTTATCTGGATCATGATCTAGTACGATGCCAATACGCCGGGCGGTGTCGGCACTACCACCGTGTGTTGCGGGACGACAGGAGGCGCCGGTGGCGCTAATGGGTGTCCCACCAGGACCGCCGCTGCCGCTGGAATCGGCAGAACGCCGGTTTGCGGTATCGCCGACGGCGTGCTAACCTGTGTCGGCGGTCCTTCGGCCGCGTGCTTGCGCAAGTGTCGCAGCATATTGCCCTTCTCGACGAAGGTCTTGCCGCAGTCTGGGCAACTGTGCGGCCGCTCATCAGAGTGCGAGCGTCGGTGCGAGACCAAGTGTCCTTTGCACATGAAATCTTTGGGACACAGATCGCAGCGGAACGGCCTCTCGGCGTTGCTGCCCTTGTTGTGCGAGCGCATATGGAAGAGAAGATTGCCCTTCAATGGGAAACTCTTGCCACATTCCGTGCACACAAATGGACGTTCACCGGTATGGCAACGCATATGATTCACGAGATGCTCCTGCAATGGAAAATTAAAAGACGTGAAGAATTATCGATCATTATATTTACGCAAATAGAGATCCAACTAAACTTTAGCTATAAAGCAATGTTTATATGTTAAAATTAAAAATAGTAAAATTAGACAAAAGTTTAATTCAAATATTTGTTCTTGTTTATGATGCGTATTATATTATCGCACGATATATTATTTATAATATTATTATTATCTTGTGGCTCAATCAATAAAATGGAAATGATGAATGTGCAAACAGAATAAAAGGCATTTTCACATTTCATAGCTAAAGGATTAAATGAAATTTCGCTAATCATTTAAAATTTTATACACATTGCTGATGTTGTACAGAGAAATTTGAGTCATATTTTACAAATTTTTGAGAAATATATAAAATAGTATTAGATGATTTGAGAAATTGAAATTGTCAGTACTTTAGATTTATCTTTTAATTATTAATATTAAATATTTCAAGTGTGTCGTTATAAAGCTTCACAGCCAACGTACCTTTCTTGTGAATGGTTTGGAGCACACGTTGCAACAATGTGAGGAATCTCCGGTATGTTGACGGAGATGATTATTTAGGTGTTCTTTCCTAGTGAACGTCCTCTGGCAGAACTCACACCTATGTGGAGATTCGCCAGTGTGGATGCGCACATGATTCGTCAAATGCTCCTTACGAGTAAATGATTTGGAGCAGAAGTGGCATCGGTGTGGCGATTCGCCTGTATGTTGACGCACGTGATTGGTCAAATGTTCCTTCCGCGTGAAGGATTTGGTGCAATACTGGCACTTGTGCGGTGACTCACCCGTGTGCTGCCTGACGTGGTTCACCAGGTGATCCTTCCGCGTAAATGCTTTCGGACAGTATGAACAGCGGAAGGGCGTCTCCCCTGTACATATTTTACAAGCGAATTCGCAACGTTTGAGAGAAAAAAAAGGAAACGTTTTTCGTCATTCAGAACTCAGTGGAGTTGTCCTGCACAAGGCGAGTTTTGCCTGACGCAACGCATAGAGAAGGCATAATATCGAATGAAATAAATCCTGACGTATTTATTTTCTCTCTTTCGATATCCAAAAATTACAAATATATACTTGTAGTAAAACTAACTTCAAGTTGAAACATGTAGGCAATTTTATATAAAAGACCAATCAATAAGTTGATCCTACATCTCTTTTTCTATGGGATTTAATATATTATATAACAATGTCAGTCTTTAATAGTCTAGTGTAGATAGATTTAATTTGTTTTAAGATTTTTGCCTGATACTGCAAGAAATTATTATTGATTATTCAGCGTCATTCGAAAAAAATATCCGCATGCGTAAAAAGTGCTGTACTACAGATATATTCGATATTGCCGTATCCGTACGTTACATCAAAGGAAAGTCAGCTTGTACAGCAATAGATTATAGTAATCCGATATATATTTTAACTTTACATATACATATATATCAGATACTAAAATGCTATTACACTACTATTATACTTTAAGCATGAAACTTTCTATCTCGCGATTATGAAGCAAATAAGTATTAATTTCTTTCGCGAGAATCTCGTATCTAATCTATCACAATACTCTGTATCAGCGTTGAAATTAAAACTGAGCTCAGAGACTTGTGCCATCAACGACAATAAAATGAAGTTTTTAGGAACAGTAGCGTTATTTACAAGTCTCCGACATGTGAAATGCAAAATTTGACTGACAATTTTAATGAGGATGCAAACGAGAGCTATGAACACTTATAAATGCAAGGAATTTTTGTGTGGAACGCTGTTAATAAAAGGTATGACATGAGAGCGGTGTATTAGGCAGAACAGCAGCAAATGTTCTTGGGAATTTAATGATGATGGGAGATTTTTTTTTTGCGATGATCAGATCGAGTTAGATGCGCGATAGTGTACACATTAAGAGATACGTACGATGAGAGCGACTGAATGAGAGTAAACTTGTGGTGAAACTTTATGACGACCCCGTCTAAATCAAATCTCATGCAAATGTCTGATCCTCGGCTAAATGCATCACACACACATATACAGGATATTTCAATTCTAGCAGATCAATCATTAATCCTAGAGTCTCTTAAATAGAGACAGACTACATTTTTAAAATGTACAATATTTTGAGTTATGATCGATTAAAAATATCAATTATATAAAAAAAGTTTTTCGCGATATAAACCTTACAAAGCTAAATAAGAATTTTATTTTTTGTTTAATTTTAAGAAGAAGAATTTAGAAGAATTTCTTTTCACAACGCAACGTTTCGTTTGAAAAATGTTTCATTTATAACGTATTGCGATTATTCAATTTTCGTTAAGAAAATATCGATTCCATAGTCGTCGACGATTTCGTTTTCAAGATCCGTGAATCCAGTAGAAGTGAAATAGCCCGTATGTAAGCCAGATGTGTGAAACCGGAAGCATATGGAGAGACGAGTGTCTCGACTCGTGTTCGATCGCATCACCTAAATGTGATGTCACGCACGAGGCGACCCTCGCAGTCCCTAATGAATCTCTTAATTCTAAAAAAAAAGAAACAAAAAAAAAAAGAGAAAAAAAGAAAAAAATACTGATCTCTTTCTCTTTCAATATATGTACATAAATAGGTCACGATAATACAACTACTCTTAATAGAGATAACGATTATATCGGTTGCCCGTGAAGTGAACATCTGCCAACCGCTCTCACCTGTGTGTTGGCGAATGTGGTTAACAAGGTGTTCCTTTCTGGTGAACGATTTGGAGCAGAAGCCGCATCGGTGTGGAGACTCACCCGTGTGCTGGCGAACGTGGTTCAGGAGATGCTCCTTTCGCGTGAACGTCTTCGAGCAGAAGTCGCAGCGGTGCGGCGTCTCACCCGTGTGCCACATTATGTGGTTCGTGAAATGCTCCTTCCTCGTAAACGACTTACCTGTATAGTGGCAGTAAAAAACAGAAAAAAAACCCGAAAACAGGCACGTTTCATTAGATTGCATTTGCCAAATGGCACAGATAAATGCGTATAAAACATGGGACGATTCCAAATACACGTATTATTGTTAGACACGAATCATGTTCCTGTCATTACCAATCATTACTGATCGTTACAATTTATGCGAAAACAAACTTTGTGTCTCCCTTCTTTTTACGCTCTAACAAGCGCTAAAATCATACGTCTATCAACTTGTAAATTGATTGAATAAATTATAATCAATTTAACAGGTTGATTAATTTCATAATACGAACCTACAAGAAATGATGCACGGAAAAGAGATTGTCGACCGCTTATTAAGCGGTTAATCTAATCAAATTTCAATTTGTCGATAGTAATTAATTCGTCAAAAATTTTTTTAACTTTGCATATTCTCATCAATACAATTTTCTTAAGAAACTTTCTTGAGAATATTAAAAAGGAAATTGAGTAAAATCTACAATATCTGTAGAAATTTTTTCCAAAAATTGACATTTGACGCAGTCAACGTGCGCTTGTATGTATACACTTATCACGTGACATGTAAAGATCGACGCGCATGCTTGCAGCCCTATCGAGTAAAAATACAAAATTTCGAATTTCCCACTTTGTAGCAGCCGCGACTTTTACACTTACATTCGCTCGCGATCGCGTAACAAAGTTGGCGAAAATGTAATTGTCGAGCCGTCTAATTGCTTCCTGTCGACGCGCGACTGACGATTTACACAAAGTCAATTTTGAGAGCGCACTTGTACCCAAATATCGGCCTCGTTACAATACTCGGGTGGCGTGCAAACAAGATCGATGAATTTTGCTGCAGCGCCAATCACTCAACTCGCAGTAGCAACGATTATAAATTACCGATACGAAACCCTCGCCAACATTGCTACAATCATATTCAAAATAACAAAATGGCATTGTTAACGACGCGATAACGTCAAGTAAGTTCATTCCACTCGACCCGCAAAGAGTCGAGGCCCTTGGCGGCCAAGGGGATCGGCACCTTGATCGCCGGAAGCAAGAAGCGCGAAGAAAGCAGTCTACGTCGCGGAATTAATTTCGACTAAACTATCGTCGACGTAAAAATGGCAAAGCGCGAATACATCGCAAGACGCGACGTACGCGAGCAAGCAGGCAAAGCGAGCGAGCCAAGGATAAGGCGAAAGAACGTTATACGAACCGCTTAAATTTACGAAATAGCAAGTCATGCCATTACAGTTCACGGCCAAATGTTGGATGAGAAATAAAGGACCCTTTATAGAGAGCCGGCCGGCGGCAGCAGACCCGCGCGATTTCCGAGGACTGAAGAAGAAAGAAAGGGGTTCCCCGTCGTCGTCGCCGCCGCCGTCGTCGGATGGGAGGGCGGCAGGCGGGGGTGGGTGGGTGGACGAGGGCAAGCGCACCGACACGATCACGATTCTCGAAGGGGCGCCCCTTTGCCTCCGCGAAGGAATGCGCGCGACCCGCGAGTTCGGAGCAGCCAACCGAGCGAGGGGGAGAGGGGCCGGGAGGGGGAGGGAAGAAGAGAGGGGGGCGAGAAAGAGCGAACGAGGGTGGTGGGACGGCTACTCGCGATGCGCGATCAATTCTCGCGAATTTTATTTCACCGCGCCGTGTATATAAGCCGGTGCGGCTCCGAGGCCGCGACTTGCGTACAGCGCGTTCGACGTAACTCCGCGTCAAATTGCGCACGACTCGAGACGGAGAGACTTCCCCCCCGTGCGTGTCAAATCCCATCGATCCCCGCGTCTACGCGTGGCGCGTATATTTTTTTTCAATACCCTGTTTTTTTTTTATCTCTCTGAAATTGCGGGGCTTGAGAGAGATTCGTTTCAGAGAGATGCAACGTTCTCCCGACAATCTTCATCGATATAATTATATAATTATCCTGTTGAAATTGTGCCGTTTTCATAAATAAGAAAAATTTGTATAGCGCCTACTCAAAATTATGACACTGTATAAAGTGATATTACATATGTTTATCATGCTATTAAATTATGATTGCTTTCTCCTTCACGATTTTATCAATTATAAAAAATTATTGAAAATTTTGAATTTTTTAATGAAGATGAATTGATAACTTTGCAAATGCATAAAATTTATTAAACTAATAGTGAATAATAGATATGTTAACAACAATTTAATTACTCGCTTTCTTTTAAATCGCATGAATACGTTTATCTCATGAGATATTTGTACTTCTCTATAAACGAAACTCTCTTTCCCTTAATATATTTAAAAAAAATAATTTAGGCATTCAGTTTAGAGTAAATTAGGGAGAATATGTGGCAATAAAAAATAGCTATATACAATTTGAAGCTTACAATGCGTTCTCTGAAAAATTGTACACACTGTATTCTTTATAAAATTTATATTAATGCAAATAAAATACTAATCTACATCTATATAAATTAAAAAGCGCTTATTTTTTATATCTACATAAGATAGTTACAGATATTACTAGGCATATTTGTTATATTAAAATTAAATTAGTTTTAGTTTAGTTTTTAAAAATTGAAAATTTGATTTTAGAAATTAAAGTTAGATTATAAATTATTTATTTTTCATCTTAGTCGTATTTAATCGTAAATAATACTTCAATTTTAATAAAATATTCAATATATTAAAATAACAGATTTTAACAATCGAAATTTATAATTGCAAATTTGACTAATATCTCAAAATTAGCCAAAAAATATAGATAAATTCTAATAAAAATTTTATATTAAGACAAAATTCTTAAAAATTTAAGATAAAATTGACAATAATTGCTTTCTTGTGACTTTAGTAATTTCTTGAAATAATTCATATTTGATTAAATTTTTAATGTATATTTCCAGACACGAAATTAGAGATGTCGTGTTTAAAATGAAAATAATAAATACTTTTCACATTAAGAGAGGGATACAAAACTTTGTAATTATTTAAATTGATTGAAATTGATATGTATAATTAAATAAATCGTATATAATTAAATATAATATTTTACTTACCTTATTAATGCTTCAAATTTCCCTAAATCTGCATTAATCTTATTTCTTTCTCCATCCTGTGATAAAATTATTTAATAAAATATTTAATATTTTATTAAATGATTTTATCCGATAATAATTGATTATCGCTACATGTTCTTTATGTGATTCGTAATAAAATAATTTTTTAAAATCATATTAATGTTATAAATTGCTGATATTACGTCAAAAACATCTTAATTGAGATGATTTGATTTCCTATGAAAAATGAGAATTAAGATATTGATAAACTTAAATTAAAAAACAAGTCAATTTGAGCTAATAAGATTTTTATGCGATGATATATTCTCCAATAATATTAAAAATAGAATTTTTGCTTGCGTCCTCTTCAGAGATATAAATGTGACGATTAATGATACCTGTATTTCAATTGCATAAAACTAAAAGAATAAAGGACTATATATTTTGTCATTTTTAGTACTATTGTTAGATGAGATTTGAGTATCATTGTATAGATATCTGCCCTTATAAGCTCGTATTGACCTGTTTATCTTTAGAGATTTGCTAAACATATGCCAATTTTTCTTCTCTTTGTAAAAATTGAACGCGCAGAAAAATTTATAAAAAGATAATTGTGTAAATTTAGAAAGTTTCTGGAATCGTCCCATTATAAATACCGTAGTCATTTTGTTTCGTTATGTATAGATTTCACATTAAAAATATGTCTTTTTTTCTTTTTCACCTGAGAAAATGATTTCCTAGACAAATTGTTTGCGTTTTTTTTTAAATTTCACGCAGAAAGACATAAAATATAAGATTGCATCACTTACCGCATATTTCACAACGGAACGGCGTATCATTCGTGTGAGAGCGCATATGGTTAGCGAGATGCTCTTTACGCGTATACTTCTTGCCGCAGGCTTGGCAATGATGAGGGGTTTCTCCTGTGTGCCACATAACATGGTTCATAAAGTGTTCTTTGCGAGTAAAGCTCTTCTTGCAAATATCACATCGATGTGGAGTCTCACCAGTGTGTTTGCGAACGTGATTTACCATGTGTTCTTTTCGGGTAAATGTCTTTGAACAGTATTGGCACCTACAACACAATCGTGTCAAAATTTTCTTTCTGCTATTTTCAGAAATAATTAAGATTAAATTAAGAATAATTAAGAATAATTAAGAATAAATAGAAAAACAATAATTTCTAATGGAAATATATCTCTGATATTTTATATTTAAACACATCAGGTTTGCCATTTTATATTCATCTACTAGGTTTTTTAAGTATTTTGAGAATTTTGAGAAATTATACGAAATTTACCTGTAAGGTGTTTCGCCAGTGTGACATCTCGTATGGTTGTCCAAATGCTCTTTGCGCGCAAAGCTCTTACCACAGACTGTACAATTGTACGGTTTGTCGGTGGCGTGTCTCTTCATATGGCGATCCAGCGAAGGTGCGTTCGCAAAAACATGAAAGCAGACTGTGCAAGTGAACATGGATCCACCCAAGTGACACTTGCCGTGACGCGTCAAATCGTTTGCGTTCGAGAACGCTTTACCGCATACCTGAAATCGTCACAAATTTAATATTAATCTGTATGTCCGCATTTTGCCTAGATCGCTGCTGCATGCGTAATTTCAACGTTTTGCGTACCTGACACGTAAACGGCTTCCTCTCGGTATGATATCTGCGATGCACGATAAGCTGATAACGAAACTGAAAGATCTTTCCGCATATCTCGCAAGCGTGACTGCCAACTGATACGGGCGATGCACTTGGACCGGGAGTTGCCTCGCCATCGCTCGATTTTATATCAAATTTGTTCAGTGGGACTTGCTGCACGATTGGAGTACCATTTTGTATCGTGGTAACTGTCTGCGTGGGAACAGTGCTACCCACTAGAGTTGTTCCAGCCGCAATTTCACTTTGTAGCTTTCCAAAGACTTCGTGATAAGCCAAGAGTTGATTAATATCTTCAACGTTTACCTAACCCGTTCGAGTAAGAGGGAAAAAGAATATTTAATGGGCTGCAACTTTTACACAATATTGAGATAAAACTATTATACGTAACGTTTCGCACCTTGTACATATTTTGTACCATTTCGACGCCGAGAGTTTTCGCCAAATCTTGCTCGTTTCCCGCGCTGATTTTCACAACCGATCCGTCCGCCGTTCTCACATCCATCATGTGTCCTCCTGGCTTTAAGTCAGGGACTTGGAATCTACAACAACATTCTTGTTATTCATGTGAACATTGACGATTAAAGATGCAATGTCTTTTTTTTATACGCACTGAGTCATATTCAGTTGCCGCAATTCCTTTTCTTTCTCAGGCTTCTCGGAATTATTCTGACTCCCGCCCTCGGTGGTGGAATTTCCGCTGATGTTGACCCCGATCTGCGACTGCTGCTGCTGCTGTTGCTGCTGCTGCTGTTGCATCAAGCTCTGTTGAAGATCTTGCGGAGGTTGTAATTGCAGATCGCATTGAACTTGACAGTGAACCTGATTGTCGCTGCAGCGCTCGGTGGTGCAACTACCGCCCTCGTCCTTGACTTTGTTGTCGTCTCGCTGTGCGTTTTGGCCGTGTCCCGTCGGTCCGTTGTTCTGGGCGTTCTGATGATTTGGCATCTGATGATGGGACTGCTGCTGCTGTTGCTGCTGCGACGGCTGCGCTTGTTGCTGTTGCTGCTGCTGGTGCAGCTGCTGCTGTGCTTGTGCCTGCATTTGTTGTTGCATTTGTGCATGCGCAACCTGCAGGTGACTAACGCTCGCCGGTATATGCGCGCCGTCTAAATTAAGGCCGGGAAGAGATACGGGAATCTATCGAACAAAATACACACGCGACATGTATTATTATTGTTATTCGATGCGTGCTTTTGCTATTAACAATAAAAAAAAATAAATACTTTAAACGAATAGCTTATGTACAGGATTATAATTGTAGAAGCTTTTATCGATATTTGAGCATTCTGCGCCAGTGATAAAAATGTATCGAGTAATTAACAAATCTAATCAGTGCGTACACTATATAAGACTGTGCAGCGTAACAAATAGGGTGATAATTGATATTTAGAGAATAGATTTTTGTACAAAGACCGACGAAGCACAAAATATAAAACTCTTGATAAAATAAAGCGGCGAAGAATAAAACTTGAAAATTGAATGAATATTATAAATTCCAATGTCGAGCACTTGCCGAGTTTCTTTCTCTTTTTGTATATATCGCCTTTATAGCGGCTGTCGTCTACGCATGGCGCCGACTCGCACGCATTTCCGCAATAAAAAATTGCGCGCGTTATCGTAACTGCTGCAAAAGCATAAGTCTAATTGCTGCTCGGATGAGAGTAAGCCGCATCCAAATTTGAAAATCGTTACACAAAACACGTGCTACTACACATTAACAAACCTGCGGATTCGATTGCAGAGAACTGTGATGGCTGCTGCTGTTAACCGATGGCTGATGATGATGATGCGCGGCTGTAGATTGTTGTTGATGATGCGAGCTGGAAGTCAACGCCATTTCCTGATTCAATGAAGAGGCTGACTCTTTGGAGGATGATGCCTCCCCACTGCCACCACTCCTATGCGAGGAGTTGTGGTGGGGATGAAAGACCGAGACCTGAGGTAGCGTTCCAGGAAGCAATCCGTGTAAATTGAGGACCCAATACTTAGCTACCGAGGAGGCTAACGCTACGGCAGTACCTACACGCAGGTCCGTGGATGAATGGGGGGTACTCCCTACATTGCCAAGACTCGCGGTCGCAGTAGCCAAACCACCTGGGTATGATGGGCGACCACTTTGACCCGCATTTACATCCTACCGATATACATTCAGACATTTGTACAACATTGATAGGGCATGCAGCGGCATGCACCAGGCTGAAGACCAATCGACAAATGCGCCACTTTTGATACATGTGCATCGACACAAATGATTCTATGGGTATATTCGTTATCGAAGAGAATGCGACTGTCGGTGTTTTCCGTGTTAAACACTGCGTGTACACTGAGAGAGGAGAACGCTCTATCAAGCCATACAACCAATCGTAAACGGCTACTCTATTTTCAAGCTTACGTAAAAGTATACGCAACCTGTTAAAACTGGATACATAAAGATATTATAGACTATGATGCGAAGATAAGCAAAGTGTTAGAGTTACAAGAGTAGAGAAATCCAAGCATAAGCAATCTCCTATGACAATACGCTACAAGCATTTCTACCTAACCTAAAAACTACAAATTGCAACATTCTAAACGATGGTAAAGGTGCAAAGCGAAACTGTATGATAATGGAACTTGATACGAGTAAAATAAGAATAAAATATAAATTAAATTTTATATATATATATATATATATATATATATATATATGTGTGTGTAAAATATATATATATAAACATTACATACCGCATAAATTATCGTCAAACAATACATATTCTAAGCGCTTTAAATCATTGAAATATATATTTATCAAATTGTAAATCTAACTCGAGGCACAACTTGTTACAAAGCGGATTGAAAAATTAAATAAATTGACGAATGAACAAGGCTCATTATACAAACGTCTCAACGTATCTAACATTAGCATAGTGCATCCGTGTAATTGTCATTTGCGCATTTGTAGTTTGGTGTATAGCCTGTTTCGATCGGAAAGTACCTCACCTCTTGTTGTGCCTGCGTAGTCGCTGGCAATGCATGCTGCTCACTATTCATCTTCGTTCACTGAAGGATATTAATTAAACGTGTCTGACATATTTGACTGTTCATCCTGCAAAATGCATTACGTAAAATTAATCTTTGCGTTATTACGTTAAAAAGTGCTTATAGACTACGGGTCGCTCGAGAGTAATAAACACGCGCGAGGATATTCGAGATCGAGGGGAGACAATCGTACAGACTAGCGCTAATTAAATAACGCAACGCGCAACGGCCAACATATTGAATTCGTTGACGATTTTTATCGCGCGATATCGATTCGCAACGTATTAAAGTGCGCACCATATTGCATTATCTTGCCCGATTCGCGCTCGAGGGTATGTCCGAAGGAGCGAGGGTCTCGTCGCGATCCGCGGTCAGGGGAAACGTGCTACCGTCCGCTTAACCTCGAAAAGTGCCACGAAAGCGACAGGGATCGGCGAATCGTGCGCGTAATCGTGCCCGAGTCGAGTACGCATAAACAATCTCGGGACGAGCGAGCGCGCGCGAGAGAGAGATGGAGAAAGAGAGAGGGGGGGAAGGGAGCGACGACGACGACGATGACGATGCGGTGACGACGACGACGACGACGATGACGAGCGAGAAAGAGGAGCACCGCGTCGATCATCGCATTTTAACCTCGCGGTGCGCTCCTTCCGGAAGGGATGAGTCATCCTCGACGTGGACGCGACGCGACGCGACAAAGGTCCGTCGTCCCTTTCGGCCGCGATCGAGGTACGAGATGCGACGTTCAAAATCGCCGTCGATTCAAATTTCGTCGAGAGAGGGCGAGCGATGGAGAGATGAATGAAAAGGAAAGAAATAAAGAGAAGGGAGAAAAATGTAGAAAGCGCGAAATGGACGAACGGGGCCTTTCAATGGCGCGGCGGGGCCGCGAAGCGGGCGGTCGAGGACGAGGAGGACGAGGACAACGGCGGCGGCGACGACGCCGCCACCGGGCGTCCTCGGCAAGCGTCGTCGTCGTCGTCGTCGTCGTCGTCGTTGCGCGTCGTCGGCCGGTCGCTCCTCGCTTCGCGGAGCGCGACAAGGGGACAAGGGGCTCGCTCGACAAGATGGACGCGCTACGACGTGCGGACTCGGGGCGAGGGGGATACGGACGCGCGGTGCGGCGCGCCGCTCCGCGCCGCGACGCAACGCGCCTCCGCCCGACTTTCCGCGCCTCGAGCGGGGTAGAGGACGAGAGAAATTGAAACTCACGTGGTGCACGGTGCCGTCGGCGGTTCTCGCATCTCGTTCTCCGTCGGCTCCGAGGCCGCCTCCTCCTCGCCTCTTTTGCCGCACGCACACATGTACAGACGGAACGGGGGAGACGCGCGCTCGTCGCGACACACGGAGGCGCGAGAAGGGCGGAGGGGGAACCTCCGCACAGGCCAGCTCTCTCCCTCTCTCTCTCTCTCTTTCTCCCTTGTACTCTCGACAGCGCCGCGCCGCGCCGTGCTCCGCACAGGCCGCCTCCCGACGTCTCACCTCGCCATCAACGCCCACAAACAAATCGCCGATAATGGCCACGCGCGCTCGCCCACCGCCTCCTCGACAGCCGCAACGGCCAGCCCGACAGGCCCGGGATGCGGGACGGCCCCTTTCGATCGCGACGGACGCCGAGCCGCGCGAGATTTTCACGACAACGTCGCTCCCGAAGCCGCTACGTGCTCGCAGTTGACAGAAAATACGACGACTGTCATGGCGGCCCCTCGCCCACCCCGCAGGAACTTACGCGCGCGCGGGGGCATCGCCGACTCGCTCCGAGCGAGGCCAATTTTTTTTCCACCGCCGACCCGGGGCTATCGAAAAATTAATTCCTCGACCCGTCTCGCGTCGAAATATCGCTCCGCTCGCGAGCATTCGCTCGCCGAAACGCATCGACGAGACCTTTTCGCCGCGCTCGAGCTGCGCGCGCAGCCATCGATCGCGCGCGCGTTTCGCCCACTTCCGCTCGCGGGAAAACCGCCCGATTACGAATGCGTCACTCGGGAACAAACCAAAATTTCCTTCATCTATAGCCTGTCTTACGATACGTATATGATATGCATCACGTATATACATATGGACATTTTTTTTTCTTAACATTTTGAATTTCTATAACAATTACTTTGAAATAATTTGATTAAATTAGAGAGAAGAATAAAAACAGTTAGGCGGGCGATCGTTGATCCATTTGCGCCATCTACATCTATCTACATCTTTCGAAATTAGAAATTTCGCTCTTTGACATCGACATGGCGACATCTTTGTTGCTTCTATAGTTTCAAAATTTATCTTTTGGACTAAATTTGCGTTCGATTCATCGGACAAGGAAATTTGTCTCTTTTGTCCTCGAATATAATTCTATTTTAAAAAGTAAATTTTGGAATGAAGTCCATGAGATTTTGAATGATCAACATTATATATTATCATGAAAAAATATTAAGGATAAATCCATTGTTTTCCTCCAATATGAATTTACTTGAAAATTAAAAAATATAAGTACTCGAATACATCGATTTATTGCTTCTTTTCCATTTATATACATATCTACGGTTATCGTTGTGATAAATTGCTATTTTGACAGTTTGAAGAATTAATGACAATATTAGTGATTTTATTAAATTAATTCGATACGCCCGCCAATTTAAAATATACGTTTTTGTAGAAACAAATGTAAAAATGTGTAATATACTTTTCTTAAATTTACAATTGAACAATTGTCATTTTTACCGCACAAACATTCACAGAAGTTAATAGTGAATAATTCCATAAGTTTAATTATTAGATGTAAATTTTATATCAAATTTGTTTTAGAAATACGAAAAAGATAATGACACGCTTATTCTGTGAACGATTGTCATAAACTGTACAATTCTGTAGATTGATAACATTACATTTGCATCATACTACACAATTTTATGTATCAAATTCATTTTCTTTAAATTTTGATATCTATTATAACACGCGTTTATGATTTTTGTAATAGTTTTAGAAAAATTAATTGAAAAAACACTTTTCATAAAGAAAAGTTTAAACATTTATATTAATCTAAGTAAGTAATCGATACATTGTTATTTGCAAATTCCACCAATATCAATATGTAACGTAATACATTATATTTTGATTCCTATCGATCATCGATCAATGACATTTACGAATAATTCTTGAAAAATACTATCTTAAAAGGAAGAAGTATATAATAAGGAAGCAAAACTGAGAAAAAAAATTTGATTTACAGAAATACATATATTATGTATAATATATTTGATACCTCCTTACTTTTATTACTAAAATAATATAATCAATATTTACAATCAATTTGTACAAGTGGCCATTTTGACCATATATGTGTAATGACACATCCAACTTAAATGTATCTGTCTATGTGTACTTAAATGTGTATGCGTTTATATAAATAAAATTTCGGCTGTGTTTCATTTCTCAGATTCATTTTTTTCTCCACTTTGCTATTAAGTTTATATTGCCATGGTAATGCGAGAAGAATATAACTTAAAATTCAGTGTATATAATGAGCATTACATAGCATGCATTATTGCGCGAATCAAGTAATCAGTTTTATTCTGTGAAACTTTTGATAATTGGATATGCAAATATCTGCATAATTATAAAATCGCCCTGAAAACAAATTAGAATAAAATAAGCAGGCGAGAAATAAACATTAAAGTTACAGAAATGCGCTTTGATATTTGCAATGTGGAGAAACGGAAATATTGACTAGTATACTATATAATATACAATGATCATTATTAGACACGTACAATGATCATTATTAGACATGTACAATGTAGAGAAGTTAAATAAAGATCCATACATTTATACAAGGGATTTCCACAATTATTTGGTATCATTGTAATTTTTTTTCTATTGCACACATTCGGATATGTTCAAATTCGGATATTTAAAGCGTTGTTTACATGTTTACAAAATAACACAATATTTAGGATAAATATTGCTCCATAAAAATTCCACAAAATTTGATAAACATGTACTGTTGATGTTAAATATTTCGCGCTATATCGTCCTAAAAAAAGACTATGAAAAACTACTAAAAAACTTGAATTTACATTCAAGTTGTAATTAATTAATTTAATTTACTTAATTTTCAAGTCATTAATATTTCCCTGATTGATTCTGTGATCCCACTCCATATTCGTAGCAATGTTGGTTGATGTCTTATATACTGATCACTAACTAATTCATTACTTAAATTTCCCTGTGTGTCAAAATACCATTATAGTATTCAATAAATATAGTATTAAAATTCATAATTACTCGTGTACAGTTTTATATATATATAATATAATCCATATATTATATATATAATATATATAACATAAATGAATAGATCTTTCGTAATCAAAATAGTAAATCGTTATTTTTTTAACGATAATTACAGCGATGATGAATTGACGCAATTTCATATACTTCAAATAATCGGAACATAATCCCATCATTTTGCTACGAATAAGACATTGACAAATGACAATATCGAAACACATTAACAAGACTGTCTAAAATGGCGATCTTTGGCGATATGCGCAAGCAATCCTAATCTCTCTTTTTCAAGTCTTATGTTTGGGGATATGTATTATTATCAGTCGATATTACAATTCTGTGGTAATCTCGTCTTGTGGCCGGAAGCCGAGAATCGTAAAGTCATCGATGAGATAGTCGCGAGCGGGCGACCAGTCTGTTAGGATGGTATAGTTGGCCGCTTCCACGGGACTGCTCTGAAACTTCCATTGGGGATTCAGGTCGCGGTCTAGGCCGTCATTCGTCTCGCATTCGTCGCGCAACGCGCGGATATTGTTAGCCTCCGAGGGCAACGTGTCGCTGTTGTAGCTACGACCGAACGCAGAAATCGTCTGGAGTTCTTGAAGGTGTGAGTCACTCGTTATCCTCGGTCCTCCGCGTTTCTGATTGTTCCCGTAGACCAAGGGCGTCATCTGGCCGATCGTCGAGCCATTTGGACTGAGCTTCTCGCTGTTGTAAGCGCCGGAAGTGCTATTCTGTCCTAGACTCGAACCGAGCGGACTGCTGTCCTTCACGTAACCGAGGCTCGAGCTCGCTGGACTAATGCTCGACTTGTCACTTGCTTGAAACGTCGCGAGCGGCACGTTTGCTTGGAATGTTGTGAGATTAGTGCTTCTAGGTTCATATATGGGTTGACAAGCCGATGGTTGCGACGACGTCGTGACCGGTTGTGCCGATGTCATTTGCACGGAATTGCTCGTCGGCTGTTGGAGAAATGTCACGAGCTGAGCCACCTTAAAGTTATCAGAAATGGTAAATGTATGATAAAATGGGAATTTATTCGCGGATACTGCTTATACGAATGCATAAAAGAAAAGAATGTGCTCAATGGAACCGCTGTTTAAAGGGAGGAGACTTTATGCAACTAACTACCGCCTAACATATGCTTTTTGCGTACAGCTGGGTATGTGACTCACCAAAGTGCTTTAGGGACTGGCGTGAAAAAGAATTGAGAGTGTAAGACAATATCGATAGCGCTCGTTTATCATTTTCATTCGATGCATGAAAAAATGAAATTAGCCCAAATAACAATCTTACTTCTGGAGAACTGTGCCTCTTGTATCTTCTCAACAGCCGTTCTGCCCACGAGAATAGTCGTTGCCAATCGTCGGGCGGAAGCGGGATCTCGTCGTCTCTTCTATTCACGAGGACCAGTATCCTCGCCAGGTCACGTAATACTGGTCTGTAATATCGATATAAAGATTAATAGGAATGCAATTTTTTATTCAAAAAATATTAAAGTGTTTATTAAAAAAAATATTAAAATGTTAATCTTTTATTAAAAAACATAAAAACGTAATATATATTATATATTATATACCTATATTATATATTTTCCATATAAATATTCATATTTCAATAAATAAAATCGATATATTTATATAATATATTTATATAATATATTGGAATAATTTTTTTCCAAAAATGCGTATTCACTTGTATGGTTTCATTAAAAAAAATAGTCAGTAGCATCAACTTTTCACAGAAAAATATGTTTAGTCTCTCGAATATTTACTTAAAAAAATGTTGGATTGATTTTTGCCAGAATGAATTTTTTTCCACATCACGCGAGTAATATCTTGTTAGAAAAGTATTCGGGCTAGTTTCCCGTTGCTATCCCATATTTATACCTGTACGCTTGAATTCCAACAGCACCGTCTCCGTTATTTCCCGAGTAGTACAACTCCCTGACTTGTCTTCTAGTGTCGTTGAGCATCGCGAGGAAGGTATGGGCCTCTCCACGAAGTGTCGCTAGATGTTTCAGAAATTCTCTCCTTTCCGCGCTGAAATGCACAAATGAAAACATTTAATGAATCTGCGGCACGGGCAACATCGACGAACAAGTAAAATGAAGATGGACCTGTCCTCGAACTTTTGCGCCAATTTGGCCGCCTTCTTCTTACGTCGGTGAACGACTATCGCCCCGCAGATGATGATGAAGGTGCATATCGTCGCGCCGGAAACCACCCCCACTAAAATCGCAACCTGGCTACCGGTGAGGCCAAACATGTAGCCAGTCTCCCGACAGATACGACCCATGTACTCGTCTCGGGTGGACCAGTCGGCGACGAAGCCCGGTGGACAGGTATGCACGCAGGTACCTTGATGTAACAGGACGGCACATCTGGCGCACGTTCCGTCCCTGCATCTCCTGCATCCCGTCTCGGTCTCGACGCACTTTGCTGTGACTGAAATCGTTTAAAATTTATTTATTATTCACATCTCGGTAGTCAATCCTACAGTTAATGTGTTATCAAACACTGTATTTTAATACTTGGGTAGCCGCGGGTTTCGAATCAATATTGATATTGTCACTGCTTTACAATTTAATTTTTTTTAACAAGAAAATAAGACACTTTTATTTATACACTGAGGAAAAAATTATCTTGAAATAAAAAAAATTTAGTTAACTCAAGAAAGCTATTTATTCGGTGGGTACTAATCACGTATTTACTTGTATTCAAAACGTCTGTTTGCTTAAATTAAGTATTTATTTACATATGTTTAAAAAAATATATATGCTTAAAAAAATATAATTTTTAATTAAATATTTTTATATTTTAATTTTACAAAATATTTATTAAAATGCATTTTTTATTCCCAAAAATTTTAAACTTTTTAATTTTAAAAAATAATATATTTAATTTAATAAATTATAGTATATATTTTATGAAAATAGTATTTAAATATAAAAAATATATATAAATAAAAATAATATGTACTTAATATAACATGCATATTTAATTAAAATTAAATGCTTTTGCTTAAATGAAATAAACAATTCCTTCCATTTAGAGCAAAAGTTTCAAGAAAACAAATTTATTTGATTCAAAAAAATGTTTTTCTCAGTGTATCATTTTTTATATTTTTTTAGTAATTATGAGAAAAATAAATTGTAAAATCCTTTCTACAGGATTGTGCGAAACTCTAACAATAAGAATTAAGAGCAACTTAGATTATTATACTGCACTTGTAACTGAAATCCCGTGCTGTATTTTTCTTTAAAAGATTTCTTTAGAATTTATTTAGGGAGATTGTCGCAGAATATATATTTTAGTAAAATAAAAAAATTTCTTTTACGAAGAATATTGCAAAAGTTGCATTACAACTTTACATACGGTATAAACTTGAAAATTTTATTCCCTAACAGCTCTTCTCGACAACAAAGTTTACACAGCATAGTTGACAGTGAGTTTTAATGCAGATTTACTCGGGAGCAAACTTTCATACGGGAGCGATTCTTATTAATAAAATTTTCAAAGGTGTATACAGCCTCCGAGGAAAGGTCATCGCACTCGGAAACTTTAACCTAAATGAACCTGAAACTCTCTTTAGCGATAGGTCATCGCCGAACGGAAAAGTTTCGTGTCGTGTAGCGGTCGTCCTCGAGTCTAACATTCTCATTTGTGAGTCTGTCACAGTCTCGTTGGCGGGTATACGTGTACACGATGCGAGTACACGATATGTAAGATGCACACAGAAACGTTGAAATGTAAATGGCTTATTCGTTTGTTGGCAAATGGGCTTTACTTACTGCCATTTCCTATCCCTTTTACGCGCGACCTTGCTATTTCTAATGCTGTAACATCTCGTCATGTTTCTACAAGTAGTCGTTGCAGTTACTTGCAAATGTAAAACAAATTGAATATATATAAGATCCTAGACCAGCGAGTCGCTTTTCAGTGAATTATGAATTTTTGATGGTCGGTTTGGAATTATTTTTCAATTTTCCGCGTTAAAAATTGACAAGTTTCTCGATTAATTTTCAAATTAAAAATTTACAAAAGTTTCATATGTGTTATTCGAACAAATGGAAATCATATATAATATGCAATAATTCCTATAAAAATCGAAAGATCTCAAGTGAAGATCAGGGTTTTTTTTTGTAAAAGTAAGATGTTTTGTATCTAGAGAGTGCAGTTAGATATTGATATCCACATGTTATGTGTGTCAAGCATTTGGGCCACTGCTTGGGGCAACGGATCGTTAACCGCGGCAAGAATTCGATTCACACATTACTTATCTCGTTTCTGCGGTATCTCGTTTGTGAAATTACATTATTTTACATTTTTTTGTCTGATACTCTGAAATTTTTGCCAAATATTGCGCGCTTGCTACAGGCATTATTATCGTTCAGTATTTTTTTACAAGATTAAATTTACGTTATTTTTTTGGTGAGAAGAGAGATATTTACAAAATATCCTTTTCCTAAAAATTATTACATCTCCATATTTTACTATCCTGCGAGATCCTCATACGTAAGCTTTCAATTATAATTGTAATTATCTGTCGGATAATTATCCGTCATCCTGCTAACGTATCTTTCTTCCCCTTTTCTCTTCTTCCTAGTTAGGTCTCTTTTTTTCCGCTCCGATCAGATATACGTGTACATGATGCGAGTATAGAGCTGGACGGACGCACGCGAGAAAATTGAAAGACCTCGTGGGGGAAATCCGAGGGGCTGCCTTTGGTCCATTAGTATGTGTATGAGGAATGCGGTTGCTAGTTTCTCGATTATGTGGGTCTATAAACGCGCGTGCTCCGTGCACTTTGAAGTGACGGCCCGTCACATACATTCTCCAGGTTGAGAACACTAGGTCGAGCCCCTTCTCCAGCGTTGTTTTACGAACCCCGAGGTCCCCTATTTATCTTACCACCGACATCTTTCGGCTCATCGGTTCGAAGAAACTTTTACGAACAGAAACGAAACGCAATTCCTCTTTCGAGATTTCAACTTTCTACGATTTTTTCCATCCAAAAGTTGTAATAGTTTAGCTTCTGGAAGATCTATCGGATAATTTATTCAAAAAGTACATTTAGAAAGCAATTAAGAATGCATATTATTGAAAATTATATTTTACATAAGCTAACTATTATTCGTGATAATAACTGATATTTAATATTTAATATTTGAATATTAATGAAGATTTTATTTGTGTCTAAAATGCAATTTTGAAAATATGTTAAATTATAAAGTGGCAGAAAAAAGTAAAGGGTATTCACATTATTTATTTAAGATATGAATAAATAAATCCGTCGAAAGATTAATGATTAACATAATTAATAATTAACATAAAATTACAGTTTCAATAATTACAGTTATACTAATAAGAATATAACGTGTATGTAATTGTATCATGTAAATTATAGTATTTTTGTTGTCATTTCAAACGTATAATACTATTGTTATTATAAACTCGTGTGATTTTGTTGATCTCTTATTAAATATACTCGTGTGATTTTGTTGACCTCCATCGATAGACAACTTTTCATGATATCTGTCTGCGCATCAGGTAACTTGGTAAATTCACCAACTTGGATTTTAATTGACGATGGGAGGTGGCGATTTAACTAATTAAAGGTCGAGGAGAAGTCATATTGCTTCTACGAACGACCTATTTGATCGAATTGGCGCGTAGAATTTTCCGTCATTCTTCTAATTAATTTTGCATCGTCTTCCATCGTTTATTTTTAGATACTTTTCAGATAATCTTGTTTATCGATAGAATATCGGAAATTTTAGAGACCGGACGTTATTAATTTCGCAAATGTATAAACATTATCTTTATAAAGACGTAGAATGGAATATATTTTCTCTTTCTTTCTTTTCTTTCTCTCTTCTTTTCTCTCTCTCTCTCTCTCTTATTATTATTAATTAATGTATTAAAACAGATCGTTTACTGCCGGCACTTCTATTGAATAATTAATATCCTATGTATTACGTTGAAATGTAATTTATGTATCAACTTTATCTTCCGTATAATTTAATCCGTATATTATATATAATTTAAATATAATAATTTAACTTACTTTCTAGCTGAGAGACATTTCCTATTTTTAAAAGACGTACAATTTATTTTATATAAATGAATATAACATTTTTATATTAATAAAAGAGTGAAATAAATATAATAATGCAGTAATGTATTATGTATCTCTAGTATAATAATATTTCTCTTTTCTGAGAGGCTACATATTATTTATTATATAATTTGGATAGGGATTTAAATCTTTGCGATTTAATATAATAGATTTAAAAATTGAAAATTTATTTTCTTATGCATTCATATTGGTATGTGTGCGTGTATTAATATTTATATAAGTTAATCGAATAAAATTCCGCCACCTCCGTCAATTTAATTTTCTCAATTACTTGATGTTTCCACATATTTTCTATAATACTAACCCACATTCACAGGTCACAGTAGAGATAAACTTTCGTGATGCTCGTGTGCACGATTAATTCACACGCGCGGAATTTAACGGAATTTAATTATAAACGTTCTTTCTAAAATATAAAGTTGTACGGATATGTACATCGACGAATCCTGAACATGGAGCGTGAATCTTTTTCGGCACACTAGGTTCGTATGTCAATCTCGACCGCATGCACTTCGATATACACGAAGCCTATCGAGAGTACAGTTACTTCACATGATAGAGAGAGAGAGAGAGAGAGAGAGAGAGAGAGAAAATCGGAGAAATGGAATCAAGTATCTTGCAAGTAGGTGCAAATTTGACTAAAAAGTTTCAAAATTTTTTATATCTATCTCTAAAAATCTACAAGAATTTCGAGATTCGATTCTTCCTAATATTGGAGTAATTATAAATCACTATAAATATAACATATACAATGTCGAGTCATTGCTGGTACTCACGCTAAGACTCGAGAAACAGTTTAATTAGAATTTATTGAGACATTGGATATTACTGTGTACTTTACAAGTAGTAGTTTTTTAAATGTATGTCACAAAAAAGAAGGAAAATTAATTTAAATTCGTTAATACATATTGAGTTCAGTTCTACCCGATGACAGCATCGTTATTATCACTGTCAGTCTGGTATTTCCTCTTTCCTCTTTCCTTCTATTCTTTCCTTTTGCTTTCCTCCTTCCTCTTCCTACGTTCGCAAAATCTCGAAACCTCAATATCAAGTTGCTTCCCACGTTGATATTCTTCGTGAGATCATTAATAGAGGCTTATTAATTAGCAAGATAATAACATTACATTTGCTCTATAATATTGTTCAAATATTAAAATATTTTTCATTATTTGAACGCTTATTAAGAATAGTAGAAAATGTATAATTTAGTGAGAACTAAAAGACTTGCGTTTTATTAATCAATTATTGTCATTAAAAGATACGACTAATGATCGACTAACAATAAGAATTATCGCAAATCGAAAAA